TAGTAAAGATAAAACTCGACGAACCTTCACCCAGTTGATAGTATCTTTTAAATAACAAGAAACAAGTCATATTTTAATTTAGAGATGTACGTACCTGTAAAATGTGCTTTAATATTGTTACATCAACTGTTCTCCTCCTACGGATATTCATTTGTAACTTTGAAAATGAAAATTGCGTTGCTGATAGATTTATAATTAGCTGTTCAAGAAAACAGAAGTTCATATGGCATGTATACACACAAAAAGAATTAACAAAAATACTGAAATCCAAGGTAAATTCAAAAAAGGGGGGGAGTCCATAAAACCTGACAAATTCAAACACTCGAATGAAAAATAACTGCCATATTCCTGACTTGGTACTGGCATTTTCTGAAGATATGATGGGTTAAACCAGGTTTTATAGCTAGCCAAAACCTCCCACTTGTAGGACAGTTGTTTATACTTCGTTATTGACAAAATCGGGCGAGTTACCCAAATAGACATAATTGGTAAACGTGACAACTGATTTAAAAAAATTCCAATAAATAATCAATAAATCTGACAAAAACACCACAAAAAAAAAAAAGTTTTAGTAGTATGATAGTACATATAGTATGGTAAACAAATAATTTCATATATACTTTTTCAATATTTGGGATTCAGCAGCCAAAACTGTGTAAACATACATCACAGACATACAAACACAAATGACTTAAAAATTCAAACAAACATACAAATAAATCTGACAAAAACACCAACAAAAATAGTTTTGGTAGTTGATAGTACATACAGTATAGTAAAAATTTCATATACACTTTCCCAATAAAGTACAAATTAAGTGAAATATAAATACAAGGGTTATCAAAATAAAAACAACATTATAAAATCCCCATGCATCTGAATCGTACCTCTGGACCCATCCGCATCAGGAACGCCCAAAGCCAACACACGATAGTTGGATGCACAAATTACCGAGTCATGTAAAGAGTTATACGACTAAAAGGACCATTGAATTATGTTCTATTTTAGGAAATCAGAAAGCCACTCTGCAACATTGTACACTAGAATATATTAACGACTACATTTTTTGCATTATGTTTTTCGGTCTGTGCGTCCGTTCTTCCTTCTGTCTGTCCCGATTCAGGTTAAAATTTTTGGTCGTTTCAGGTTAAAGATTTTAGTCAAGGTAGTTTTTGATGAAGTTGAAGTCCAATCAACTTGAAGCTTAGTACACATGTTCCCTATGATATGATCTTTCTAATTTCAATGCCAAATTAAAGTTTGACACCAGATTCACGGTTCACTGAACATAGAAAATGATAGTGCGAGTGGGGCATCCGTGTACTATGGACACATTGTTGTTTTAAGAATCGAATGACTTGATCAAAATTTCTTGGATTTTAATGAAACTTGATAGAAGCTTTTTTAATGATCAAAAGACAGTATCTAGCGAAAAAATTTTAAAATATTATTTTTCAATTTCCGTATTTAACTGATAATTGGACTTTGTTATTTTTTAGAAGTTAACCACCAGCAGTCTAGGGTGAAATTTCAAAGACAAACAATAAAGTTGCCAAATCTTCATAGAATTGAATGAAACTTTGGAGCAAGTTGTTTTTTATGATTAAGAAATAATGTCCGAGTCAAAGTTTTTGATATTTTTTTATTTTTCCCTATTTTACTAAAGTGGACTGTTTTTTTTGCAGTTAACAATCACATTTTTAGACATCAATAACTTTGTTAAACCTTCATGAAATGTTTTGAAACTTATATATATACGCTTCTTCAAAGTTCTTCTATATTTTACTGAAAAATGGACTTAATTGTTGTCAATCAATATAACACTTTTACACTGACAGCAGCAATCGCAGGCTAGACATATATCATGTCTCCATGGACCCTTTACGATTGTTATCTGTTTACAGTTTCTTTCTTGCTACTATGATTTTTTGCTCAATACGCTAAATGGGTAAACATCGAAATTCAAAGACAACAATTCCAGTAAGGAGGCAACTGACGATTGCAGTCATATTAACAAGCCTGTAGATCTTGTCCTGATAATTCATTTTTTCATATTAACAAGCCTGTAGAAATTGTCCTGATAATTCATTTTTTTTTTGCTATTTACAAATTAATCTTCTACATTTTGTAAGATATATAGCAAAATACAAAACAAATGGTTCAAATCCTCATTTTAGGGTAAACACTCGTATAAGGAGTCGACTAAATATTTCGAACTTACGACTCATTTTTAGATCTTGTCTTGCTGATCTTTTTTGCTTTGCATAGTTATCTTTTATTCATAATACTTTCAAGATAATAGACAGAAAATAAAAAAACGAAATGGTAGACATTGCAAGCCCGAAGCCAGGAATTGTCAATGGGAGTTACAACGACTTATAATGATAAGAGACATGTTATCTCTATGTTATATTTAAGCAATATATGCCATGTTTACAGGCAGGATCACATTCACATTTTTTAAAACTAAATACCCGAAATGACCAAGAGTAGTATAGATTGAACATTTATATCCCCGCAAATACGCGTGGCGTTGTGGCTGATCCATTTTTGGGCAGACCCACCCCCTTTTACCCTTTTATGTATTTCCCCCTCCTCCCTCCCGATAAGGTTATAACCGGAAATGACGTCACTGGAAGGATTCGTTGCTGGAATCATTTAGCGAGATACCATTTAAGGAAAACGTGGCCTGATCACCCTATTTGGTCGTGCCGTGTCTACCTGACGTCAAATGATTCACTTCAGGACGTGTCGGCATTGTGGGTACGTTCATTGAACAAGAGTATGTCTCCCTATTTGGAAAATTCAATTAAAAAAAATTCAAATTCAAATATTCAAAAATTTTAAAAATTTTAAAATTCTAAAAAATTTCTACATTTTCAAAAATTCAAAAAATTCAAAAATTCAAAAAAAAAAAGTCAAAAATTCACAAAAATTGAAATATTCAAAAATGAAAAAAAAAAATGAAAAAAAATAAAAATTGAAAAAAAAAAAAAAAAAATAAATAAAAAAAAAAAAAAAAATAAAATAAAAAATTCTCAATAAAATAAAGATCGAAAAATATCACTGCATAAAACTGATCACCTTATTCAACGTCTATAAGAGTGCCCGAAGCAAAACTTGTAACTAAACGATGGACGAATTTTACCTTTACGTATCGAGCGAGGATTCTCTTTCGCTTTTTGAAAGTAACAACGTTGGCGCATTTAGGGTTCAACTTCACAAAAGCTACACATTGGACGGAGAATGGGAATGTGCACTGCTAGAGTTATCGTTCGTTACGAAGTTTCCGACACCAACGAGACGGGTCTCCTTTTGCTCGGACTTTGTGTACGACACATACGCCCGGGAAATGTCTCTGCCGATACTTCAATCGGCAGGGGTTTTGAACGAAGATATCGCGGACATCGTATATGAAAAACCAATTTACCTCAAAGTAACCAGAAATCAATTGTTTGACAGAAAAAAAAAAACAAAGGCCATGAACAGTATTTTACATGTCTCTTTGTTAATTCATTCTCTTATCTTAATGTTGATTGGTAAACCCCCAGTAGCTGGAACACCCGACATATTTTCACCTGATCTATGAGAATATGAGTCTGAATCTAATACGGTGGCTTTTATGTTGTTTGCACACATACACATGGAATAGATAAAAAAAGGACGATATGAGAAAATGTTTTATTAAGATCAATACTACATCACATCTGACTAATTGTGTACCAAAATATCAGAATGAAAATAACGCAATGAGTTTGCATCCAGGTCGACCGATGAAAAGACATTCACTACATCTTCCATCTTGATACTCTGACATCTCATTTTCACGTAATAGGCGCAGTATAGTCCACATGTTTCCGAAAAGTCGGGTTGAATTTGACATCGAGAAAAACGGTACTTGGGTCCGTTAACGATGAGAATATTTCTAAAATGTTGCTGGTATGTCTCTGGTGCTCCTCCCAGGGAGTAAAAAAACTCGAGCGGTCCCGATATAGGAAAATAAAAGGCCACCGAATGAGTTCCTTCCTGGTTACAGTTGTCCGTGTTGACTACGTAGGTTTTAGGTCTGTCACTCACATAGGCTGGTAAGTCGTCTGCACAGCAAACGCTGGCCGACGTTCCGCCAAAATTCCCTCTAGTGCCTAGCCAGACATTTGTAAGCGAATCGATTTCTTTCGACAATTATGGTCCTCTCAACCATGATAGTGTGCAAAGACCAGTCCGCAATCTCGACAAGCTGTTAGATCCTCTCTGTCATCCATTATATCTGACGTTGTACTTTCAGTGTCGGAACTATCGTGGCCCTCCATTTCTTCAGAAGTGTCGACTCCTTTGCCCGTCTGCAAAAAATCAGTTCCTAGTCTTGACGATTCTGAACTATCGTTGCCCTCCATTTCTTCAGAGGTGTCGACCTAATTGCTCGTCTGCAATACATCAGTTCGCAGTCTTGACAATTCTGTCGTTCCGGGTTTCAGATCAACCAGAAGGAATCCGTAGGGTCTGCTCATCGCCTTTTCGAATTTCCAAAAAAAGAAGTCCGACCTAGACGGATACATCTGTCGTCATAGGGTCATGACTGGTTGTCGATCAATGGGATTGTTAAAGAGCACAAGTTAATGACAGTTTCGTCTCTGGGTTGGGTCCTTTCCAAAGTACAAGTTTTGGTTTAAAACCACTACTGACAAATTTCTGTGATGACTGCCTTCCGGAAATAGATCGTATATTCTTGAATCTTTAGCCGATGTGGACATCAGATCATCCAAAATAATCATATTCCTCTTCTTGGGATCGAAAAAGTCGTCAGTTTCTAAATCGACCGGGATTCCGCGGAAAAATTCCACTCGCAGACGCACTGTTTTCTGTATTTCTCCGTAGAGCTGCCATCTCTCGTTCGTTCTGGGCACGGACGGCACATCCTCCTTACTCGTTGTAGCATGTTTTTCATAAAATAAGTCTTTCCGCACGAGGTTGGTCCAGATACAGTCATGGTAAATGGGTGATTAAAAACAAAATCTCGGTGCTGAGAAAATTCTTGTTCCTCTTTCATGGGAAGGATCTGCTGCTGCTGCTGCGGTTGCTGCTGCTGTGGTTTCTACTGCTGTGGTTGCTACTGCTGTGGTTGCTGCTACTGTGGATGCTGCTGCTGCTGCTGTTGAGGCTGCTGTTGTGGTTGTTGCTGCTGCTGCTGTGGCTGCTGCTGTTGTTGAGGCTGCTGCTGCTGCTGATATTGTTGCTGATGCTGCTGTTGAGGCTGCTGCTGATGCTGCTGATGATATTGTTGCTGATGCTGTTGTTGATGCTGCTGCTGCTGTTGAGGCTGCTGCTGCTGCTGCTGTTGAGGCTACTGCTGCTGCTTTTGAGGCTGCTGCTGTTGTTGTTGTTGCTGCGCATGTTTGTTTTTCATTGGCCAAGCATAAACGTTTCGACATAGGTTGCACTGAAACATCTTCACCTTTTCTGCATGTGTATACAATCTCCTCTTATAGGTTTCTTGCGAAAATGCATTAAGCAAAACAGGTGGTCATGCTTTGGTCGACATATCTTGAGATTATCATCCCTCAAGGATAATTCGATTGGTACAATTGGTTTCTGGTTACTTTGAGGTAAATTGGTTTTTCATATACGATGTCCGCGATATCTTCGTTCAAAACCCCTACCGATTGAAGTATCGGCAGAGACATTTCCCGGGCGTATGTGTCGATCACAAAGTCCGAGCAATTATTGAGAATTTTTTATTTTATTTATCTTTTTTTTATTTTATTTTTTTTTTTCAATTTTTAGTTTTCCTTAAATGGTATTTCGATAAACGATTCCAGCATCGAATCCTTCCAGTGACGTCATTTCCGGTTATAACCTTATCCGGAGAGGGGAGGGGGAAATACCTTAAAGGGTAAAGGGGGCGGGTTCTGCCCAAAAATGGATCAGCCACAACGCCACGCGTATTTGCGGGGATATAAATGTTCAATCTAGACTACTACCAAGATTGGTTCCAACTGTCCCAGCAATTATAAAAAAAGTGTTTTCAATATTTTTGTTTGGCAAATATTATGAGCTTAATAGCACTGTTCATGCTATTATACATTTTGTTAACATCGCTTATTAAAGCTTAAAAAATACAGTAACGGGTAATACTGTACGCAAAAATTTAGATAAGTTAAAAATAGCCATTGGAAAATCAACAGGTATCATTTCCTATTTAAAGAACACACAAGGAATGTAAGTATACACAAGTATTTACTAAATTTTTCGTGATTTATTGATTTAAAATCACAACGTATCAGACATTGCTATTTTTACTCATTTGTTAAACTAATCAGAATTGTTATTGTAACACATGTGTAAATAGTCAATAAATGAAAGGTTTTGCTTTCGGTTCGGTGAGATGATGTCATTACATGGTGATTGTATACGTCATTCCTCATTTTGTACGAAAATGAAAATAACATGCTTTCTTTGGTATATAAATACAACGTATTAATAATGAAGTTTTAATTTCCCCATTCTATTGTGGAAATTAACACTTTCCCATATTAAACACACTGTGTCATAAAAAATGCAAGTTTCGAGTGCAAGGTATGTACTGCTTTCTTTTTAGTAATTATATAGGGAATATATTTTAAAATAAGTTTTATGTTATTATTTAAAAACTGTATGTATTATTGATTGGTGATTGCTTTACGCCGTATCAGCACACAAAGGCTATATCGTGGCGAGATAAAGGCGTTAGCCCGTTTGGGTGTATCTTATTTACAACATGGTTTTATTATTAATGCGATAGATTTCAATAATTTAGGAGGGTGTCTTTCAGCAATTTGACCTTATTTTATGGTAAAGCATGGTAAATGCACGATATCAAATTGCATTCAATGTTATCATGGTGTACACACAATTGTGGTGCATCTTCTTCTTATTGATGGAAAACTATACATATCATTTTGCTAAGAGCTAAGCTATACATTAATTAACAGAATTTTCTTAATTTAATTTTAAAGAGAACGTATTGAAATACATAAAAGTTATATAAAAAGATCTTAATTTAATCTTACCTGGTTTTTACATTGTATATGTATTTTTTTCAATTTTTAAGGCCCCGGATACTACAATGATTCACAATAGCACAATTGTGTTCAAATGATGGATATCCACGCAAAGGTAAGTTTTCCTCATCCAAATTTCATGAAACTCATACACAATACTATGAACCAAAACTCGCAGACAAAGTTAGAATTGAGGCAGTGTTACTTACCGTTCTAGAGTTTTGCCCCTTTGTAACTTGGGAAATGCTAATTTTTTCTTGGAGGACAAAAAGTATGATCTTCACTTACTACAAATAAACAAGTAATGCTAACAAAGAGATTAAAGTAAAAGAAGCAAAGCATTATTCAAGAACTGAGAAATTCACTGGTCACAATAGAACTTTAAATATCAGAAAACTAATTACATAAGAAATAAAAACAAAACAGTGAAAATGAAAATAACAAACAGCATAAAAATACCTAGGACTAGAACACTAGAATTCTTTAAAAACTAGCAGTGACATCAAATGCTCTCAAAAAGTATTTTTATGTATTATAAGCAAGCTTATTGGAGGCATTCGTGTCCTCAGACACATTCTTCTTTTATTTTAACATATTTTCCAGAAATCAATTCAAATTATTGACCTAATCGTTTTTTTTATGCCCCACCTAGGAGCATTATGTTTTTCGGTCTGTGCGACCGTTCGTTCATCCGTTCGTCTGTCCGTCCGTTTGTCCATCCGTTCGTCCGTCTGTCCCGCTTCAGGTTAAAGTTTTTGGTCGAGGTAGTTTTTGATGAAGTTGATGTCCAATCAACTTGAAACTTAGTACACATGTTCCCTATGATATAATCTTTCTAATTTTAATGCCAAATTAGAGTTTTGACAATTCACGGCCCACTGAACATAGAAAATTATAGTGCGAGTGGGGCATCCGTGTACTATGGACACATTCTTGTTTAATTTTATATTACCACATACAACAAGAAAAAGTTGACGTCCTAAATATAAATGAAATATTTGCAACTGGACTTTAAGAAAAGTGACCAGTCAATCTTAGAGAGCGGTTTGTGATTTCAACAGCTGCAACTGTAGATGTGGTGTTGATGTTGGATCGTTGGAAGTTTCTTGTAATTCCATGGACAACATGCCTTATCCCCTCGCTTTTTTAGGTTACTGTTTTGAAGACTGTTGTTTATCTTCTTGTTGTCTTTCGTTTATTGTCAAGGTATTGTTGGGTTTTCTTCGCCTTTGGATTTTTAATTGTCCATCGGTATATATTCTGTATCTTTTGTTTGATGCAAGATATGAACATGTATCCCCAATGAAAGATCACATGTATATGTTTTAAGGTTTATTTTGTTGCTGGGTTGATTTCTCACGTACGTTCATTCAGAAGAAGAAAATTGAAAAGGGTCACCGTAAAATTAATTATGTTTCACTTAAAAAATAAGCAATCATTCAGAAATTTCCACTTAAAAAAACAGATCATGCTACATGTTATGATTTTTCTGGAAACAATTGTTATATATGCAATGGACTCACTTTATATATATTTGGTAACATGATTTTATTATTTGTTTTATAAAATTGTAGCTTTCAACAATGAATCAAGCAATACATGATTTGAAACAGACACAACTGAAAATATTGGATAAAATCTACACCAACAGGTTCGTTTATTATTCATAAATACGCGAGATAAAGCGCATGGAATCAAAAATTTAAATTATCCAAGAAAAGTTCATATTTATAATATCAAAAAGCTATTCTATGGAAAATTAAAAAAAAATGTCTTCTGTTTTTATGTTGTTTAAGGAGGTCTTATTGAAGTTTAACAAATATTCGTATAAACCATTCAGAGTCGTATAACCAACAACACATTTCAAAATGTTTAATGTTTATAATTATAATGTAAATATTTTGCTGGAAACGAAGTGCTAATCATACATACGTTTTCGTTAAAAATGATTTCATACTATTTTGTTTTTAGTGGAGACGCGGTCAACAATCAGGATAAAATGCATTTTGAGAGTAAGTATGAAAAGGACTGTAATAAAACTATAACAACAAAAATATACTAAATACAATAACTGTAATTTAGGAATGATTATCTTTTTCTTTATTCAGAGTAAGTTATGATATGTCAATTCAAGATTAAAAACAATCACAATGCAAACCAAATTTATTACCATATCAACAGACCTTGTCTCTCGTTAGCAGACATTGTACCTCGTTAATAGACTTTGCCTTTCGCTAGCAAACTTTGCCTCTCGATAACAGACTTTGCCTCTCGTGCTGTGTGGAAGCACCGAAAGGTTTCCCCGTGCTTGAGATGTATGCTCTTATTTTTCACAGGAATAGGGTATTTTTTCTTGACATAGATTATCATACCACATCTCCTTATTTTTATCTTGTCTCTCGTAAGCAGACATTGTCTCTCGTTGACAGACTTTGCCTCTCGTTAACAGACTTTGCCTCTCGTTAGCAGACTTTGTCTCTCGATAACAGACTTTGCCTCTCGTGCTGTGTGGAGGCGCCGAAAGATTTCCCCGTGCTTGAGATGTATGCTCTTATTTTTCACAGGAATAGGGTATTTTTTCTTGACATAGATTATCTTATGTGTGCTACAATCGTTTCCTGTCGGGCAATATAAGACTGTATCTGCAATTTTAATGCCAGATACAAATTATAATCCCCATCTGTATTCTTCAATGCACAGATGTAATGTTTTCGACATTTAGTAAATAATTCCGATCAAATAGGTACTAGGGTCCATTTCGTAGCGAGTTAAGAGTTTTTGCACTATGCTGAAGGTCTAACTGTGACTTTGAGATGAAGAACAGAAATACAAGAGTTGTTCATTTGGTTTATGAGTTAGGTTTATAGGTGTGTAGTGATTGTGTGTCATTTATTGATAGTTTTATCCATTCTTTTTTTAAAATTTTGTTTAGAAAACAAAATATGATTTTTTTTCAATCATGTAATAACCATGCTGTTTTATTGGCATGGACATAAGCATTCAAGGAGGTCCAAACCAACACACCCACAAACCATTATAAAACACCGAACAACGTAATGGAGTATGGAGACTTTCTTTTATCCAGTAAAGAAATTGTTTTATATCTATTTCTTATTAGATATGTTCAAAGCTTCCAATAATTTCTTACTTAAAACAATTACTCAAAATCTTATTATTTAAATCATAGAACTGGAAGTTATATTAACGGTGCTGGAAGACAAATACGGAAAACATAATAGTGCATTGAAAGAAGTCAAGAACAAGGTGGTTACATTGCTCGAACATGTTGGACAGCTTACAACTGACATTAAAAAACTTCAACTTTATACATTTAACACTAAGTCACGTGATGTTAAATTAGTGAAAACAACCGGTCATGGGGACAGTTTACGAAACACAACTGTATTAAAACCTATCAAGCAATGTACAGTTATAGAAAATTCGCCGAAGATTATTGAAGACATCGAAGATCTTTCAGATGATGGCGTTTCCATCGAGTCTACAGAATCTACAAATATTCATTTTAAATGTGGAATTTCTAGTCACACTTCAGCTGTGGATGCTCAACCTTTTGGTAGAAAAAATGAGTTTGAAGTCAAAGAGAACCCTTCATTGGATAAAGTACAAACAAATAGAACTAACAATTCAGACAACACAGACAAATTGTCTTCCGAGGAAACACAACTAGATGAGAATATAAATGATTCAGATATCAAAGAAAAGAGAAATGTTTCACTGAGTACAGACTTGTCACTTCAGCGTTTACAAAGCGATGACTCTATTCAAATTAATATAAACAGGATCCCAAATCAACATTTTGCGGACAAGACAGGTTCAACTGACACCAAAAGAAGATGTGGAACCGAGTCTGAAGATGCAGGTTTAACTAGGCATGTGAAAATAGTATGCAAAAATGATTTTGGATATAAACAAAAACGTTCAGAAATGAGTTCTGATAATCGTGTTGCTTATCATAGCAAGGATATATGCTTTCAAGGAAATAGTGTCAAGTCGGACCTACAGCTTCCAACAGAACTTATTCCAACTTCTAATATCAAAGTTAAAAGTTCTTTAGCGGAAAGGTTTGTAAAATATATATTGAATATCGAAATGAGTAAACCTATAATTTATTTTGATCAAATTTATTACCGAGACATTTATTGTCGAAATCCGGATATGGTGTACAAATTTTTGCACCTCATGTTTGCGGTATATCATCTTTTCCGCAAGTTTATTGTTTTCTGTTTGGTATTATTGAATTAATAAATTAAATAAAGATCCATTTTGTTACATCTTGTGATCAGTTTATTTGGCAATCGCCAATGGCAGTCAGCAGGGTTAAAGAACATCCGTTGTTCGACCTGTTAGTCAAATGCGTTTTGTTTAAATATACTTTTTTCACTTTTTTGGTCTTTTGGAAAATGTTGTTTGTGCTCTATTTAGACCCTCTACCAAGAAATTTGTTTTGCATGCACACGTATAAAAATTGCGGTTTTTATCCAACGCAATCATAGGTTTGAACGTTGTTTTCAATTTAGACTTATTTAAACTATATATATATATACAGCAAGAGCGAAAAGCCAAATTTAGAAAAGATTCAGTCAGTTCAACTGTATTCATATGGAAAAGTATTATGCTTACTGTTTTTACAGGAAGCCAAATATGAATGAACTACCACCAATGAGTAAACTGCACGAATTCGAATTCGTTGAAGACCAAGTATATGGATTAAGTATGTTATTACAAATAGAATTTTCATAGAATTAGATGTGGGTTATACGTCAGGGAGACAATAACACAAAGACAGTAAAGATCAATATACGGCATGGCATAAAAAGGGGGAGGGGATTAAATTTAACAGAGATTAGTACAAATCTGACATCTACACCAAAGTCTCTATAAGACATTCACAGACTAAGGCCCTGGCTTGGGAAATACATTGGAACATGTAGCGACATTAACCCACTATCCTTTTAATATCAATCGGTGAAATATCAGCAACACAGAAAGAAGTACATAAAAGAATGTTTGCTAAAAACCAAGTCAGAAAAAAGTTTTAATACTTTACTCTATTATACAAGTATAGTAGTCAACAAAAACACTGGTGCAAGTAAAACATTGTTACCATACCAAAGAATGCCTGCAAATACTAAAAGCAGGCTCAAATTACCTACTGATATGCAAATACTAATATCGGAGACGGTACTTGGAGTAAATTCATAAAACGTTAAAAACTGTGCAAGCAGACACGATCTGGTGCAATACCCAGAGAGAATTTATACAGAATGTCAATACTGAAACATCAAAAGAATCATTTTAGTTGTTTAAAACTATAATTACGCGAACTGGTATTAGTCCCAAAGATAACAGACATAATATTTTTGTCAAATATTTCCATTGTCAGAACCAAAAAAAAAAACAAACCCAGATACGAATATAATCAATGTCTTTATAATACATCTAAAACACTACCTGTTGTCTTTTCCTGCCAAATATATTAATAACAAAGTCATAATTCGTGCAATGTCGATTTCATATCACATCATTTTTTTTCATACTTTCGGATTCGTTTAGGGATGGAAAGTACGTTTTATTATTGTGTTAACCTTTTCATTACTATAATTGTAGCCAGTTTTAGCTTTATCATAAAAACAATATTTGGTCAATTTCAGAAAAATATCAACTTTTTTGTTTTCAGTACGAAAGAGTTGATGGGCTCGGTAAGGTCCGCCATTCCACAGTTTTTTTAGTCTTATACAAAAAGTCGATATTTTTCTGACATTGACCTTATAATGTATATCTATTTTATTATTGATATGCATAAACATGACTGTTTCTTATTCTATTTAAAGTATACTCTGGTATAGATTGTTTTTACATCGGATGACCGTGAGGGCATTCCGGCGTATTGTTGCCACAGACATTTCTACCCACGTGACTTTCGTTTTTGACTGATAACCGAACGCAAAATAACATTCCTTATCGCTTGTTATACATCAATTTCATCAATAAATATTCATGAAAATAATTTTTAAGAACATAGATAAATGATATGAAAATGTTTTGTCGTCGAATTATTACAGAAGAGTGTCCACCATGCACTTGCACTGCACTATTATTAGAATAGTAGAATAGAATGATATATAAATGGATGAAAATTATATATACATGTTACTGTTATATACAAATATTAATATAATATATAACAACAAACCAGAGTCATGATACTGATGACAAATGATTATATCACTACAATATAATAGTTATTACGGTGAGGTTGAATTCCCTGTCATTTATTCATCATCCATATAAGAACTTGTCTCGGAAAAAAAACTATATCTATGTTTCTTAACCTCACTTTCAGGTATAGAGATTTGATTTTTTTTCTGAGACAAGTGATTGTGACCATCCACAAGAACTTGCGGTCATCCGATGTTCAGTGCTTCAGTACTTTGATTTAGGGTCGTTAACGTACTCTTCATAGGGTAGGACTATTAAAAAAAGAGTATTTGCTATATATTTGAATTTATACAGGAATTATTTACATAATTTTGTCATAAGTTAAACTATAAATCATGATAATATAACGCATAAAAAGCAGGACGAGTTCTAATTAATCGTGGAAGAACGACACTTGTATGACCAATCTAGTCATCCGTCAATACATTCCATCAACGACTTTCTATCCCAATTCTACAACGAGCTTCTTTTGGACAGTGTTATTGGAGTTTTTGAAATATCTTCTTTCAGATCCAGATAACATCAGCCAACCGCAAAACATAAGAGAGTGGTATGCATATTCTGAGCAACTAAGAATAAACTGTGAGTAAAAAATGTTATTATCCTCCAAATATTGCATTATTTATGTGGTTTTATTTCAGTATAGAACAACAATATTTAACTCGCACGAACTAATTTTGGAGACATTGTTTTTTCTCACTTCTTTTTACATACAACCACACATACATACCCGTGACAACTCCCAGAAACTGCAAGTCTGGTGAACGTAAGGTTCTACAGTATGTTATGATTACATATTTGTTTGTGCGGGGTTGGGGATGGTGGTCCATTAAGGGGTATAATTTGTTAGGTTTAATTGGGTTTTGTTATAATTTACTGCCTACAGCTATATGAATTGTTGATTTAAACGAAATAATTGTACACCCATAATAAATAGTTTTAAATAGGGTTCCAGAGGGAAAGATTATTCATTATAGGGATCAAAAGAGTGAACAATATCAAAATGGTTTTTTTTGTGATATCATTGGACAGTTGACCCCAGCCATACCAGATGAGGCTGGATGAAGCTTCACTGAACCGAATTCTTTGAGTGTGCCCCTTAAATGTATTCTTTTGCTTTTTGTGGTTCAAAAATACAATAAAACTGGGTTATTTGTTTGCAGGAAGATACGATTGGGCACCTCTAAAAAAAGTCTTATAAAAGTGGTTTAATAAGGGAACCAATGTCATATTTTTTAATGGAACAAAAGGATGTAAATAGCATTATTTTTTTATTATTATTTATTTAGTAGTATAACTGGGCAGATGCTTCCTGTGCCAGCCAGAATCCCTTTTCTATATTTAGCTCACCTGGCTTGAAGCTTTTCCCATCGCTTGGCGTCCGTCATCGTCCGTCGTCCGTTAACTTTTACAAAGATCACAGTTGGCCACAATCATCATTGGAGTGACCAGTTTAAAAAAATGTTTCCGATGACACTGGCTGCCAACCAACATAGCCGACATGGCTATAAATAGAACATAGGGGTAAAATTTAATTTTTGTTTATTATTTTGAAAACCGCTTTAAAAAAAAGAAAATCTGACAGGGGCAAAAATATTGAGAATGTTGAACTCTACCTATTATAGTCTATTTACGTCAAAACTGTCAGACAACTTCCTATAGGAGATGTTGCCCTAAAATGATGAATTTTACTTCTTTTTTCTTCCATTTTTGCCTATAATAGATAGAAGACACTGAGGAGTGTGGAGCTGGCATGTCAGTAACTGCTAGTAGTCCTTTGTTAATTTATGTGTCATTGTCATTTTGCTTAGCTTCTTTTGTTACCAATTCTGACATCGGACTCGGACTTCTTTTAAACTGAGTTTTATTGTACGTATTGCTGTGTGTTTGTTTATTCTACATTGGCTAGAGGTATAGGGGGAGGGTTGAGATCTCACAAAACATGTTTAACCCCGCCGCATTTTTGCGCCTGTCCCAAGTCAGGAGCCTCTGGCCTTTGTTAATCTTGTATGGTTTTTTTAATTTAGTTCATTTATATGTTTTGGAGTTTAGTGTGACGTCCATTTTCATTGAACTAGTACACATTTTTGTTAAGGGGCCAGCTGAATCCCGCCGCTGGGTGCGGGATTTTCTCGCTGTATTGAAGACCCATTGGTGGCTTTCGGCTGTTTTCTGTTCTTTGGTCGGGTTGTTGTCTCTTTGACACATTCCCCATTTCCATTCTCAATTTTATTTAACCAGGAAAAATGATCAGCAAGGCAAGATTTTCAAATAAGCCAAATAGCAGAAATCGTCAGTCGACTCCTTATTAGAGTTATTGTATTTTAACGAAGATTTTTACCAATCTATTTGCCATTTTGCCTTAAATCTTAAAAACTACAATAGACAGATAGAAACTTTAAACAGCAAAAGTGTTCAACAAAACAATATATATATACATATAAGTCTAATGGTCAAATTCTTCAGTCGACTGGTTATTGAAGTTACAAGGAAACATGACAATGCAAACTTTTTTTATAGCATTAGTTAAGCTTCAGTCTGGAAAAATACAACGTGGAAGCCACGGACATGATATTACCTTGGTGTTAGATTGTTCTGGACGAATGCGAGGCAAAAAATTTACTACAATGATCGAAGCAGCAAAAAAGTATGTTAATGGTATGTACTTTAACTGAATAAATTTCTATTTTTATGTGTTCCGTTTCAAAATATTGAACTTTATGTTAAATATTTATGCACATTGTATGTTGTGTATTTTATATCAAATAAGAAATAGACGGAAAAGGGTTATTAACCAAAATTGGATTTCGAATAGCAAATTCTGGCGTAGATTTCAGGTATTAAGCATGACATATTACTGAATAAAACCTACGAATTTGTTCAAATGTCAATATTTGTTTATTCTTTTTCATTCATGAAAGGCGGAGAAATAGTGTCCAATATGTCGCATTACCGTCCGTTTTATATACTGTGAATTTTCAGCAAAAGTCAGAAGGCCGGCGAAACATATATTGCAATTCTTTTCTGTGTAGTATGTTTAGTTTTCTTAATTTAAAAATTGGCGAATTTTATGCAGGGTAAGTAATCCCTGATTCGTTACTCATTAAACCCATTACGGTATTAAACCAACATTTTTCAACTTTTTCTCTTGGTAGTGTTATAAGTATAATAGTGTACAACGTATTTATTTTTTGGATTTGTCAAATTGAATATTAAAGTAGGACTGCTGTAACAGTAACAGAGGCAGTTGTGAGTGAGGCCTAGACTAACTTTAAAGTAATAATTTGTTCTGTTTATTTTTAGGCATTAAACAAGTTAGAATGACAAGATGGTTAGAAGATAACATTGGCCTGGCTGTTTTTGGTGGGAAATCTGGATTAATTGTCGAATCAACATCTAATTATGACCTAGTCTTGGAGCAAATTAGTAAGGATCATAGCAATGAAGTCTAACTTCCTTAAAATATGCTGATAAATAAACCATGTATAACCAAACCATGTATAACCAAAGCTTTAAACTATCACAGTACGCCAAAAATGAATGCTTTTAGTAAAAGATGACAAGATGATGTATAATAGAAAAAAAAGGAACAGACAAAAGTTAATATTAGAAATTTAAAAGACAGTACCTGCTGTTGACGAAATTGGTCCCCACAAAATTTAACAGTAGTCATTAAATAAGATGATATAAGATCAGATCAGAAATACGCATGCAATTTCTTTTAAGGTCAGCTGCGACCTGAAGGAGAAGCGCCATTAGTTGGAGGATTTCTAATGGGACTTGCTGGTGTACTTGGAGGTAAATATATATATATTCAGTGTGCACCACATTTTTGATGTTATTTCTTCATAAACAGAAAATATTGCAGTCATTTCTTAAATAAATTTTCATATTTGAATAACCAAAATACTTTAATTTCGAGTGCTTCCCGTAACATTCCTGATTTCTACGTCAAACACTTACGAAATTGATGCACACACACTTCATTTATGCATATATGGATCTGATGGAAGCAAACATAAAAAAAAACCACTTTTAATCAAGAACATTGAATTTATTGAAGTATAATATATTCATATATAATGGTAAACAACTTGAGCAACAATTTCTGAAGGTGGAACTATTTCCGCATAGTAAAAGATAAAATTTATAATCTTTTAACTTAACCAATCATCTACTACTGAGATCATCCGCATCAATACATTGATTAGATTTAAAAAAAAAAATGGGTTCAGAAAGGGTTAAAGGGGCACTAGCTGTCAAATTCATGTTCACCGATTTGACTCAAATTCTCATATTTGTTATATAACAATGTAAAACATTTATCCAAATTATAAAAAATCTAAAATAAACAATTTACAGGGCATAGGGTCGATAATATGTAGCTTCGTTTTGTGTGTATTTTAGTCTAAACGCCATCTAATTAACTGTCGAGTTGACCTCCCGAAAACCACCGATGCCCATATAAGGGATATAAACATAAATAAAGATGTAAATAGATAGCGCAACTCGTGCAATTGGATTTTTCTAGGTCTATTTAATTTCATTTATAGATTAAAAATATATGTTAATCATCATTTTGACCTGTATAAGAATGATTTTTTTCAGTCAATTAAATGAATTACCTTTGTTTACTTTCAATGTTGACACTCTTTTCCTTTAAATAAACAAACATGCACACAATTCATGCGTTATCCAACTTTATCTAAGGGGTTAAATTGAAGTTCACATGAATACGGATTCAATGAGGTCGAATTATTCACTTGCAAGTGAATAATTCATCATCAATATTTATTTGCTTATTTTGACAAAATTAGACAATACTGGCTGCTAAAAGCGAATTATTATTTCACTATTCCACTTTTATTAATGATTGAACAAAAAAAATCATATTTTATAAAAAAAAATATATCTCGCAGCTAGTGCCCATTTAAATTGCCAAAGAATTAGAGAAATATGCATTAACAATTTAAAGGTTTTCATTTGTGTTTTCATGGTTGAAAATTTAACATATTGTGTAGACACTTGTATTGTTGAAAACTGTATACTGACTCTTGATGTATAATGGTAATTTTTATTATTATTGAACAATGAACTGTCAAGTTTATTTCAAGATTTGAACTACCATACTACCGTATAATGACATATTTTGTTTTCTCACTAAAGCTGGTGCTACATCACAGATATTGGAAACTGAAGTTCCTGGATATATGATAGTCTTTACTGATGAAATGTCTGGAAATACTTCCACAGACAAGGAGAAAGAATTTGGCATTGATCCATCATATTTAACAGGAAATTTTCATGTACATATTTTTTTTTTCAAAAATTTAATAATTTGAAAATAATAGAAATAATAAGAATAATAATATTAAAGAAAAAAAATTATAAACTTTGCAAACAATGTAAAAGTGTTTATAAATATTCAGACCAATGACTTAAAATATACATATAATACATACAAAATACACAAATTTAACGGAAGTTAAATCGAACTTAAAGATGTAAATATTCAGATAAATGATAATGAAGGTAGTGAAGTGGTCATTATCCCCATTGCTAAATTGTTTCGAAACTAGAAGGTTTCTAGTGCGCTGCCATATTTTCCTTTTATGTCGTCTTTACAGGTAAATCTTATTAGTAACACAGTGTGTAACGAATTTATCTTAAAATGTGGCACTACACCTTTCCACTATTCACTGGTATGCCCCGGGCGCCCTCCTTAGCAACAGTTAGCAACCCAGCATCCATGACGGTTATTATGAACATAGAATAATAACAAAGTAAAGAATTTGTTAAAGAAAATATAAATTAAGAGCAATAATTTATATATTTCATATATTTACTTTTGTGATACAGTATGATGAGAATAATAACTCCTGAAGGTTGAAATGAGAGATCAAAGCTTATGAAGAAATAATTGATATCCATTTATTCAGAATAAAAAGAAAAAAATTAAGATATTGCAGATTTGAAGCTACTGAATTACCCATGGAAATGTCGTTTAACAACAAGATAAGGAATAATACATTACATAAATGATAAATTATGATGATAAGGTTTAATTAATATAAATATGAAGATGTGTATTAGTGCCAATGAGACAACTCTCCACCCAAGTCTTAATGTATAAAAAGTTAACAATTATAGGTCCTTCAACACGGAGCCTTTGCTCACACCAAACAGCAAGCTATAAAGGGCCCCAAAATGACTAGTGTAAAACAATTCAAACAGGAAAACCAACGGTCTAATCTATATAAAAAACGAGCATGTATAACGAATGCTGATAAGTGTGTTTACTATGTAGACAAACACAGCATGGGTCAACTTGTAAAACAAGCATCATTACTCCAGTACTTATATGATTATTTATCAAATAACATTTGGCAGGGTTTCTGCTGTTTTTATAGCCATAAATAACTTAAGGATGATTAAAAAAATTCTTATTTCTAAGTAAAATTACAGAAAAAATTATTAATTGATCCTTTGCATACAGGAATATTTGCCCATTTTACTTGTCCTTTTTTGAAATTTATATTCATCTCTTGTCTTCTACAGGAATATTGCACATAGTAATGACCCCATTTTTTAAATTAAAAGGTATCCAATAGTTCTTAATTCTTATCTTTTTTAGTAATTTATAAATAAATTTGAAAAAGAGTCAAGTAGATCTACAATCAGCAAATATTCCTATATATTTATTAGAAAGTTATATATGAATATATGACAAATTAACTTACTTTTTATGAAGCATCTATTGAAACTTACTTTTAAATTGATTAACTGAATTCCCACTACGTCTTTTAACGAAAGGATAGAGATGAGGGCAGTATAAACAAAAATACTTTCTGAACCCTTTGCATATTGTAAACTAAAAGACTACAAATATATAAAATTCACTACATCATTTCATTTCATGTAGAATTTCAGATCAGTAATTTCAATTTCCATATCACTGCAGGATAGATTATAAGGTGGGAACACATTCATTTCTCTAAAATGATTTTATTTGCAAAGAACATGGCATAGTTCTTGTACACTGAATATTATAATGAAAAACGCAAAAAGTACTTTGTAAATTTGCGGTCCAAAAGATGATATTCTTAAGTTTTCAATTTAAATTGAAATCTCTGAAACTGCTTTCAGTACAAACATTAAAATTTGGATAAATTATAGATAATTCTTTGTAAATGAATTGAGAACAGTTGTCAATTTTTTGTTGTTGAATCCGGCGTTTTGCATTTGCGCCGATCTGCATTTCATTTGCGCCGATTTTTTGTTTCATTTGCATTTTTAAAATCATAAATCTTGCCGAGTATTTATAGGCAACACATCTAAATTAATATATTCCTTTCTTGTGATTTCGTCTCTATATTTGTCGTAATTGTCAGTAACGAAGTCCATCTTTTCTTTCTCTGGCTAACGTACTGATGCGGGCATTTCTAAAGTTCGCATTTTAACGTACGTAACGGCCTGGATTTTCTTAACTTCAACATAAGTGAACAACGTTTATAACCAGATTTTACCAATATACATTCAAGGTATAGTACATGTACAAATATTTACTCACCTGTGTTAAACTGTAAATGTAGTTAGGAGCAAATATAAAATCGGCGCAAATGAAAAAATGAAATCGGCGCAAATGAAAGAATGAAAATTTCAAAAATCGGCGCAAATGTCATACGCCCGTTGAATCTTTATTATATGATATATTGTTATTTCCATTAATTATACTATAACTTGCATGCTTATACATAATCTTTAAATTGGAAAAAAATATCATTTTCAATTCAATTTGGACACTATTCAAATCTCTCATGGTTTTAGAATATTTTTTTTTCAAATATAGCATGTAAACAATATTCTAAAAATTATTAGCACTGCCATCCTATTCCTTCTCAATTAATTTATCAATAAAAGTTCTGTCATTCATAAAAAAAAATATTTTGTTTTAAGTTTTCAACTTGACCTCCCTCCAACCTCTTACACTGATTGCATTCTCAAAATCAAAATTCTGGAGATTTATTTGTGAAATTTTTAAGAAATGTTGGATCAAATTAACTGTTAAGTTAAGAATGTTTGACCGAGGTTATGGCCGACAACACGTGCTGGTATCAGATGTTTATACACGTGCTAAATTTACCACATGTGATTGTTTAATTTACTGATGATTGATAGGAGATTGGAAAGGTGTTTTCGACTAGTGGCCTATCAAAGTGATCAAGTCTTCAATATTAAGAACCTAATCCCATTGGGCTATACAAAAACAAGTGCCAACAACAACATCTTGTAAGTTTAAATGTGTTTTCTGCATTTATTTCAATCGTTCATCGTCAATTTCTTCATCTGTTGTCAGGGCGAAACGTTTCAGATTTTTCCTCAACGCCGCGTTGATTTTATAAAAGGACGTAACACCACTACTAACCGTATATTTAAATAAAACACGCGCACTAACCCCATTTTAAATATATAGGGTCTCCATGTGTTTGCTTTTAACCTAAGATATTTCTAGAAGTGTAGTAGGAGGTAAGATAATGTTTTTTTATCAGGTTCAGTAGATCTAGACCTGAAGAATATGAGGGCAATTTGGCTATGTTAGCTTGAGTGCCATAAAATATCTTCCCTTGACATTTTTCAAGGGAAATTTCAGTTTCTTTATCAATACATTAATTCAGATAGGAATAAAAATGTTTTCAGAATTGTCAGACTTTAGCCGTCAAATTTAGGGAAATTATGTAGGATAAAAAAATCATGAAAATGATGGTTTTAAACATATGCTCCCATCTGGATGCATCGGATATCTTTTTAAAGGATAGTACTTGTTTAATGTTGATGCTTATAAAAATTTCCCAAATTGAGATCATTTCAGTGATATAAGATATGACAGCTTAGTTGTGGGTCGTTTTATTTAGGGAAGGAAGTGAGGGGTTGTGAGATTTTGAAATGAATTAATTTTATATACTGATTTTTTTGTAAAAAAACATGCTGTTATTCTGGCACTGAAAAAAGGTTTTTTTCTAATGCAGAAGCAAGCCGAAATGAGTGGTACAATATTACAGATAGCAAGCCATTCAATCAAAATCTTTTATGTACCAATTGGAGAAAATACACGAAACGAAGTAAGTCGTATATTATATGTTGCATAATACAATACCATAGTTTTCAAATACTCTTAACAAAACAAATAAGATCATACAATATATTTAAATACACATTTTAATCAAGAGCTATTTTCAATTATTGTGTTAGTCAAAATAAGAAAGAATGACAGAAAAAATAGAAAAACGAATATATAAGAGACATGTAAAAAAAAAAAACATAACAAGAAAAGCAAAATTGAAATAATTGATACGAGTTTTATAGAAAATGTTCTCTGTGGGAAATAATTTTCCCATTTTTTACACACATAATGGATTATTTTAAACATCCAGAAATACCTGAAATTTATTTAAGGTAATGGAAACGGCAGTACGTGAGACTAAAGGTAAAATAATCCATTTGAATGAACTCCATCGACTAGTCAAATTGACCCAAGTACTGGTAAATATACTTTTATATGCTCCTTTTGTGATTTCATGGGAGAATTTCTAATGTTTATACTACTTCACTAAACTAGGCAGAGTTATATGGATTTCAATTTGGTGTCTTAACACTGACTGTCCTACCTGTGCATATTTATTGATAAAATTTTACATTGTCCCTCGTTTGTAATTATTATAACACAGTGAAATTCAAGAATACAGTACAGTCTTATATACAGTTCTTATTATATTCAAATGTATACTGGTCGAGTGACAGTTGTGTATGGAACGCCACAGCTGTCTTATGTGGTATCTGAAATTACGTTATGTGGTTTAATTATTCCTTGATGATATTTTGTCTTTACATAATATGGTTTTGACATTACTTAATGATGTTTTGATATTACTTAATATGGTTTTGTCATTACTTAATATGGTTTTGTCATTACTCGATGTGGTTTCACCATAATTAAATGTGGTTGGGTCATTAGGCAATGTGGTTTTAATATTACTTGATATGTATGTGGCTTAACGTAGTGTAGGTGTTTCATTACATGATGTGGTTTTGTTATTTTCGTAATAATGATTTGCCAAATCTTTATACGACTTTAACATTACATAATGATATTTCAAAATTTGACGATTTCACACTACATGATGTGTTCGTTCCAGTATTTGATGTGGTCCTGTCATTCTTTGATGTGGTTATCACATTACTTGATGAGGTAAAACCACGTGACCATTTTGGAAAAAAATAGTTCTATCTTTAAACCGATTTCCATATGTCGTTTGTTTAATGTACTTCGGATGAGTGTCGCTATCCATTGAGTTAATGTTCATAAAAGTTAGAGTTGTTGTTCAGATTTATTTGGTATGAAAAAGGGGAACGGCATACAAAAATAAGAAAAAAGTGCTAAAAAATAAACAATATATCGGATATAAGGGGGGTATCCCAAAACCATTTGGTCCGGCCGTTTTTATCCATAGTTCTCAAATGGAAGCAGTATTATGATAAATTCGTGAAGGATTCCACGGAACCCTGTGTCCCGCCTGAGATTGCTGCTGTCAATGGACAAGTTTAATGTTGACTGTAAAAAGTCCATTTATAGGTAAAAAACAAAATTTGAAAATTTGTTTTTCTGTAGATTCTTTATCTTGATCTTGAAGATTAATTCCTATACAAGTTTCATAATAATTCATGGAGGTTTACAAATGTATCATGACAAAACAGTTTAATTCGGTAATATTTACGGCCAATAAAACTAATATAAAAATAAGAACAATGAGACAACTCTCCACCACATACCAAATGACGTAAAAACTCACAACTATATGTCACTGTATGGTCTTCAACAATGAGCAAAACCCATACCGCATAGTAAGCTATAAAATGTCCCGAAATGACAAATGTAAAACAATGAGAAACCTAAGTTAAACGATCTAAATGATGAAGACGCCAACGCCACTACCGACGACAGAATATAGCAGGCTCGACACAATTCAAATGAATTGCACTTTATTGCCTACAAATGAGACAATTTTAATCAACTCACACTAAAGATACAGGGAAACGAGAGAATCGGACTAGGCGACAAAGCATCAATTCTATAAAATAAGAATTCTCCGATTGTTTTTAACGTGTATGATCATTTGAACATATACGAATATCAATCTTTTATTTTTATAAATTGCATTCTCTGATATACATCGCACTAAATTGAAAAAAAAACTTTTTTGAATATCTGTTTCACAAGTTACGACGGATATGTTCCAATTGTCGTAACCACAATCCCGTCCTCTTTTCCTCGAATGTGACCTACCAAATTAGACCAAATCACTGGGTTAGTACTTTCACAAATAACACTACGGGTGCCTCACGTTGAGCAGGATCTGCTTACCCTTCCGGAGCATCTGAGTTCACCCCCGGATTTTGATGGATTTATATTACCCAGTCATACCGATCTATTGAAATAAGCCAATTGCAACTGATTTTCACAGTTTTTTCTTATGTTGTCCTGTTTCAATGTCCCTGGTTATGGTAGGGGTCTAATTCGAATACCCTCAAAAGGTGACTCGAACTCTACATTTAAATGTGACTCAAACTCGAAGTTAAACTAGAAACTCAATGCTAACTCGATCTTTTATTCTAATTATGGCTTGAATTCTAGCTCTAAATCGAAGACTAACTCGAAGTTTAACACGAACTTTAATTTGAACTCTAACTCGATAGATGGCCACACTCATCCGAGGCCCATAAAACATGGAAATCGGTTTTAAAAATAGAACTAGTTTTATCAAAATGGTCACGTGGTTTTACCTTATCAAGTAACGTGATAACCACATCAAAGAATGACAGAACCACATCAATTACTTGAACGAACACATTATGTAGTGTAAAATCGTCAAATCTTGAAACATAATTATGTCATGTTAACGCCATATAAAGAATGGGCAAATCATCATTACGAAATAACAAAACCATATCATGTAATGAAACAACTACATTACGGTAAGCCACATACACATCAAGTAATGTTAAAACCCCATTGCCTAATGACACAACCACGTTAAATAAGGGTGAAACCACATCGAGTAATGACAAAACTATATCAAGTCAATACGACACCATATCATGTAATATCGAAATATCATAAAGTAATGACTATTCCATATTGAGATATATCAAAACATCATTTTGTAATGTCAAAACAATATTATATAAAGACAAAATATCATCAAGCAATGATAAAACAACATAACGTAATATCAAAGTACCACATAAGACAGCTGTGGCGTTCCATAGTTGTGGCTGTATTTCTGTGACGTATCGTTACGCATTTTTGGCTGCCGGATCCCCATTATTGTCACGTCAACCATTTATGTCTGTTTGGGTTGCTCAGCCAATGTTCATCGTCCCGAAATTGGTTTCCGTTCTCTAACTTTAGTTTGCCTAAACCAAATCTTATACACAATGCTTATTACCACAAAACTCAGATCAAGTACGAATTTGGGTAGGTCACTTTTACCGATCTTAAGTTATTTCCCTTTATAACGCTATATGCAAGCGGGGGCATCTTCTGTGTCCCATTGACACATTCCCCCCTTTTTTAGGGGAGTTATTTCAACCTGTAAATCAGTATAATTTTAGGTAATATCCCTAATTATGAAAAATCTTTGAATCTTTTACTTAAGTTCATTGTATCACAGCCAGATATGTGTACTTTAAGGTTCTTAATATATTATGGCTTATTTCAAAACAAATCAATATCCAAAAACCGCAATTTTGACAGATTTTGACAATATTCATCTCAAAAATGTATTAAAATGGCATCGTTAACCTAATTCGAAAGTCAGCTGGAAGAAAAGCTATGTATTGTCTTTCGAATATACATTAATTAATTTAAGCTATCAATGTCCCTCAAAAATTGTCAAAAAGATGTGTTCAATTTTGTATCGAAACGTCTTTAACAGCAATATGTAGTGATAAATAGTACTGGAATTATATGGAAATATATGACTTTGTGGAACAATATTTTAAGTATATGATATACACTCTTTGATATTCAATTCTAGTAGAATTGGCAACTTTCATATTTTGACCATGTGAGTGAAACAAATATAGGGGACATTAGTTAACCTGTACTGATCATTTGAGATTCAAGACGACAGATTAATTCCATTTTATCTTCAACGGCATTTTCAATTCTTCATTCTCATTCTTTGAATGCAGTAGTGTTATAATGTTTTATCCACCACCCAATTGCAAGCTTAAATTTAGACAATGTCATCTCCAAATAATTTGTTTGGAAGGTATTTCAGTTAAATAATGATTAGAAATGTTCAGTGTTGATGACATATTTCTAACATGTTTAAGTTAAGTTTAGGAACTGTTTCTTGCATCCAATTAAATATGGTTATAATCAATAAATGAATTTGAAATAGAATGTACGAAATGAGCCGGTCATTATTTGGCCCCCGAAATTGTAAAAATATTGAAATTCTTCTGAACTTTCAAAAATATATTAATTTCTTTGTGATAAATAAATACGTTGCTGTCTTCAGTTTACATGAGTGCCATTTGTGATGTCATTGTTACGTCATAATAAAATCGGTTATTTTGCATTCAGTTTTCAGTTAAATGAGAAAGTTTACAAAAACAAAGGGTCAAATCTGGAATCAATGTCAAGCTTCGTTATGCTTTCCAATGCTTAAACATAAAAAAATGATAATCTGCAATTAAAAATCCTTTTTCTGCTGGAAAGGGATATCTAATCATTGCGTGAAATTAATGCTTTATGCTATTTGTACATAACAGAAACTTTCATAAGAAATGCACAAATAAGAATTAACAAGTGAGAATAAATACATGATATACGAATCAGTATGTATAGAAAACATTACGTTATTTTGATAAGCTTTAATGTATCTTCCGTATCCAGATATGTAAGAACACATTTGGATAGTTATCTTACATAATGAAAGACATTGCCTAATTTGTTTTAGATATTAGCAGCACAAGTAGCGTCTGATTTAAGACACACCAATCCTAATCCAACCGCTGAAGATGTCAGATTACGAATATTTCAAAGAACATCAAATCCAGACAATGCAAATGTACGTTTGATTTACTTTATGATGGATATTTATTATATTATAAAATATGAAGAACTTTGTATCACTTCCTCATCTACCAGATTAAATTAAGTAAAATTGAGAATGGAAATGGGGAATGTGTCATAGAGACAACAACCCGACCAAAGAGCAGAAAACAGCCGAAGGCTACCAATTAGCCTTCAACACAGCGAGAAAATCCCGCACCCGGAGGCGGGCTTCAGCTGGCCCCTTAACAAAAATGTGTACTAGGTCAATGAAAATGGACGTCACACTAAACTCCAAAACATATAAATGAACTAAAATTAAAAAACATACAAGACTAACAAAGGCCAGAGGCTCCTGAGTTTGGACAGGCGCAAAAATGCGGTGGGGTTAAACATGTTATGTGAGATTTCAACCCTCCCCCTATCCCTCTTGCCAATATAGAATAAACAAACACACAGCAATACGCACAATAAAACTCAGTTTAAAAGAAGTACGAGTCCGATGTCAGAATAGGTAACAAAAGAAACTAAGCAAAATGACAATGATACATAAATTAACAAAGGAATACTATCAGTTACTGACATGCCAGCTCCAGACCTCAATTAAACTGATTGAAAGATTATGTCTTCATCATATGAAAATCAAACACAATCCTTCCCGTTGGGGGTTTAGTATCATACCATCATAAAATATATGAGAAGAACATAACCCATATCATGCAAACAACTGGTTTTAGAATAAATGTGTTTTTATTTCCGACGCAAAGACCCTCTGAGTGAATCAATATTAATACCAAAATATGCCATCTTTAATGACCTGACGTCAGTATCGTAACTATATCCCATCTGAATAAGTCTGTTTAAAGGTTTGGTTAGCTTTTGAGGTCAATGTCGACATTTTTGTGCTTTGTATAGAATATTACCATAAAAGATTGGATGTGAAATACCTGAATGTATAAGATGTCTGCATTTTGATTTATATTTACGAATGATGTCCTTGTACCGATGATAAAATTTAGTAAATGTTTTGATGATTCTATATACTGAATATAACATAATACAATTGAGAATGGAAATGGGGAATGTGTCAAAGAGACAACATGCCTAGTGAAATTTGTTATTTTTATAGTTCATTATTTAGTTTGACTTATCTGTGGAAATAATGCCTATACAATTCATTCCCAAAGCCCTACAATTTTTTAACTAAAGATGACGCTCACCTAGGAGAATAAAAATCCAGAGGCAACCATTTATATATAGATACTATTTAAAGTCTCTTCTCATTTTCTTTGTAGATATTAGTTAATATAGAAATAAATGATGCAATGATAACCAATTTATTTTTCCATAGGATGACTGTGTTGATTTAGTTTTGGAGTTTGTTAAACCAATGTGTACTGATAGAAATAGAGGTTTATATAATGAACTGGTGTGTCTAACACTACAACTTGGAGACCGAGTACGACGTGGTCAGGATTGGAGGTTTCAGGAACAGGATTCTGGTCTTGTAGGAACAGTTGTTGGACAAGAACCAGGCAGTAGTAAGATTCATAAAATAAAAAAAAAAATAAAATACTACCTCTGATTCGATATGGCTGCTGGAAGCCTGTTAGTGTCCAAAGTCATCAGCTCAGTAGACATGATCTATAACATACCTTTCTTAAATTCTCCTTTTGGACATTTTTAAGAAACTAAGGTTAGAACTCCCTCAAGCAAAGTTCACCTTAGATGGATTCTCTTTTATGGCCTTTTGGTCATAAAATAGCTTCTCCAGTATTCAAGTTCTTATACATCCTCGGCTTTCAAATATTTGGTTTGATCGTTCCGGATGAAGCCTAATTCAGAAAGGCGTTTATGACACATCATACATACAGTGTTATTTTCATTTTTCAAATATGCAATGTGCGCACTGTTCATTGTGTTATGTTTCATATTTATATCTCCCATCCGTGTCTCTCAGCAAACAATGTCCATTGAAGGAAAAATATTTGGGTTTTATTAAATAGACAGCACCACAGCAACACCACGAGTTACCCCCTTGATCTTTTAAGATTGTTAACAAATTATGAGAAAACCTATCTATATACGATCTACAAAAATCAAATTGATGTTTATTTGTTATGATTTGGTTTACGTAATTGAAAAATACGAGAGCATGCTACTTGGTTTAAACAAAAAGAAATTGTCCCGAAAACCGTGCAAAAGGTCTATTTTGATACAAAAACCGTTTTTAAGAGACAATTTAGAATTTATAACAACAGCTAATTAAGGATTGTCAACAATTGGGAAATGAGAAATTATGGTGCTTAAATAATGAGTTTGACAAATATCAGTTACTATAATGGTTTTCTTGTCAACTGTCGTTACTCGGAGGAGAGTTGTTACTAAAATGTATGGATCCTTTATTTACTCCCAGTTGAGAGGATTATCTTGATAAAGCTATAGCGTTTAACTCAGTTTATTTCTCATTACTCACATACTTAAAGGCCTCCATATCAAAGAAAAAGCATTCCTTACATTGGAGATACCTATTGGAACCAAGTTTGATCTTCTCGCCAATTTGTTCGTTTAAAAGTATGAGAAGACGTCATATAACGGCTTCTAAAAAAATGAAGAGAAGCTAGCACTATTCAAATCTATCTTTTTATATGGTGTCCTGTCATTGAACAATTGAAAGTTTGTTGACTTGTGTTGATCACATCAATTCATTTGAACTTGAAATAAAGGATACGACAGCTACAGTAAACTCGGCTTCATATCTTGACCTACATCTAAAAATTAACAGTGTTGGTGACTTCATAACTAAACTTTATCACCAAAAAATTGAATCCAATACTCTCGTTGTAAATTTTACATTCTTATGTTCAAGCAAAACCGCATATGATTAATTTATCTCGAAGTTAATACGAAATTCCTAGGCAGTGTTTTATATTATGATTTTTTTTACAAAGGTTCGCTGCTAAAAAAAAGAAATATTGAACAAAGTGTTCGTAATGGTTGAAGGCAATGCTTCGAAATGCCATAACGATTTGGTTGCCGTTTATGGAATAAATATGCCACATCCGACCATGAAAAGATATCACTAATCGTAAACAAAATCCCTTTTTACTCCCCTCGTTTGTGACATCGCTGAAATCAAATTCCCATCATATTTTGACTTTATATTGAGCAGCAGAACGATGGCCACTATTTAAGAAGGAACTGCTTACCATTACGATCGATGGGGTTAATGAAATATCTCTGAAATACTGTAGATAATTTTTGTTTTAAGGACATTGTCATAAATCCTCGGACTAAGCTTTCAATATGTAAAATAGTATATCGTATTGTTTGTATTGGAGGGGGCCTCGGTGGCCGAGTGGTCTAAGTAGTCGAACTTTTGAAATGTAACATGTCTGATAATGACACTTGTCCGGTGTGTAAACAATTTAGAGAAGATTTAGAACATATGTTCATTAATTGTGTCAATCTGTCACAATTCAATGATTTTCTGAAAGATTTTTTAACAAATTGTATGTGCAATGTTGATGAAATGTTTGTAAACACGCTTAATTTTGACCAAACGATGCCGATTGGTTTTTTGAAGAAAAGTAACGGTTTGAATTTTTAATTCGCAGATGTTATTATGAGTATAGCAAGATTTAGTATCTATGAAAGAAAAAAAATCGTATTGTTGGATCCTCAAGCTAAACTCAATTTAGTAGACTATTTTAAAACATTTTTAGAAAAACACATCTCTCACTTTTTTTATCTTTTAAATCTGAGAAAAGAACTTATTAGAAAAATATTTTATATCAGACAATCCTGTTATTAAAGTAACAGATAACCATTCAGAAATATCGTATTAGTTCTAAACTATACTAGTTGATATGTAATAGAATTAACATATTCAAACTTTTGTTGAATTGCTTTTGATTATTTTTTGATCGACTACATGTAACTGTTTGTTTTGTGACACCAGGTACTAGTGAATTTTTATTGTACATATTTGGATAAAATTTATAGAAAAAGTAGTCGGAACTACTGTATCACTAGTCTGACAACATGTTGTGAGTTCGAATCCCGCATGTTGCAGGTGCACTCAACTCCAATCTTAATTGACTAGGATTGTCATTTTTCTTACCGAAGGTCGGTGGTTCTCTCCGGCTTCCTCCACCAAAATAAACTGACCACCACAAAATAGCACAATAGCATCAATTAATCAATCAATTTTGTATTGGAATTATTAGTATCGTACTATAGGAGGGAAATTTTTTAAGTAACAAAACATTTATTTTTCACTTGTTCCTAGGTAACAAGGGAAAGTTTATCATATTTTATCCCCCCTCACCCGATAAAAGGTTACACATCTACTAGATTGTTATTGTCCTTATACCAAAAACAAGTGGAATACTGGAACCTACGTCTGTGATTGTCTAAATCCATTTTGATATTTCCAAATCTTAAATTCAGTCAAATAACTTATTACTGTGAATTCAGAAATTATTGCGAGGTTTTTATTAATGCGAATAATGCGATTGAGTGAGTATCGCAATAATAAGAACTCGCATTCTGAATTTCGATACATATATTTGTATGCAGATTTTCTTGAAATCGCAATAATTAATCTCGCATTTTTGTTCATTCTTCAAAAATGGCAAAAAAATGCACGCAATAATTTCTGAGTTTACAGTATGAATAACAGTCGATCCTTGGTCTACGTCATTGAGATAACAACCCGATGACACAAATAACCGACAGTCATCTTGAGTTTTATAAAATAAAATAGTTTTAGCAAGATGATTATTGTATTTTCAGCAGTGAAAGTTGCATACATATTTATAAGTTTCATACTGAGAAACCAAGCTACTAAAATAAGGGATCTTCAGGTAAAAATCTTGAGGCGAAAGAAAATGAAAAAGACCATTTAAAAGACAATAACTGAATGAATATTCTAAATAACTTCCCTGTTTTTTAACCGTTTCTAGAGAAAACAAAATAACATTGTCTTCCTGTTAATTATAAAATTAAGATAACATAAATTTCGTGCGTCTGAACTGATATCCTGGATTTCATTTCATCAAGATTGATCAAACCAAAACATTTGAAAGTCAAGGATGCATAAAATACCCGAATACGTTGAGAGTAAAATTTCAAAAAGGGACGTAACAAGAGTGACCGAATTCATCTAAGATCATGTAGTATAATGTTAAGTAAGAATAAAATAGTATTGCTTTCTTTTTAAAAGATTTGGTAGTGCTCTTCATTTAGTACCTGTTGAAATAGATACATCGCTGCTGGTCAAAATTACTACTTGATTTGTAATTTGTCAATTCGAAGTTTAGTTTCCTAATATTAATGTCATGATATTTATGTTTTATTTTGAATGAAGATATATTAAGTTAAATCTCGTGTTTATGTTGCTTATTTTTAAATTTCTATTTCAGAAGCGGTTTGGGTAGAATGGGATAGTGGTCATTTAAACGTATATATCTACGACGAACTAAACCATATTTATAGTATTAAAAAAGTACATGAACCCAGAGTGTTATTTGATGAAATGGTTGCCGTTGGATGTAAAGTGACAAGAGGTATCTTAACTGTGAAAATCTTTTGAAAATGATACGTTTGTACTGAAAATAGGGATTCTTTGTTAAAAAAAAATAAACATACCTTAGTCCTACTAAATTTCTTTGGTATTCCTCACGCAACGAAGTTGCAGAGGGTATATTGTTTTTTTGAACCGTCCTTCAGTTTATTAACATTATGTCGCACATTTTTTAAAGTACTGGAGGAGTTCGATAAACAGAAGAATCTTTTACTATTGAGTACATATATTTTGTAAACTTGTGTATCTAGTGTCATAAAGGCTACTTTTACAACATGTTCTGTTCATAAAAGTGTTCAGACAGATATATACTAAATATATGAAATAGAGTTATGTTGCTTCAAGAATAGTGGCATTTGAGGAACAACAAGCAAAGACATATTTACGACAGAAATGTGGTAAAAACTCATTAAAGATACTTGGATTCTAATTTGGTACGCCAGACGAGTAAACATACTTTTTATAGTTCCAAAACCAGCTGTTATGAAATACGATATATTAATATTTCAGCAATTTGATATTTACAACCCATAAATGTTTTTTGGGTCGAAATCTTTAAGTGGTCACAGAATTGTATTTGCGAAATTTCATTACTAAGACGCATTAAAAAATTATACAAATAAGAAAACACACAATTGAGCATATAGATTGTATTCCCTTAACGAGTTCAGTAATAAGGATTTAAAAAGGGACAATACCATTAAGTCTATTTGGTTAATTCAATTATCATACTCTCATTTTTACAGTATAAGCTATAATCTTGGGTCACTTTTTAATTATACAAAATATCCTTACTTCACTTCTAATGTAAAACTGCATTTCTTAACTTTGCTTGTGTGTTTTTCACTATTAGGAAATGATTGGACATTTGACAATGCAGATGGTGGACCTGGGGCAATTGGGACTGTACTTAAAGTAAAACAGGATGGATCTGTTGTTGTAAGAATAATTAATACTAAATTAATAATAACACTCGTTTTGGTTTGATTTTGGTTTCCAAATCATTTAGTATTTTATAAATACACCTTGTGTGCACAGAAATCGAAAACGGAATTGTAAACATTACAAAAATTGGCTCCGATTTATTGCTGATTTACTATTACTACCTGAGGGTTTTATTCGGCACATACAATTGCAGCAATATCAATATAATTCAAATGATTATTTCTTAGGGTCATAATCAGTTTATAAATCAATTTAATGTTATGAAGCTAAGGTTGCAATCTAGCAGGCAGATTTGACCTACAAGGATTTTTTAAACTTGTGTATGCCCTTTTGGTTTTTGGATACATTTAAGATTTTTTATGTTTGTCTTCCAAACCGGGTGACATTTGATGATATTTCATAAACACCTGTCTAGTCCTGCTGATTGGAATCGGTATCATATGCATATTTCGCCTGATTCCCCGTGCCGTTTGTCTACACAAGACTCATCAGTGACGCTTGAATAAAAAATGTTGGAAAGCTAAATCTAGTACGAAGTTGAGCATATGTAAGTGAAGTGAAATCAAAATTTAAACGTGTAAAACATTTATACTCAGAATTTAAACAGTTTTCCTATGAACTCGTGGCTAGATAAATACAACACATTGCCGTAGTTATGACCTTTTACAAGTCATGAAGGGTAAAAAATGGACAAATACTCAAACTTAATTTCTTGTTCTAGTCAGATATTTTTTTCTTCTTCAGATATCCACTTAAAACTCCAGATCCTTAAAATTTTGCGATTTGATTTAGTTGAAATGATATGGTTTTACGAGATGAAGTTGACTCATGAAGGCTACAACGGGCGTGCACTAAAATAGTTACTTAAAAAATATAAGACGGACTTAGATGGGCTTTTCCCAAATGAATCATTGTTTATTACTGTGAATTCCAATTATCATCTTAACGATAAAACAATTTATTGTACACTTAGATATGGACACAAGTAAATTGTATATGTAATACAATCAATGACAATCGTGTTGTATCAAATATCCGTGATAATATCGATATTGGCCACGGTCTCAAATGTTTATCATTTCCCTAATCTTTATACGTCATGTCATCGATATCAATAACAGGTCCAAAGGCTTTATCAACCTCCTAATCTGTCGTATGTCAAATCACGTAAAAACATATATTTGAGTTATATAAAAAAGTGTATTTGATTTGTCTTTTCATTATCAGACAACGTACCAACCCTCAACCAATATAATCCCTCGCGCAGAGCTCTTGGGTTTATATTGGTGTCTCGGGTTGATACGGTTGCAATATTGACAAAGCTATGTGACATTATCTATTTATCAATATTTTACAACAACAACAAAAAAAAGAGAAGAAGCGCAGATTATAAAATGGCAGAAAAAATCCAATGTTTTCAGATTACAAATGAGACAATCATTAAACTTGACAAACAATGAATTATAAGTAAATAAACTTAAGGTATAGATCAAAATAACTGAAACTAAATAAATCTTTTTGATATAAAAATAACAAGAAACTCAAAGTGTGATTTATATAAATGCACAGAAAACTGATTTGCTGTGTTTCTTGTACGGCTTATTTGTAAGAGACTTCTGGAAAGCGATATCAAATAAAATGAATATAATTATTTCTTTGAGAAAAAAAAAATTATCGCTGAAAGACATAATATTTCGGCAGAATATTTTTTATAGTTTGTTCTTATGTTGTGTTGGTACACATCTCTCCCTGATTAGGAGATGGTTGAGCGGTTACAATCACGTTTAAAACTGCCACATTCCTTATGTACCTGTCCGAAGTCTGTAATTCAGTTGCTGTTGGTTGCTGTCTGTACTATTTGTTTCCCACTATCGTAGAAAAGGCATAACAAGTTGTCAAGCCATATGGCAGAAAAAGTATGTCAACTTTTTCATTTATTTTACTTTATCTAATCAGGCATTCTTACAAATAAATATTTGAAGTCTGGCTGTTTCTGAAAAGAAGTAGTTCGTATTATTAAAATATGTATAATATATCTATAAAAACATATTTTATGAAATAAAAGAAAAATTATTAAATGTGATAAATAAAGATAACCTTTAACTCAAATAAGCATTTAATCCTCGTTTCTTTATCAATAAATATCATTTATTCAGATAATTACCATTTCATGCTTCAATATGTGAAACTCATTTAACAATTAGACTTATTTCCGAAAAGGCAGAAACTGTAAACAAATTTTAATTTTCTGGTAAAAAACTAAATAGTTTGCTGAATTTACGTTGTTTATCGTTTAGAGGATAACTGGAATTCACAGGAATACTGTAAAATGTTGACGCCCTAATAGTGGGCATCACTTTATCGTGTAAAGATCAATACTGCAAATGTACTTAATGTAAAACAATTTTTTCCTTGCCGAAACTAATGCGTCCGATTGTGTTAGTAAAAAGAACATACATTAAAAGCAACATGAGGATTAACAATTGCAATATTTCCAATTTTGGATGTTTTCAGGTTCGCTGGCACTGTAGGAATACTGGCAAATATAAAATGGGAATGAATGGATTATTCGAAATTCAAATATGGCAAGTATAGTATATGATGTCAACAGGCATGGGGTAATGCAAATTTGTAATTGTAATGCATGGTAATGCAGTACATTTTTCTAAGTAATTGCATGTAATGTGTAATGCAGCAATTTTTGCATTACATGTAATTGTAATATAATGCATTACTTGAGAAAAAAGTTGTGTAATTTCATGCATTACATAGCATAACTTGGCATTACTTTTTTTTCACATACTACATATCTTTCACAGATTGTTGGAGATTTAGATGAAGCAGAATTTAAGATTTCTTGATTAATTAAGAACATAATCATTTGGATATTGATTTTTTTTATTTGAAATTACTGTAAAAGTGTTTTATTGTTGTCAAAACATAAATGAATACATTTTCATGATTAAATAACAGAAATTTGACTATTGTCATTAAACACTAGTTAGTTTGTTTTACAATCAATCTTTTCATCATTATGACACTTGGTCATAAATTAAGCTATTTGTTTATTATTTGATTAGGAAAGAAATTCTTTGTTAGTATTTTTTATTGGAATTAATAAAACAAATGTATATTTATAAAAGTGAAGTTATTAAACATTAGTTAAAATAAATCTTAAACTTCATCTCTGTTATTTCTATTAAGAGTAAACACAGAGATGTATACTTTGAAACCCTTATGATGTTAAAATGCAATAGTTATATTGAATAGACTCTTTACTATATACTTAAATTTAATATGTATACGGTACAGTTATTGTATATGCTAGAATCTTGTGATTTCATGTTGTTTTTCAAAATGTTTGATTTTTTTTCACTTAATAATAACATTTACAAATGTAATGTGTAATTCAATGCATTACTTTGCAAAAGTAATTGTAATATAATGCATTACTTTGATAAATGCATGTAATTGTAATTGTAATTTAATGCATGGTTTTGTCGAAGTAATTGTAGTATAATTCATTACATTGCAATGTAATTCGCCCCATGCCTGGATGTCAATGATGCCCCAATGATATATATTTGAAATCAAATTGCAAGTTTAGAAATAAATGATTGTAAAATACTAAATACCGGAAATCTTATATATTTTATTTATTTCCTCTGTCAATTGATATTATAGGTGTTTCTCTTTTAAATGTTTAGTCAACTTTGAGTTTCAGATTTCCTATCCTTAGGAAAAGAAAATATTTTAAAATTCACTCTTAAATATAACACTATATGTAAATGTAATATTTTCGTTCCAGTAACGATTCGTCTACTAGTGAACACACATATAGCACAGATAAAACCACCAACAAATACCAAAGTGCTGATTTTACTTTTGAGCATGTTGATACTGGTCATCTGAAGAATACAAGTACAGCTCATACCGAGCAGAGAAATGCACAGGAACAAGAACATTATGATGAATATGTTCTGAATGTTAATGATGAAAGTGGTACGGTTTAAAAAAAAAACGTTGATGACAAATGTATTTAATTTGATAAAAACAATTCATTCGATCTACAAATGAAGGACAATTACACATTTTAGTAGTATGAATACTTTAGGCTTGCATATAAACTGATGGTTAAATTCTGAAAATGATAGAAGATTATTGACTGCAATAATTCAGAAGCAGATGGGGATTTATGGGGGCAGATGCCCCTTTCGAGATACATATATGAAAATGCATAGACTTATTACAAGTATCAGTCCAAACGATGGGTAACTAGCACCCTCCCCACCCCCAACCTGTTTCTAATTCCTGGATCTGCACCAGAGAAGACGCTTTCCCTGTCGATGCAAGTGGCTTCGTTCCATTAGAAGATAATAATATTCCCTTATGATTTGTTATTTTCTATCTTGATTTGTATATTTCCGACTTATATTGCTTCTAGTTTACAAAAAGCTACCGTGAGTCTAAAACAAACCGGAAACGATTTGCATATTATTTGTTTTGTCGTTAAACATGTAACATAAATAAAAAAGTAATAACTTTTTTTTCTCACAGTTAATGTTTCTTGGGAACATGAAGATGGAATTGAATGGAAAAGATATGCAAAAAACCTGAATGGAAGAATTGAAAAAGCTTACCAGCGCAATAAAGTGGGAAACCCTATTTTACAGTTTGAAAAAGAAACGTAAGTTTTTTACACTGTTAATCATAACGTTTTGTTAAAGTACTTTATTTTTTAGAAGATGCTAAATTATTTGCGTCTATACAAGTGTGTTGCGCATTCAGCAAACCAATCTGTTTTTCGCAATTTTACAGTTTCTGCCTTTTTGAAAATACGTCAAATTGTTGAATTTCCCATATTGAAACATAAAATGGTAACTATCTAAATAAATGACAAAGAAATGAGGATTAAATACCTACTTGGAGTAAACGGTTATGTTTTGTTGATCACATTCAATCACGGTTTTTTTATTTGATGATTTTGATGTTATTGCAGATATGTTATACATTTTAAAACAATGGTTAAAGAAAACACAAAAACAAAGAAACAAGTTAGAGTACGCAGAAAAGGTAAGTAATTGAGTTGAATAACAAAACTTGACATACTTGATGAATTAAAGAAGAACATTTCGAGTAATTCAGTTGTAAAGAATTACGATTAAAATGTATCCATAATGTTCTGCTGCTTTATTGATTTTTAAAGACTTTCTAACAGCTAAGATTTCGTCATACAGGTCCTCTAGCATTAACTAAAGGTCTTCTACCAACAATTCGTAATATTTCCCTGTATATTCAACAACAATTTTCAACTTTCACAACTCTCTAAATATTTTACCTATATATTTTATATTAGAAATATTTATAAGTTTAAATTCGTATACACCATTTATACTCTGAATTATACACATATCATCTTTCTAAAGGCCAATTTTCCATCTGTGTTTAAAGTCTTGTAGGGACGCATAACATTCCATAAGTCACCTACAACTAAAACAACACTCTGGTTTTCCATAAGTCTTCATTAACTTATCTATCCTAAAATTATATAGCAAGTACATGCACAAGTTAATTTGGGCTCAGAATTGTCCCCTAATATATTTCTAATTCAACAAAAGTTGCATTCATGCAAATTCATTTGCTAGTTTTCTGCCCAAAGCAAAGTTTGCCTAGCAGTATTTGGCACAACATTTTGGAATTTTTGGCAATTAATGCTTTTCAACTTTGTATTTGAGTTGGCCTACCAACTGTTTCAATTGGAACAGCACTGATTAGTCTGATGTAGACGAATCGCGTGTCGTACCAAATCATAAACCTAGTATCTTTGATGAGATTTAGAAAGCGTTAACACCAAAAGCATTATGTTTTGTAAGAGTATGGCTACTTTTAAGTATTTTCTAAATTTGATTGGTTGAATTGGTGGGGTGACACGTAAAGGAATGACTTTACCTCTAGATACATGACATGTTTTTGCGGTCTTAGATCTGATCTGTAATTTTACTCATTGTGAAATTTTGACTAGGTGTTGATTCGCATGTTTATGCCATTTCGTCAGCTTTCGTTTGTTACCTTGATTTGTATTTTCTAAATTAATTCATGAGACTTGAACATCGGTAAACTTATGTCGCCTTAAGTTGTCCCCGGCTTTTGATGGGTTCTTGTTGCTCAATCTTTTGTTATCTGTGTAGTGATTTTGAATTTTTCTATTTTCTTCCTTTCTTTCGAACATTGAGCTTTGTCATTCACTGATGTTGGTATTGTCCTTTGTTGTCTTCTCCCCTTCTTATACACATAGACTGTACAGACGTCTAGGTATTAAATATGTTGAGGCATGTTTAGCATAATGACTGTAAAAATCGGTTAAGTGATAATTACTTGAATATCTTTCTCATTACAAAAAATTATATTTGACACACCTTTGTTATAAGAATGTCGTTAACATATAATTCGTTGTTTAACAAATTTATTGTTTTTTTTTTTGTAGATTAAATTCATCGATCTTTACAATGTCATCAAAATCAACTAGACAACCATTGTATTCCATTGTCGTCTTTGTAGATTACGAACAATCAAATAATTTTGATTTACAGAAATGTTCTCAGACACACAATATGATGATATTTAATTTGTAACTATGTTATGATTTTAAATTGATACTTGAATTGGGTAAAATTATCTTAGATTAACGACATGATTAGGTTAAATGCGAAACATTAAACTAAACTAATTTTTTTTACCAATATTCTAAATTCTGCCAAGATCTCGTAATTTTTGTTATCCTTTTTGTAGTAATATAGCGGTGAAGTATTTATTTTCCCGGCTTTCAATTTATTTTATTTAAGCGTACCTGGTGAAGGCTTATTTAGAAAAGCGCTTCAAATTCATAAAGTTTTATTATAATTTTACAGCTGAATGTTGCTTACAAATGAATAGACTAACGACTGTGTCGTCCAGTAACTTAAACAAATATAATAAAGCAAATCTTATTTTTATCTTACCCACGACGATATAGTTAAGAGCAATTTTGTTCATGGTTGGGATAACATCTTTTATAGCAGCCAAAACCTTGTCTTAATCATCTGGTATCAATTCATTTTCATTTATGGTATTTACTCGTATTATTATGCGAATGAACGTTACCGCCTCGTCAGATAATTCTTCAAAAGAAAAACGCATTAAGAGGTTTTTCTGTGATAATATCCTTCTGTATTTAGTAAGAAAATATGAAAATACGCAACGATGTGGTGTCAGAGGTTTGAAACAAATATGCAGCCATGTATTTTCACACTAGACGTAGTCTTCTTATCTTGCATCATTATATGATTGATTTTTATATCAAGATGCACTAGTGTACATGTCTTTTGAAATCGAAAATTTCATTGAAAGCAGACTTTAATATAACGAAGAATATTAATAATTGTGATTTAATAGTAGTGATTTAATAATTGTGATTAAATAGTTTTGATCTCGATGCAAAAGGGTTGTTTATTGAATAAACCTTTTGCAATTGATGATTAATTTTTACTGTAAATTCACTTTTACCGTCCTGCGTTTCCATTCAGATATTTTTTAATTATAATTTGCAGAATGTATCATTCAACAAAACTAATATCAATTTGTATTTTTTTTTATCAAACTATTAAATTTGGATTGACCTTCCAACTGTTTTGACCTTAGTACCTCTGAAGAGTCTTTTCTAGACGAAACGCGTGTTTTGCGTATTAAATTATAAGTATGGTATGATGAGCTGTTAAGTGAAAAATGCAGCAAGTCAGCAATATTAGTAAGAAAAGTGCAAGGTGAAAAAAATACTGATCAAAAGGGCTTTGATTGACTTTCAATTTGATCAGATGGAAAATTGATAATTAGTCAGACTTGATGAGATTCAAAATATAAATTCAAACATACATTGTTCATTGTTCTGAAAATATCATTTTGCTTACTAACACCTTCGCTATTTTATGAATTTAAAGAATTGTATGAAATAAGAAGTAACACTGACCGTGGCAAGGTGTGTTTGAATCCGATCTTTATTTGCTAGCATTGCTTGCCATTCAAGTACATCGAGGTCTTGTTTTTTTAATGTATCATTTTAGAATTTTCAGGAGTATGATGGTAGTACCAGACTTCCCTCAGATGTATCTATTGTTTTTTTGTATCGTGTATTTATAATGCTAAATGAGTGTGGGTGGCACTGAACAAAATGTCAAATAATAAAAATACCGAACTCCAAGGAAAATTTAAAACGGAAAGTCCCTTAGCAAATGGGAAAATCAAAAGCTGAAACACATCAAACGAATGGAAAACCACTGTTATATTCCTAACTTGGTACAGGCATTTGCTTATGTAGAAAATACACACATTATAGTCAACAAAAAACTAATCATAAATGTGAAATACCAAAGTGGAGTTGTTCCTTTGTGTTTGAAATTCTATTTCATAGTTTTACTTATTCCTCTGAAATGAAATATATTATAATCGGTTTTAAAAAGTTAGAATATTAAGCGATAGACACAAGGCACCTTGAAGTTCTGTTTATATTGAAGTGTTCATGGATGAATTTGAAAGGACGGCTATGAAACAAAAATCAATGACAGTCAGGAATGTAAATATTAGTCAGAAATTTAAAAAATTTTGAGAAATAGTAATATCAAATATATATCCATGGACCAATGTCTGTAGCTCAAATGTCAAACTATCAAGACAAGTAGAAATGATGTTGCACCGAGTCCACCACACCATCTAACTGAAATTCAACACGGTTCGTTGATACTAATTGGTCACAATGATCCAAGTAAAATTTTTCCAATGGCTTCAATAAAATCATCATAGATAACAGACTTAAAATTTTGTACGCCAGACGTGCATTTCGTCTACAAAAGACTCATCAATGACGCTCAAATTAAAAAAGTTAAAAAGGCAAATTAAAGTACGAAGTTGAAGAGCATTGAGAACTCAAAAAAGTTGTTCGTCACATTTTAAGATAAAGGTTCAAGAAGTATAAGATAAAGTCTATATGCCAACAAACAGAAATTATTTTTAAAGACATGACTACTAGAAATCCTTGTTAATATACATTTGACACTATTGTGACCACATGGGAATACGATTGAAACGCCAAAGTAGATCACGTGAGCACTTATAGGGATACAGTAAATCATATTGTTAAAGGATGGGGCGAGCTTTACAATACCACCTTTACATTCATTCAGACTATGTGTGTCAATGTACGACAAAGTCCAAATTTACGTCTGCAACTTAATAACGCAAAAGATACAAGAAGACAATATTATTTTCTTTTTTCTTGTAACAACAATGTGTGCGCTTTTTTTAAAATTTTGAAAATATCCGCAGAAAATTCCAATGAAAATTGTATGTTTTTTTTGTTTAAAAAATGGACAATAAATGGAAATTTGGGGAAATATTTTTGAGTGAGGTAATCAAAATGTTTCTTGAGTTAAAATGTTGAGTTGAAACAAAAACGTATTTTAAAATTTGACTGATTTGTACTATTTGTATTTTCTCAAATATACATATAGAAAATTTATAAATGATAATGTTTGTTCTAGGTAAAAGAACATATGCGTGCTGTTATAATTAGATTTCATGAGATTTTTTATGTTACATGTATCTTGTCATTTCAATATACATGCTGTCGTGCTGAACACTACATCTACCAATATTTCAGGAGTAGATGGTTTATGAAAATATGAACAAAGACAAATTTCGTTTCTTAGAACATTTCTTTAATGTTTTTGAAGAGGTACGCTACTGAGTATACGTTTGGGTGGATTAGTTCATATAAAGCTTGTGAACATCAACATAAAAGGATCTATACAAAATAACAGCAACAAACCCCCCTCCCCCCAAAAAAAGGCCGGTTGTATCCAAGAGAGTTTCATTCCGATTGTTATAACAGTTATATAATTTATAGAATTAAATTTATTTTCAAAACCTACCAAAAAAGTAGCAGGGGCAATCTTGCCAATATGACTTGTATCCTTATTTAGATGAACTGTTGACTCACAGATATGTTTCGCCACCGTGAATTTTTGATAGATAATTCAAATATTTGATTTTGAATGTAAACTAAGCAACATTTTAACAACCAAAAGACCCTGATTGACAGGGAATGCATACTAATTTTTCGTGGAAATGAGATTTGCAAGTGATTATACAACTGCATCCCAAACTAGGAGTTGCACGCAATGTCGTGCAAGATTTACTCCACTCTTTTTTAGACATTGACGAAAAATTCCATGTTCAGTGGGTATACAAAATTTAAAGTATCGTAAAACCCGAAGTGACTGCTGGGTAGAGAAGAGTATTGCTTCCATGAAACAACTCTCACAATAAAGTTCCAATTCTAGGCCAAATATTAAAAAAATCCTCAATACAGATGCTTAGAAATAAGTGTCATATTCTTCCGTGCCTATTATGAAAATGCAAAGAATCACAAAACAGGAAATGAGAGCACAGTAAACTTGAAAATCTACAAGATTTAGCTCATCATAACAAATTTCAAAACAAAGTAATTCTTCATACCTAAATTCAAAAGCTGAGTAATATAATGAAAGAGTCATGGACCTAAGATGGGCGGATGGACGGTTAAGGTGATGCAGTATACCACCCACTCACTGAATGTGGTATACTATTAATGACTTTCCGTGGGTGTATCTCCTTATCTAACCTATTTGATTGCAAAGTTTAAGTTTTAACGACACTTGTTGGTAATTATTAAGCTTGCAGAGGTCTATCAGGAAACTGTAACGAATTTCTGTCCAATCAGACATTTAGTATTGGGCTGTGTGTAGTCCGATGGCGAACTCGACATACATTTAATATCTGATTCATGCAGTATTCATTCATGCATATTACTTGTTTCAAACTGCCTGTTTGATAAGCACTAAAACTGAAACAAATTACTAGTGATGTGAAAGTCGACTGAAGCAAAAGTCATGGGAGAAAGACATTTTTTGACAATAGATTAGAAAGCCAAAGTAATGTCAGAATTAAGAACTTGACCATGCTATAAATCAAACAAGAACGAAATGACAGGTTAAAATCATAAGTCAGACTGTACAACAGAAATAAAAATGATAATATAATTAAAATCTTTCATCATTTGTTAGGCTAGAAGCCGGACTCTCGGATGACAATAGGCAACAGCTTATTGTTACCGGTCAGACTATATGTTATTGTATACCAAAAAGAAACTAGCATCATGTAATGTTAAAAAGTTGTATAAATTTCTCAAATAAATCATTTTTCTTCTAGCATTAAATAACAGGTAATGGTAGGTTATCGATGTTCAAATCTCATTTATTCATTTAGAAGATACAAATAATGGTGAACATAAAAACTGAGGAAATCGCATGCACTCTAAAAGGATCGAGATCGGATGCATCTACATGGTAAGCGTCTCTTGTTATGTATGCACGACCCTCCATGCGAATACACACTTAATCAAAATGTTATAATAGGAAGAATGACAAAGTACTTACAGATCACACAACTTTGCTTTTATCTAAAGATCTAAAACCGCAAAACCTTGTCTATAGTGATTTGGGCTCAATATATATACATCGTATCGGTCAACCAATTCGTGATGGAGACCGTAAAACTTTAGTTGTGTCGATTTCAGTCGTTCTGCCTCATAGCTCTAATGTTGCAGTTTTTGAGCACAACCCTGTTAACGAATTCAATATTCTGTGAACATTCTCGAGAGTAACGTGATAATTTATATTTGTTAACGCCATCCGATTGGACAGAGGGTATATTACTGCAGAGAAATGGAAAGTTGACAATCAAAAGTTGAAATCATAACTCGTGTTATAGATTTTATATTGAAGTCGTCCATCATTGTCAATATCAAGGAGTAGAACACCAAGGTATCAACCTCCTGAGTTCGGTAATATCCTAAATTCTAACACTCACCAAAATGTGGATTATCAGTTTACAGGATGATGATGATGATGATGATGATGGCTGTTTAACGTCCAGCGGCAAATTAATATGCATATTCAGGACAAGAACATGTTAATGCAATATGAATATTAACCCTGCCTTGTACTAGACCGACACGCTGAGCCGGATTTTTTAACGTGCTAGTCCACAAGGTAACAGCCCGCAGGAAGACATGTAACCTTACCCGGACACATTATTCCGACTCCGAGCCGACCAGTATTTGCTCTCATTCCTTAATGCTGTGTGCTTAGCAGAGCAGAAAATACAGATTTTAAAGTCTTTGGTTTAACCCGGCTGGAGTTCGAAACACGACTTCCCGCACTCGAGGCGAACACACTACCACGAAACCACCGAGGCGGTCTCAGTTGACACCATTTATATATCTGAAAGTGAAATTAAAGGTTTTGAGAAGGTTTTGTATGAGTTCTTCATCAGATCAGTACAAACCAAGTCGGTCGGTAGGGATGAATAATTCAGCCTTTTTCACAGCTTGCCTTTTTTGTTCAAAAATAAGAAATTTCGATATTGTATTGTTGGTATGCTTTGAAATAACCATTTAGAATTAAAGTACACAAAAATTATTTCATAGGTTTGTATTCATGAACTGCACCATTCGTAAATAGAGTCACGCAGCCAACTGCGCTTCTGGACTTATTAGAGAAGGCGTGTTAGGGCATCTGATTATGAGAACAATACAGTTATCTGGAGTTGTATTTTTCTGCTTATAGGAGATTTAGTGTATGATGACTCATTTATAAGTCTCCAAATAATGAATTGAAAAACAGCTCATGTGATTAAAACGTAACAATCTTAAGTTTATGGTTTTCATCTAAATTAGACAAAATAACCTCATAATCACCTTAACAAAACTTCTCAACTGTGAATTCTCTGCTCGTCTTCCAAAAGAAATATCTTTTGTCGCATTTAATACAGGACAATTTATTATATCTTAAATGACATGGATGATGCTAGTTCATTTTAACGATCACTCAATGTGACTGTTGTACTTTTATGATAGGGTGAATGTTTATGTATTTTTGGCATACCACGTATATCAGCTCGAAATGTTTTCTCTCTAAAATATTTCATAGATTCTATAAAGGACATTGACTGGATTAAAGGGACATTTTTCCGGTTTCAGTCTTGCTATAATAAAACGATTAAACTATTTATTGTACCTGGAAATATTTATGATTAGGTACCGATTTAGTTTGCTATGTTATTCTAGTCTTACAATACACTAAGTACACTGGTGGAGAACTTTTCTTAATTAAAATTAGATTACAAGAACTTTGACAACCAACATATAGGAAAATTTTGCACGTATGAAAAGTTCTTCCAATTGAAATTATGGATTTAATAACAAGATGTTTGAAAGGTCAAAGACTATTTGACTTGCTGTTCATCGAAGAACATTGTTTCAGTATAGTTTTTCTTATTGAATCTAAAAAGTCTTAAGAACGAATTAGAATTATTACAAAGGAATTGCAGTGTAAACGTAACATATTGAATTCAAAGTACCTCAAAAGCATACCAAGTACAGAAGTTTCAGCCATGATACCGTAATATGAGAATGTAGAATCAAGAAAATATTATGGATGCGGATCTGGAAAGAGAGGTAAATCAATCTGTAAATAATTTAAATGTCAAAACTTAATATTTAAGTGTAAAGAAATATAAACGAGGAGGTTTAATATGAGGCAGTATTTTCGTATTCTCATATCCTTCTAACTATAGAATTATGTTAACTTGATTAAAGAATAACTGTCAATCTGTAGGTAACATAAATACCATAGAAAGAGAAGAAATTGTTTAAACATAAAGACAAGAAAAAAAAAGACAATTAGTTTTCTGGGTATACTTGCTCCTCATTTCTATTTATTTTAGTTGTACAAGTTTTCCTTAACATCAATACTAAGATCTGACTTTTCTTAATTTTGGATTGCTAAAATATTTCTTTTTTCCGCATTTACAAGGATAATAAAATAAGATTTTTATAAAAGTAAACGTTTTTAAAGTGGCATCTTAAAACTCTAGGAGAATCTATATAAATCTATTTGACCTGGTATTGAAAATTACCTGTATGTTTGCGGAAGTAAACTGGAAAAACCTTTAATTTTATAACCAAAATAACGCAAATAATTTGTTTCACGACTAATGTGTACACGAACAGGAAATATTTCTCTTTTGCATGGTATGTTTGATTATGAACAGGAGATAAGGATAAATCGTATGTCAATTTCTCAATCACTCTTTCTGACGTAGGATGATAACAATATTTGAACGGTACCAATATTCAAGTACCTGATGCGCATTTCGGCAATTAAAGTCTCTACAGTGGTGCTAGAGGCCTAAATATTTGAAAATTCTAAATCTAATACACTTTGAAGATATGATATAACCGGAAAAGATCAAAAGTAACACCAAACCAAGACCAGGAATCAGAGCTATGCATGAGGGAGATACACTCCTTTATTTTAAATGGTTACCTAGGGTTTATGGCAGATCTTAAGTTTTAAGTTTTTAAGTATAAGCGTTATACACAGAATACTTGCTATAACAACAATGTTTATGGTTGATTGTACATATTGACTCTAAATAAAAGATATAAGACAACTTTGAGATGAAGAACAGCAAATAAAAGCCCTGTTGCTTTGGTTTCGGTTAATTTCCTGTGCATGTAGTGATTTTGTCGAATGAGTTAATATACCATATACTCTCATTTCCAGTAAATTAACGTTTGGGTCATCGAAAGCTTTTTCTCGTATAGTTTTATTTTGACCTATTATGCTGTTCAATATTTATACTTTCTGTATGATTTTAGAATTATTGAATTAATAGAAAGACGACATATCAACACTACCATGTTTAAAATTGGATCAGTCGTGATTGCTCTTTGTGTTGTTATAGTTATATTTGTTGCATGCTACTTACATTTGCAGTGTCCTGTTTTTGTATTTTGTACTTTAAATTGATTGTTGGATTTGAATACTACATGCCTTTGAAATTGGTACTCTACTTTTGTCTTGTTGGCAAAACTCTACATCTAGCGTAAAAACATTCTGTTATTATGTCAACTTGGCAATGACAGGACAAACATTGAGATTGATATGTCCTTTCAAACTGCACTTATGTTGTTATGTCGTTCTTGCTATTGTCATAATTATCAATTAACTATTAACAAAAGTTTGATTTGATCGAAATATTAAGGATTTTCTACCCTAGGAATTGATTACCTTAGCTGTATTTGACAACAGCTTTCGGAATATTTGGCCCTCAGTGACTTGAACTTCGAACTTCATTTGGCCTTTTAACTTTGTTGATTAGAGCGTCACTGATGAATCATTTTAAAGACGAAACGCGCGTCTGACGTACACTATTACAAGTCTGGTATCTTTTATGAGTTTTAATACACAATATGATTTTTGCTGTCTTAATAAAGTTAAAATTTGCCGAATTTGCTAAAAAATGGCTCATTTTACCCTATTCTCTGATCTGTAACATTGTTTGTTCACTCATAACACATCTACCAAAAACAGTTTTTATAATATTCTAAGAAAGCTTTTTGTTTTAGCTATGTGCAATCTTTCTATATCTACATTTTTCCTTAAAATTTGCACAGATGGACGATTTAAAACAAGGATCTACGACAGAGTGACGATTTGAAGGATCACATTGAAAACTTTCTGTTTCTAAGTAGTGACATACCCTATACCTCATCATATTGCGTTTCATATCCAAATTAATACATTTCCATATTCCTTAATTGTATTACTGTAAGATAAACCTAACCTATAAAATCATTTCCTCGAATGTGTTATTTTTAGTTGTTTAAATGTTTCATTGTATTTGGAAATTTCCATTGTGGCTTTATGATGCGTTGGAGATAATTGCTGCCTTCTTTGACTTCTGTAAATTTCCGTAAGAGGTAAGGATAATTTCTTCTTTATTTGTATCATTCGCAGAGTCAAATTATAAAAGGTTAACGAATCATATTGGAATTTGAATATCTAAGAGTCTAAACCATGTTCTCCAAATTTCCCCTCAATTTTGCATATTTCCATAAATTCAGAATGAGATTCAGCACTATAGGTCGCTGATGAAGGTATTTTGATGCAAAAAGACTTATCTTATATGTTTTTTTTTTGAAAGTTTTATCGAAGGAAGTCACCAACCAAAATAAATTAATTTTCCAAAAGGTATAATATAGCTGATGTCGTAATACATTTTTTCGATACATGGTAAAAGTTTGCCATTAAAATAGCAGTTTTGAGCTATCGTCAGGCGTTTATTTTTTCCATCTGCTTAGAAAAAAAAAACAATGCCCTTGTAAGGACCTCTGATTACACACATTGAACTGTGAATCTGTTAATTGTTGTGAAGGTTGAAACAAATTTTGAAAATTGAACTTGTGTAAAATAAATTCAGGGGGAATTGTTCCTACCTAATTCCTTTGGAAACGACGAAAAACGGCCGATGTTTTAGCACCACCACATGACGATGTTAGCTATACATATAATATATTATATCAAATCAATACAAGCACCGGACACAACGTTGAATCTACTACGTTCATCAATTAAATGGCACAACTAAATTCAGATAAAAATGTTCCACATTGACAGCAGATTGCCCAAGAAGGGTTTGTCTTATGCTAATATTCACAATTAAGTGTCAACACGACAAGAAAATCAAATACAGTATTAAATTATAACTTTAAACGTAGACAGATACGAATTATTTTTTTTAATAGAAGAAAACAGTAAAATAATTTTAAATATTGATTACACATGGCACAATATTTAGCATTTCAAATATTAAATATGTTCTTTCAAAGCTTTATTTAGTATTTATTCAGGATAACATTTTAATTTTAAATGCAGTTACCATTATGATATATTCAAGAGCTTGCGTTTTCAACTATGGTTTCAATGGTCGATAGCTGTTACAAAGAGGTTACTAGGGCTCTTACTCGTAAAGTTGAATCCGAAAGTATCCGTGGTGATCAATCTTATCATTTGAATCAATGAACATCAATGAGACAGTTACCAAACGACCAAAAAAAAAATCAACGTGTAGATTGTTTTCATGAACTGCTTCTTCAAAAGTTAAACAACTACAAATGTGCTTATACTTCGGTATGTTGGTTTACATCATATTTGGCTGACAGATACCAGATTGTATCTATTTCAAATACATTTTCAGACGTACAAAAACAAAAAACGGGTGTGCCTCAAGGATCCGTTTAAGACCTGTGTTGTTTTTAATTTTTATAAATGATCTTCCTTTGTCTAATCCTAATCATAACACCGATTTATTTGCTGATGATAGCACCATATCAGTCATTGGACAAAACAAAAGTGCATCAGTCAAAAACGTAATACGGTTTTACAAGATATTTTTCGCAGGTGTGATGACAATAAAATGGCTGTAAATGTATCTAAAACGAAAGCTATATGTATTGGCTCTAAACAGAAGCTTTCTGTTACATCAGATGAAAACATTAATCTTGCAATAAATGGACAACAAATTAAAGAAAGTACATGTGAAAAGGTTCTAGTTATTTTTGTTGATGCATCTCTCTCTGGGTCTACTCATATTGATCATATAATTAAAAAAGTCAACTCTTCTTTAGCTTTATTAAAAAGGATAAAGAAATACTTAAATCACAAAGCTAGACAACTGTTTTATAACGCTTACGTTTTACCTCATTTAGATTATTGTTGTTCAATATGGGGAAACTGCAACAACTTTGTATTAGATTGTTTAAACTGCAAAAGAGGGCAGCAAGAATAATTTTAGACGAACATGATTACACCAAACCTTCTAGCGAATTATTTCACGAATGTAACATTGTGCCGATTACACAAAGAATACATTATCATAAATCATTATTAATGTATAAGGCAAAAAATGGTTTAACTCCAGAATATTTGTCAAGTCATATTTTATCAGCTTATGCAAACCAAAAATACAATCTGAGGTTTTCGTCTTCAGATAATTTTATAATTCCAAAACCAAATACAGAGTTGTATAAGTCTAGTTTCTTGTACAGTGGACCAAAAGTTTGGAATGCTCTTCGTATTAAAATTAAAAAATCAAACACAGTATTAGAATTTAAGCTTAACTGCAAATCTATGTACTTTTAACATTACCATGATATTTGTAATGCCATATAATAATTGTTTATTGAATTTAATTGTATTGCATCTTTATTTATCATTATTATTGAATTTGTATTGTTTATTTGTAATGTAATTATAATTGTATTAAGAGAGCCTCATTGAAAATTGGTGTAATCCAAATGAGTTACTCTCTCTAAATAAAGATATTATCATTATTAGCAAAAGACAAGTTTCTTTACAATGTGCCAACATCTTAATGGTCCTGAGTCTAGAAAAGATAGGAATAAAAACAGAAACTATCAAATATCTGCCATCATATCATTTCTAGATAAGCTTTATTTTTTTTTTTTAATTAGGTCACCAGTATATTCAATTTTCCCATTGTTTATTCCTGGTTTTTTATCATTTGTAGTTTTTAGAGATTTTTACTCGCTCAAAAATTCGTTTATAATTTTATTAACAATTGGGGCGCCTTACTGAATAAATATCGACCATAGAATAAGAACAAATCAAAAGATGTTAAAAAGACAATGAATTGTCATAACATGACATTAAGATATAATATATAGAAGATACGATACAGGATAAAAATAACGAACACTTTCTATGTAATTAATACTTACATTTTTATTTTTTTTTTTTGAAGAATGACCGGTATACTGTCAGCTGTATATGTTTAGGCGGTGTTTGGCTCAGGATGAAGCCTTAGTCTTAACTTATATTGTTTTCTTTTAACAATCACACTATACAAATGCAGAATTTATTGTCTATTGAAATTAAATGATTTATAATGAGAAGTGCATTCACTTTTTTTAGCTAGTAACGATAAACCAGGCGATTCTTCAGTTCAAACAGAAGCAAATAGATATACGACAACGACTATCTTGTCTTGAGTGAGCATTGTATTATAATATATCTGAGTTGAGTAAAGTATACACTATAAAGGATTAGGCCATATACGTTTGAATAAGTATTGGATATAAAAATTACCGAAATCAAAATACAGAAAAGACACTTTTCGATAATTTGTCTCTAGTCAGCGATTTTCGAAGCCAAACGGGAATTCAGAAAGTACAAGAAAAAAGAGGTTGAAGATAACAAAGGGTAATAAAAAAACCATAGCGAAAATAAAAAAAAGACGAACAGACAAAAACTGAACAGCACGAACCCCAACAAAAACCGGGAAAAGGAAAATTAAAAAAGACGAAAAGACAACCAGCAGTCTGCAAAAACACTATACAGAAAACTAAAAATTAAACAGCACGAACCCCACCAAAAACCTGGAGATTTTTTTAGCGCAATCTGCTCTACATGCCGTTGATGCTTATTGTCAGAAAACATTTAGTGATAAGTCTCATTTCTTGATGTTACAATCGTGGACAAGATGATCGGATTTTATTAACCGGCATTGTATCATATCCTTGTAATATGTGACACAGATAATCCATAACGGTCAACCAACTCTTGATGGCGTTCGTAAAATTTCGAAAGGGTGACTTCAACTTTAGCACTATGAACTCTTTGTACAATGGCTTCCTTGTCAGCAGCAATCCTCTTTGAGGGAAATTATAAGGTAGAATACGCAAGCTCTGGAATATCATTTCAACGATATATAGTACAAAAGCAATCACTGATCGAATGTTGCTACATAAAATTAGAAAGCTTGAATCATCTGTTTTGTCTGTCAACCAACACAAATTGTCAATTAATCCACCATTTTCTACATAAGGAAATGCCTGTACCAAGACAGGAATATGACAGTTGTTTTCCAGTCGTTTGATGTGTTTGAGCTGTTGATTTTGCCATTTTGTAAGGGACTTTCCGTTTTGAATTTTCCTTGGAGTTCGGTATTTTTGTTATTTTACTTTTTGCTATATGTTAGTCCAGATACGAGGCAGACTTAACCGAAATGCGGTATTCATTTTCTCAAGTTTGTTCGATTGATTCGTTAAACCTAGTTACCAAATTTTAAATCAATTAATAAGACAACATTATCTACGTGATAGCAAAACGTGAATTTCGAGGACAAAGCTAGCTTCTTCTCATTATTCTCAAAACGCTTAGTTATGAGATCTGCCTAAAAAAATAAAGGAACAAGTCGAGAAGAAGAGGTACACAGATCGTTTTCAAAGGAATGACGTTTGCCTGTAAAAAAGCACGTCCGCCAAACGTTACAAATATGTTGTCAATAAAATAATCTGGTATCCACAGCCTTTTTAACTTTCAGGGTGTGAGTTTGATTCACGCTGGAAGCGAGGTGTGTTCAACTCCGATCCTAATTGATAAGGATTGGTAGTTTTTCTGCCGAAGTTTGGTGGTTCTTCTTGTGAACTCTGGCTTCATCTACCAATAAAAAATGATCGAAACGATAGATAAGGTCGCGGACTGTGGTGTTTAGTAAAACAAACAATATTTTAAAGTGTCAATAAAGAGACGCAACTCTTATATGCGATCTAACCAACTCGTCTCAGTTGACCGCCTATCCCCCAAAAGGTCTCAAATATGGCAGTCAGATGACATTAGTTGTTGCATTAAAACCATGGTGAGTCCAAAAGACGTCTTGTGTCCAATCATTTCATATGTTATACGTTTGCTGTTAAACAATATAAACTAATGAAATTTTTCTTTTAGGAACCATAACCGGTCCAGTTTGAGATGCCAAAAAGATGAAAGTAAGTATCATATAGTATGAAACCTTTACCTGAAGTTTGTAAGGAAAGAAACGAAAAAATCTAAATGTTTTAATTTACAATTACTAGTACTTGAAATCCTTAACAAAAAAGTATAACAAATACTGAACTCCATGTTATGCAAAGCACTTTACATATTCCAACCTTTGTGAAAGCGTTTATATACTGTGTTTTGTGTCAAACTGTAGATGACAAAATCTTTGTTATCAAAATAAATTTACATCTGTTAACACTGTTTACATGTTGATTCCAATCGAATTATATTATGTTTTATCATACAGAAAATGGTCTTATCGTTGATAATCATGTTGTGTTTTAGCTACATGAAAATGTTAATATTTTAGCAAATTGTTAGCTTATTGGTTTTCATTTTTGTGATTGAAAACACCGAATAAGAAAGAAAATCCTATAATGAAAGAAAAAGATGTTTTTTAAATAAACAACAACCATTCTTATATTTCTTAATATGGTAAAACAGACGATAGATATATACCTATACAATATTTCAGAATTTGAAGAACGCATTAATGATCTGGAAGGGCAGTTTTTACAGCAAGCAAATAGTATCAAAGAAATCCAAAGTTCACTTGGAAAATTGATTAAAAAAGTTAACAAATTGCAAGGTGATATTGAACCTAAAAGAAAAACCAACAACGAATCAATCAAACGAGCACCTGATTCCAAAAATTCACCACGAATTAAAACGTTAGAACCTGGATCTATAATTGACTTCAATGGCCAGTTATGTTCAAACAATTTAAATTCAACAGAAAATATAGTAAGAAGCAACTGTTCTTCGGCTTATAATTTCAGTCAAAAATGTGAAATTTCAGCTTCTGTTGATGACAAAATTCCGACTACTGCTTTTGTAGATAATCAAAGTTCACCGCCTAAAGTTGAAAATGATTTGTGTGGTATTGTTAAGCCAATATCTACGAATGGCCAAAATCCACTAGATATATGTAATGTAAAAAATGAAACTACGAAGGCTAATCATGTATACAACAATAGTCAACAATATCAAGTTTATTCATGTCAGACGCAGGTTCCAACAAACAATATATGGTTTCCATCAAATATTCCAGCAAATAAAAAACGTAGTTTGAACAGAATGGAGTCAGACGATCATAGACTGAAACATGGGCTTCATACGGATTACAGCAGCGATACAAATAATGAGAATGTAGAAAAAAATCCAGGGGTACCATTGAATACTTTAGAGAAGGGAAGGGGAATAAAATCTACAAGTTGTGAATCAAATATTCATACAAAGAAAATACTAAAGAACAATTTTGGTTTGAAGAATGCACGTACAAATTTGATGTTTGACAATCGTGTAAGATTACTTACTGATCAAACATGCTATGAGGGTATTTTTATCGCCTCTGTTGAAGGGAAAACAGAAGAAGTATCACCATTAAATATAAAACCGAATCATTCAGAACAATCTGACAGGTAATTTATCATAATGTAAAGACATTTGAACAAACATCATGATTATTTATATTTAAACCATTTATGATTTTTCAACTGATTTATTCTAAGTTTGATAACAAAAAGATACCAAGGCAGCGATTTCTATAATGAGTTGAAAAAAGACAAAAATCACAATTGCAAATAAAATTTCAAAAAACATGATTCCTCTAAAATTCAAGAAATAAAATATTACACAGATTACTAAATCAAAGGACGAACCAGACGAAATGCGCACTCTACAAGGAGGAATCAACGAACATTATGAAGTTAACAACAACAAAAGAAAAGTCGTTTCATTTATATTCAATTTTGATATAATTATTACCATATGATATTCTGATATCAAAGTAGAAAAAGGACATCGGTCACAATTTAAGTTCAATAAGAATGTGACGGTGGATTAATCATTTGTATATTTAGAAACTACATGTTTTTCGTATTATACAAATACCATCTAAATACCTGCCCAGGTGGTGTTTATTTGGGTGTATATAAGGTGTTACTATAAAATATGAATCATAACACTAATGGAATTAATTTGCAACAAGAGATAAACAGTATTTTCCAATCAGAATGGCTATCGCTTAGCCATATACTTTATCTCTAAAACGAGCATTAATAAAACATAAACAAAAAACGATCTGGATATCTTTAAAATCAAACTGTATATAGAAGAATCGCACACAAAGTGCCAAACCTATAAACAAAACATAGAATGTATTCAATGAAGAAATATTCATTCTGGCTCATTGAATAAAACAAGATGTGTGCATAAATAATTCCGTGTCTCAAACATGCCTACAGAGCGATTATTCTGTCATTACACATTTTATTACGCATGATAGATTTTGTTATCATACATTCTTTTTTCAAAGCTATGAATATGAGTCTGGCGATGTGTTTCAAGATGGAGCAGAAAACCTATATGGAACTGGTAAATACTTCTGTCTTAATTGAAACGTATCAAAATATGAATAGTTACAAAAAAAGAAAATCAAACAGATATTTCCTAAATTGTTATTTGTGAATGCTAATGTTTTTTTTATATTTTCAAAGCTAGACAATTTACATTTTTTTTTATTTTGAAAAGATTTATACTAATTTTCCTATTTAATAACACTTCTAAAGCGTGCAGATGATTAATGCACTGATTCAAATTGTATTTCTGCTTATCTTGACAGGGTTTGAAAGAAGAGCAACAATTGAAGACTGGTACAAATATGCCGAACAAGTCACTGTAGCAGGTAAGCTTTATGACAATCTGTTACTGGTATTACATGTGAATTAAAGATTAATCCTCAGGCTACTTGTCAGGTAAAACTGTAGATAAGTCTGCTTTCCAAAATGATAGTAATCTTGAACATTATAAAAAAATATTCTTTGTTCATTTTCAGCCAATATTAGAGTACAGTCAGGTGCTGTAGAGAGAGGATGGCATGGTCACGATGTTACCCTAGTACTAGATATATGTGAACATATGAGAGGAGATAAATTCGAATCAATGAAATCAGCTGCCAAAAGATATATTGAAGGTACTTTTAAATGTATATACGTATATGTATAAAAGTAGGTTAACTTGTGTTTTGTCTCACCTGTACGAAGGTATGTTGTTTTCGGGGGCGTCGTTAAAGTTCATAGTTAAGTAGATTTTAGGGAAACCACTATGGGTAAGTCAATAATATTTGGTATGCATTTGTATTAGCATTGGCACATTTTATTGTCATGCTGATTATTTGGTCTTGCCTTCTCATGCATGGTTTATTAACTTTGAAACGTTTGCTTAGTTTAAATGTAAAAGTTTGTGATTAAGTCAGTGTAAGGGGAACCACATATGGTAAGTCAATGATATTTGATATACAGTTGTATCAGCATTAGCACATTTCATTTCCATGAAGGTAGTTTTGACTCCGTCCACTAAGTTATGGCCTATATACTTTGCAACTTTTGCTGAGTTTAAATTTAAAAGTTTGTGATAAGGTCATTTTACGGGGAACCACTATTGATAAATCATTGGTATTTGGTATGCAGTTGTATGAAAATTGGCACATCTTATATCTAAGGAGATTATAGGGCTCTGTTCCCTTAGTCATGATCTGTTGTCTTTGAAGCTTTTGCATATTTGAAATGTTAAAATTTGTGATAAGATCAGTTTAGGATGAACCATTAATTGTAAGTAATAGATATTTGGTAGCAGTTGTATAAGCATTGGCACATCGCATTTCCATGGAGATTATAAACCCCCTTCCATCATGGTGCATTGTCTTAGAAACTTTTGCATTGTTTGCAAGATAAAGTTTGTGTGTTAAGTCAGATTAAGCCGATCCACTTATGAGCAGTCAATGATATTTTGTTTGTAGTTGTATCAGCATTTATTCAGCATATCTCATTTCCAGGGACATTATTTGGCCCTGCACCTTCAGTCATGGCTTCAATGACTTTGAATGTTTTTTTCATAGTTTACATGTTAAGATATTGCCATTTGGATTGCATCATTTGCATTTTACTATCTAAAGTACATTTTGGCGAGAAATATTTCTGTTTCATCAGTTTATATGTATTTTGATAGGGACTTTTTCGTGTGCTTGGTGTCGATCTGATGAGTCCTTATGTGCCTGTGACATATAAGGAGTTTGTAATTTAGTGGTTGCCGTAGCTAATTGTATTAATCGTGGTGTTACTGCACGGTATTTGTTTTCGGGATTGCTGAAGGCCGTACAGTGCTCTATACTTGTTAACATTCTCGTCCTTTGGGCTCTGTTAGGTAGTTGTCTCAATTGCAATCATACAATTTATCCATATTGTATTAGAAAAACAATTAGAATATTACCAGTTAAATTATAAAACAAAAACTATAGGAGACAAAATTAGAACCACTCGAATTATGTGTGGTGTGAAAGCGGTGCGACAACATGTAAGTTATTTCCTGTCCTGGATGTTCAATTCACCAGGGCAATTAAAGTTTTACAAATTAGCAAGTGTCAGAATCAGCAACCCTTTATAACTGATTTTATAATCGGACACATGATAAAAGACAACTGTGATTCATGACAGAGAATATATTCGTCTAGGGAGTTGATTGATTACTAGATGTTTGTCGAGCAACAAATTTTACTAGCATATTCGAACGATAAGAGGTTAATTCGTACTTTATTTGGCCCCTTAACTTTTTGAATCGAACGTCACTGATGAGTTATTTGTAGGCATACGCGCGAACGCCTATAACCTCACACTGGGGTGCAGGCTTCCACGATACCATCGATGTGGTCTAGTAAGTTTGGACAATGAGATATTATAACGAGGTACTGAACATTTAATTGTTCAAATTATTATTCTAAATCATGAATTGAGACAAACATAGAAATCATTTCGTAATTCCATTCAGAATAAATAATTTATAAAACTCATCTTTTAATTCTGCTGCAGTTCAATTATGAAAAAACAACAAAAACAACAAAAAACCATCTTTAAAGGCATTTTCAGTATTTAATTTAGCATTTTCCTTTACATTTAAAGGTGTCCAACAGATTAAGAGAACAAAAGGATTAGAAGAGAATGTGGGAATTGCTGTGTTTGGTGGACAAAGTAGATTGCTGCATGAACATACGAGTGACTACGGTCTGCTGCTCACTTTAATAGGTAAATTAGAGGAATATAGATTTAATAATAATCTTACATTTTCTTGGTCACTGATTTAAATTTGTAAGCGTCTTTTAATGAATGTGAAAATAAAATCCAATTTTGTAATTTTCCTTAATACAAATTCTAATCATTGCTTATGCAACGGTTGATTGCAGGCTTAATTATTTGTATATGCAAATAATTCTGCGTTTTACTCATATCACAACAGAAGAATCATGGCTAATTTGTTCAGTTTCCGTTTCCCTCGTAGGTTCGAGTAAACACTTCGATCAAACTTACTGGAATCATTATGAGTGTCTAAATAATATACCTGCAGGCTTTTCGACAACTTTAAGTGATTCGCATGGTGGGTAATGCATAGCTGGAGACGCATACCTTGTCAACACACACGGTCTCGATCCTTTCGATTTACGAGATTTGAACAACGGCAAACTGCTGACGCTTAATTTACATAAATACGTACAGTCAAAGTTTTTCTTGTGTTTCAAATTTCTGGTGAAGGCAATTTCGATACAAGTTTGCATATTTTACCCGTTTTGTTTAAATGTTACGTCAGAAGACATCTTTACAAAATGTATTTATCTTTAATGTATCAAAAGATACTCCTTAATTTTACCTCTGCTATGATTTTTAGATCTGCTTAAAGTGACCTACATATCTTTTTTGAAATTGGTGTCAGCGTTTGCACAAATCTATCATAATTTATATATCACAGTTTTAAGCTTTTATTTGATCGCATTCTTACAACATTGAATTTTAGTAAAAAAAACAGCGTTTGGAAAACGGCCCTGATCTCAAACAAATCAAGGGGATGTTAGTCATACCTCTTTCACGTCACTTATTGGTTGGTCTGTACGATATGTCGGTGTTTCAACTCACTAGCGACATGTTTTCGTGGTTTTAGATCTTTAAATACCTGAATAGTTGTTGGGTCAGTAGTTAAACCGGTTGTGTTCTATTCCAGATTGTGACATTTTTACTAAGCGGTGATTCGCATGGCGGATGATGAATGCATATCAAGAGACGATTACCTGTTGCTCAGTCTTTAGTTTCTGTGTTGTTTCTTATCTAGACTGTTGTTTATCTTTTGGTCGTCTTTTTGTTATTTGCCATGGCATTGTCAGTTCGTTTTCGGCGTATTAGTTTGACTATTCCTTTGGTATCTTCCGCCTCTCTTTTACTCTTTTGTCCGAGTTCATGCGCTTTACAAGGTTTTGTTTGTTACCTCGATTTGTATTTTCTCACTATATATTTATGAGATTTTAATAGATCTACTGGTAAAATACTGTTGCCTAATATTTATCAAACTTTTTCAGTCTCTTGACTTGCAATGATTTTTTTTTAGATGAATTGGAACCAGAGGGAGAAGCTCCTTTAGTTGGAGGACTGATAATGGGAATGGCTACAGTACAAGCTGGTAGTTAAAATATTTAAATAACTCAAACTTTCAACAGCTGTCTTATCGTGCAATTCTAATAAAAATTTATTCATTCTAAATTTTATTATATGCAACTTATATATTTGACGCTGATTATTTAAGTAAGATTGTAAACTTTTCAAAAATAGTCAGACATTCAATTATAGACATTATGCTACGTGAAAATAAATTGCAAAGTTAAAGTATAAACAAAAGCATATTAGACCTAGCACCAAAGCACAACTGTTGTGAATATCGCTGCTCAATTTCAACTTTTGAATGATTTGTTTGATAGAAAGTCTTGCTTTCATCAATTTTTGTTTTATTCTGAAGTAAAAGACGGGTATGTTAATTTTCGATTACGATGAATTTAATCATCATGGATACCATGATTGAAATTTTGTACGCCAGAATCGCATTTCGTCTTCAAAAGAGTCATCAGTGACGCTCGAATCAAAAAAGTTAAAAGGGCCAAATAAAGTACGAAGTTGAAGAGCATTGAAGACCCAAAATTCTTCAAAGTTTTGCCAAATACAGCAATGGTAATCTATTCCTGGGGCAGAAAATCCTCAGTATTTCGAAAAATTCAAAGTTTTGTAAACAGTTAATTTATAATTATGACCATAATATGGCTTCGTAATTTTGCACTTACAAGTAAGCAATCGTGTTAATTGAAATACTTTCAAATGATAAATATGAAATAATTTTTAGAACCTGATTAATAGCCTGATACAATTAATAGATGTTGGTTCCCTTATTTCTTATAACTTTTTTCTGCAGGGACAGTTGCACGTATGGCAGATGTCCTCGTTCAAGGCCATATGATAATGTTCACTGATGGCACCTCCCCAAATGATTTTCCAGACAAGGAACAGGAAGTTATTACGGTAGCTGTGATTTATATATGTTGTTGATAAAGTACAATACCTTCTTTTAATTCAATGCAAAGTGATATTTCACGCTATCTCAATGTATGATATTTTCTGTATTTAAGTTCTCATAGCGATACAGACCTTTTTGGGTTTTTTAAGTGATAATGTCTGGTCATTTACTTTGAATTTTTGAATATTCTGGTAAAGATTATGTGCACCTTTAAGAAAGTTACGATTTTTTTTAGTGAATTGCGTTAATAGGAAATTCACTTGCGTTATTACTTCTTTTTATCAGGAAAATATGAATAAAGGTAGCTTATTAACTTTGTCATGCTTGACTGTTTTCAGTTAAAATAGTATCTGTCTTTTCGGTCCTAAAATCCCTCTTGAAACAATAAAAAACAAGTCAAGCACACTTTTTCAAGTCTTCTCCATTTTTTTTTTAATTTATTATACATTTTCTAATAGTATAATAAAAGTTGAGTGTATATGCAATGCGTCCATTATTTTTCATAAAATAATCATTGGAATAGAAAAATCTAAAAAGATCAAGTTCAGTTTTCTTGAATTTTAGTAATAAAACATTTATTTTCCATATAATTCGTGACAACAATCACTGATAGTAAATTTATCTTCAATACTATCATTTATTTAATATTTTATATTTTTGTATATCACGACTAATTCCCCTCAGATATGTTGAATTTACCAAAGGCATTTAAGAATTGTCTACGGTAATTTTACTTTCTCATCATTATGAAATTCTGCTTCACAAAAATTCAAAATGGAGCAAACTATCTTTACAAAAATGTGTGAATTGGATGATTACGTGTATATATATCAGAATGTAGGCAAATGAATATTGCGCAGATATGCCAAAGAAGTTTAAATTCTGTTTTCAGACTGATTCGGAAGTATCTGGCGTGATTAGGACATTAGCTGAACGTTCCATTAGAGTTTATCATGTTCAACTTGAAGAAAAAAATATCAGTGTTGTGAGTAGATTATAATGATATATACAACAAATGTTTTAACATGCACTCTGATAAAAACAATTCCTTTTAAGTATAGAAACTTCAATTTTAGTTGATCAATAAAAGCATGAAACTCATTTTGAAATAATCAGACAGCACTATCTGACAGTAAAGACCGAATGACACTTAACGACTTTTAAGATATGAACTACCTCGATGGTCTCTTAGTAGTAAGCTGGCTTCAAATGCGGGAGAATCCCCCAAGGGTTACTGAGGAATAGAAATATGGTCACCATTGGTCTTCCTCCGACAGGCGGTAAAACCCTCGCTAAAGTGGGGCGTCCGTTTGGCTGTGCGGGATGTACAAGTACGCAGCCACGTCCGGTCAGAATGGGGACGTTAAATCCGATGCCTCGTGTAGAGAGAATGCCACGCTCTCTGCACGTTAAGAACCCTTGCAACAACTCTTTGAGGGGTCCATAGGTGACCTGTTGCAAGGCGAAACTGCTGTCCCTATCCAATTTACCCTCATTTTCCAGTGGCAGTCTAAATATCCCCGACCTTCTTCCCGGATGGCCTACATTACAGAACCTACCTATTGTATTTATTGTTAATTTGTTCTCGTCCTGAATATGCATGAAATATTTGCCACAGGACGTTAAGATACAACAATCAATCAAATACGGGAGTTCATAAGTTAAATCACCTGTCGGGTCAATCAAAGATGTTAAAACTGATATTGCTCTTATCTGCCGAGCACACGTCCTTTTCAGAGAAAGAACAAGGAAAGTTTGTAAAGTCGCGTCCGATCGTAATTACAATGAACAACACGAAAGGTGCCTCTAGTGGATCTAGTGGGTAGTAGCTACTTACCCGTCCAGGACACCTAAGTTCACCCTGTTTTAAAGTTGTTGGTCAGTTTTCAATTTTCGGTGTAGTGTTTTGTAGACATTTCTTTGTCTTTTCGTCGTTATTTTGGCATTGCTATTGTCTGTTTTTCTTCATCTTGCGTTTTTTTTTATTGTTATGTTGGTAGCTCGCGCATCGTTTTTTATATCCTTGAAACACATGTGATTCAAAATAAAAATGTATTAAACATTTATATTGCTACCAATTTGTTGATAATACTGTTGTTGCTTTACTGTCAGCTCCCAATGGCAACATCTATCTTTTGAATATCCGCTAACCACGTGATTAAAATAATAAATTTTGACTTTGATTTCTTTATTTTTAAAATAAATTATAAGAATTCTCTAAAATAAAGTAACAAACACTGATGAAAAGTTGACATAAGATGGATTCAGCTTGTTTAACCCTTTTGCTTCCTTCAACATTTAACTTCGCACGTGTAAAGCCTCATGAATTCAAAAACACGTGTATCGAACCTTAAAACGGTAACATACATTTACATCTAGACTTATCACTGGATTTCACGAAATACATTGATTTTTAATGAGTACCCCGAAAGGTGCAACATGGGAAACAGGAACAGTTTACCTTTCCGCATTTTACATCACTTGCATTCTGCTCAATTATCATGTATCTATGCAACGTTGAGATACAGTTTCCTGTCTTTTTCTTATTTTTAAAAAAAAAACATGTAGAAATATAATCATTTGTCTTTAAATTCTTTTTTTTTTTAAATATTTCTATACTAATTATGTAAACTTTCATTATGCCAATCAAAAAAATGTAAACGGACTTATTCAATTTGTTTAAAATAAATACACCGCTATTATGGTAAGTTTTGTGATAATTTTATTTGAAGATTATGGAACAAGCAGTTAAAGAGACAAAAGGAAAAGTGATATCAATCGGTGAGATGTATCGTTTAATAAGACTGACCCAAACTCTTGTAAGTTGATGCTGTATGGTTATGATTTAATGATAGCAACTAAACTCTTAACAATAACAAACATTATACAAAATAAAACAAAAAACAAAAGAAAAGAAACATGATACTTAGAAAATCAAAAACAACGCTAAATATTAGATAAAACTTATGTACGTATTCTAAAAATTTTGGTAGAATTTTCATTTCAAGCAACAAACCATATGATATTTGTCGATTATAAAGGCAAGCATAGACATGGTATCACCTTGATATAAAATAAGGACATATGATAGGATTGCGAATTGGACAACCATCCTACATAGCCCAAATAACGCGGATTTAAGAAATTATAGGTCGTCTTACGGTTTTCAACAATGTGCAACCCCTACTGTATAGTGCACTATGAAGGGCCGTGAGATGACAAAATGTGAAACCATTCAAACGAAAAAAACAAAAACAAAAACAAATGGTCTTAATACTTATATGAAAAGTTACACTATCGGGTTTTTTTCAAATCGTTGCCTCGCATAGAATGTTAGATCGCACGAGCTTGATACATAAAATAAATATTCCTAGAAAACAACATTGATCAATATTTGCGGGATATCCTTTTTATTGTTTGGGATATTTAATAAAATGAAAAGAACACCAAGTGAAACTTAAGATAAAGTTAACATTTTGAAACAATTCTGTACAGCGTGAAGTGCATATTTAAACCGGGAGATATTGTACGCTCATTTTACTTTTAATATTATAAAGGGAATATAATGTTGCTTCACAAATATTCATTTAAAAAACCTTAAATCATCTACTGTTTTCATTACTCTTCAATGACTTCTAGGTTGCAAGCTTGTTATGACTGCAAATTTTAAGTGTTTCCATTTTAAACGTTGCATAATAAGAGAAAGAGTAAAGACTTATTGATTCGAAGGAATGAAAAAACAATTTTCTGGCGGGTTGATACAATGTATGTCTCAGTCTACGACCTTTTACCCTATCAACCATTGCGGCAATTGTCTTGCTGAGTGTCGATGTGATACAATAAAACATCATCAAAGATACTAAGCTTATAAGTTCGTACGCCAGTCGCGCGTTTCGTCTACAAAAGACTCATCATATCCCGTTAAAATGTTCTCGTCTTGAAAATAATTTGAATTACCCTCTGAATATTAAACATTAATTAATTGTTTCATTGAAAAAATTCATTATTGACTTCATTGTTTATAAATGGCTTCCTTTTGATAATGTTGTAACTGTTTCTCCCTTCTAATTACCATAACTTTAACAATGTTTTACTTATAGGGAATAGCTGCAAGAGTAGCAGGAGAGATGAAATTTTTAGGCGAAGAACCAAATAGAGACTTAATCAGTCAAAAAATTTATGAAGTAACAAAAAATCCAGAGGACCAGAGCGTAAGATACGCAACTGTTCTTCACCTCAAACAATTTATAAATTAAACATTTCAAGTTGAAAAACAAATCTCAATAGCTTTGAGCGCTACCATGCTTGTAAAAACAAGAAATACCATTCTTATACAAATTTTGTATTTGAATCAATTTTTTAATGCAGGAAACACTATTGACTATACTGAATAAATTCGAAAAAATTAAGTCAAGTTTGATAAAAATTGATAAAAATTTCCCAGAATTGCGACGTGACTTATACATAAAGTATACTTTACTTTTTAGCATCGGAAGTATATTACGGGGCGATTGAAATTGTTCAAATAAGATTACATCCCTTTTCCAGAATAGGTACCTATTATCAGGTTGTCTGCATATGGATACTGTAAAATATAAACTGCGAAGTCTTCATATTGTGTAGAGCAGTTGATATTTTACAATATCAATATACAGACAACCTGATAATCGATTTATCGGATTGTATTTATGTATTTATGAAAAAAAGAAGATGTGGTATGATTGCCAATGAGACAACTCTCCACAAGAGACCAAATGACACAGAAATTCACAACTATAGGTCACCGTAAGCGCCGTGATATGCAATTTTACGAAGAACTGAGCAGGGTGATATGATTAATTGTTTGTTGACGTTAAACGCCTCTTTCAGCATTCTTGACTATCTCATAACGGTATGTTTTTTATTGGTTGAGACAGCAGGAGTACCGGGAGAGAACCATTGACCTTCGACTGAATAACGGGCAACCCCCTTCACTTAAGATCGGAATCTAACGCATCTTGCAATGAGCTGGATTTGAAAACACAACCTCAGAGGTCAATTAATAAATATCTTATCATTTTGCATGATATGAATGCCGAAAAAACAGCAATTTTACTTAATTAATGCACCACCATCCCCTTTTCGTGAAATCTTATTATATCCAGAACATGTATTGAAAGGCTTGCATAGGTAAATTTTTTTGGCAAATCAGGGGCCAAATAATAGTTTCTATTATACCTCAACTTTAAATATGTCCTCCACGTTTGAAAATATCTAAAATAAATTACCAATATCAGTTTGATTTACCTAGTTAGAATACAGTATTTATACTCTATTATTCTCTTTTATTCAAATTTTGTTTTTTTGTAAATATTAGAGGAACATTCTTCTCAAACGGTCTTCTCTATACCTTATGTTCTTAACATAACACCACTTTTACCACAAAGACAACTAAAACACAAACGTATGTTTGTCGACTAGCTTGCAGCTTGTATATAGAAATACACTACGTGCCACGGAAATTAGGAATTCATTTGATACAGTCATTGATTTGAACTGTATTCACTAATATGTAATTATTTGAATGAATTTGCAATAATTGATAGCACAGAGAGTAAGCAACTGTTGAATTATTTATACCTTGAAAAAAGATAGAACCTTTGGGAGTACTTCGTAGAAAAACCTTCATTTATACCAATACTTTGTATAAAGAGTCGTCTATTCAAAGTAAATCATTAACATTAAAAGATCAGCGTCTGTATTGAAACAAATTGCAAGGAGAAAAATAACTATATTACAGAATAATAATACCAGAAATAATAATGATAATTACAAAACATTCTCCGATATATTATTATACTCACACAGGAAGATTGTATTGATTTTGTGGTGGAATTTACTAACAATGAATTGAAGGAAGGAACCTATAAGGAATTAAAATGTCGAACATTACATCTAGGAGATAGGGTACGACGTGGCCCTTTATGGACGTATGGTAATCAAGATGGAAACTCTCCGGGTACTGTAATAGGACAACACGACAATGGTAAGGCTAGAATGCATGTTGCATCTTAAATATCATTAGAATATCAAATCGGGAACAAAATGTCTATCAGTAGTGGTATCGAATCATTTGGTGTAAAACTCATCGAAGATACCTGTCTTATAAGGTAGATCACAGGCACGCGTTTTGTCTAAATAATTAAGACTCATTATTGGTGCTCGATTCAAACAGAAGGAGTGTCAAAACAAACATAACGAAAATGAAGATCATTGAAAAACAAAAATCTACAAAGTTGTGCCATATGTTGTCAAGGTCATCAATGCCTTTAGAATCATTTGCAAAACAGTGTAGACGAGACCATTGATAAGGTGAACGTTCGTCTGTAACGCCTACAACTCACGACGTATTTATTATAAACATTTAAACTGTGGGGTTGCCAAAGGGTCTCAGTATATATACGAACTACAGTGCACAGTATATTATATACATATATTTTTTGCGATCATAAAATGTACGAAGTCGTCCATTACTATGTGAATTGGGTCGATTAAAAAAAAAGCTGAATATGTTTCTGTTGCCAAGGGTTTTTCACAAGTAAAATAGTTAGATGAAAAGTTCACCAAACTATACATTTTACCTATTCAAAAACGTAAATGCAAATTTCACAAGGCTTGATCTAAATAGCCTTTTTACTGTCTAATAACTTGCAAGTACGATAAAGACAGGAAAGAAGTATATTTTGTCTATATGTTTTGTGTTTGCACACTTTTTAAAGTTGATCATGCATTCGTTCTAAAATAAAATTTTGACCAGATAAAAGTTAAAAGATGACATAATAGGACAACCGCAATTGACGTCCGAAAAAATGATAATAATCAACACATCCATTGTAACTTTTAAAGCCAGTTAAATCCTTTTTTGCTGAAAGAACTTGCGATATCATAAAAATTGATTATCAAAACATAACAAAAACACAAGTAAAGAACGTTTAAGTATTCAATATAAATCAAAACACCAAGGTTATTCCTGATTAGTTTTTCGAATTACTTTATTTAGGCACTGAGACCCTTTGTCAACCCCACAGTTTAAATGTCTATAATAAATATGTCGTGAGTTGTGGGCGTTACAGACGAACGTTCACCTAATCTGACCCAGTCAATGGGATATTTTAGCGCGCCAACCAATGGTCTCGTCTACACTATTTTGCACATGATTCTATTTTAAAAAAAATCAGTGTTTGGAAAGACGTTATTAAATATATATATTTAACTTAACAGAGGGTGTTCAAATCATACAAATACTGATTTGTATTTGCCGTAAGACGATTCGCCTAATAGATTAATAGAATTGTGTAACAACGAATCATTATCAGATTTTCAAATATTTAACGAATTTTCATTTTAAAATCTTCATTTTGCAGATTGCAGCTACTAGTATATACACACCTGGTATCTCGATCCGAATCCCGAGGAGTAATTACACGAGACCACAAACGATGGGTGAGTAAAATCTAGATCCGATTCCCACCGAGTTTTACGATTATGCCCAGTAGGAATCGGATCCAGATTTTACGTAGCCACCGTTTGAGGTCTTTTGTAATTGTCCCTCGGGATTCGGATCTCTCAGCGGATTTCGGATTGAGATACCCGGTGTGATATAACGTATACTGTATTTCAAGGAGAAAAATACTGCTTTCAGCTCACTGGACAATATCTGACAATCTATTTGTGTTAAAAGTTTTTCGTATTACGCTTCATGCAAAGTATGAAGGTCATTCGCTTTGATTTCGTATCTACTTTGAAAAAACCGGTGTTTAATTTTAAAATGAGAATTGAGCACAGATTTTGTGAAATATGAAAAATGACATGAATTAGTATTGTTTACAATTTGAATTAAAGGTTGGGTCCGAGTTGTATGGGACAATGGACACAATAATATCTATCGATACGACGAAAGTTCTAATATGTTTAATTTGAGGAGAGTAAATGAGAACAGAATACTGGTAAACGAGATGATTGCTGTTGGATGTAGAGTTGTAAGAGGTGAGAAAAAACAAACAAACATACATACATTCAAAAGATAATTATTTCAAACAAACTATGTATTTCCAATTTTGTAAACTAGGTCTTTTTAAGTGCAGACTATTGAATTACACGTACATGATATAAAAAAATAGATTTTTTTCTTTTAATCACTTTCATCGCAAGATATCATTTTTTCGCTGACGCGAAGTTAAACATCAATCAATCAATAGTTCAATCTAAATCAATTATTGCTTGAATATAAACAGGCGAAGACTGGAGATACGGAGATGATGATGGTGGATTTGGAACCATAGGAACAGTTCTAGACGTAAAACCGGAAGGTAGAGCTGTAGTAAGTATTTCATATTTTAAAAAGAAAATCAAAAAGAATGTTATAAAAGAATCATGAAAAAAGATACAGCCAAAAGTTAACACAATAAACATCAACAAACATCGAGTCATTCGATCGAGTTAGAGAAAGTTTTGAGACTCATACTTTTAAGAAACTTTTCTGATTGGTCATAAATATTATTTCATGATAATATCCGTGGACTTAGTACATTTCAGGACATCACATTACATCTACATCAAATGAAAAACTGACGATAACAGTTTATTAAAATCATCAGCTCTCAAGTCAGACCTATGATTATGATATAAATTCCAAACAATATGGGATGGTTGATTAGTAAATGGTAACAATACATTAATAACGTAACTTTTACAGATATGTGTCTTTATTTCAGTTTTGAATGGAAAGAAAAAATACCGTTATATATGACGTTTTGTCATTTTCAGATATTTCAGAAGAATATTTGAATCAAATAGACTATTTCTTTTATGTATTTAGAAGTAAAATATATTTACATAAAAAGCAGCTTAAAATTTACAATTTGCAAGAGATGGTGATATTTATGAAGAAAGGTAGAAAAAAGCGTTTCATTTTTTAGACTAGACTATTTACCGGATTTGTAATAACATAAGCAATACGACGGGTGCCTCATGTGGAGCACCTGAGATCACCCCCAGTTTTTGGTGGGGTTCGTGTTGCTTAGTCTTTAGTTTTCTATGTTGTGTCATCTGTACTATTATTTGTCTGTTTGTCTTTTTATTTTTGGCCATGGCGTTGTCAGTTTGTTTTCGATCTATGAGTTTGACTGTCCCTCTGGTATCTATCGTCCCTCTTTCATTCACAAAATAAAGAATATTTTATGTTGTTTCAGGTAAGATGGGACAGTAAGAAAATGGGAATTTACAAAATGGGATACAATGCATTCTTCGAAATTATGGTTGTGTAAGTATCACACATTTTTAGAGAATTATTTCTGATTGAGTTTTAGAAAAGCAAACATAACGAGATTTGTAATAATGGCACCCTCGTCCCCCAATTGCCAGGGAAACGGCAGTCATTTTGAAAATTCCAAAGTAAAACAACGCATCTGCACATACCAATTTGCATTATTGTAAAGATTCATTAAATTTGAAGAATTTTGAATTTTTTGACATTTTTGCTCTTTCCATGGTAACGGTGACCCTTTCCAAAATTCAAAGACACCAGATTGGCACATGCCATGTTACATATCCATAGTTTTATTGGGTTTGATGAAATATTCTTTGAGAAATTGGTGCTTTAATGTATTTTCCCATAAGGTTAATGTTAAACTTTCGCCTTGTTTCCATGACAATGGCGGCCATTTTGGAATTTCTAAATACTGTCTGCACATCTAGGCATACCAGGTAACATTTCGTTAAATTTTACCCAGTTGGGTCTATTAACAAAAGATTAAGATTTAGATTTTTTTTCGCATTTTAGCAGTTTCCATGGCAACGGTGGCCTTCTTGAAAATGCCATACCCCGTTTGCAAATCTGCACATGCTGGTTAACATTATAATTTAGTTCCATTAAAATTGGTTTATACAATTCCAAGATATAAGATGGACAAAAAAAGTGGAAGAAAAATTATAATAAGACGAAAAAGAAACGTAGAATAACAATATGTCACCCCTACTCCATTGAGGGTTCCATAATAATTGCTTACATCCACTTCATTTGAACTTTGGTGGATAGTTGCCACATTTACAATCATACCACATCTCCTTATTTTTATATTTTTATATAACTCTACTTTCTCCAAATTGAATATGATAATCATCTATAAGTCCAATCAGAACTTAAATATTCCTTATATTTTTATAGCACTAAAGACGATGATGAACAAATACCATTTACCGATCTGGAAGGAAGGAGTCAAAATAAAGGTTTCACGTATTCAAATTCATGGAACCAGGCAAAATATACAGGTAGGACGATTTAGTATGAATCATATAACTATAATATCCATTACACTAACAAGACACCAGCCCAGTAGGCAGCACTTCTGTGTTGACATGAATTATCATTGATATGGTCACAATTATAAATCAACTGTTAACAAAACTTTTCGAAACAATAAGGATTTTCTATCCCAGGAATATATTTCCTTAGCTGTATTTGGCAATACCTTTCAGAAACTTCGGGTCCTCAATGCTCCTCAACTTCGTACTTTATTTGGCGTGTTTAACTTTTTTGATTCGAGAGTCACTGATAAGTCTTTGATAGACGAAACGCGCGTCTGGCGAACAAACTTGTAAGCCTGGTATATATGATGAGTTTATTCTTAAAAACGTGCCTACCAGGCAAACACCGTACAACTGACCCTACTCATATTTTTAAACACGACATATGCGATCACAAACCTCTATAACCTTGAAGAGTTAGTCGATTTTTCATTTCATTTCAAAACAATTTTAGGTAAACTGGGGTGTTCAGTCATCTTGGATTGTAAAACAGCAGAAAACAATCGGTTCAGATCTGTAACGAAATATACCAATTTTGATAAGGGTATTCAATTAACATTATATGATTCATTTTATTAATCCGACTGTTTTTTTAGAGAAGCATAAGATCGTTTGTTTGATTCATTTTTTTACGACTAATAGTTGGTGATATCACAGATATTTAGTTTTATATAGTACTGAACAGTAAACTTGCTTTTTTGGTTTATTAGCAAGAAAACGAGGACGCTGACTCCTAAGTTTTATTTTTTATTTTCTCTGAAATCACACTTTAAGAGCTATCTTCTCTCGTTTTTTTTTCAACTATCGATAAGTATGCTTTTTATTCTCACAAAAATGGTTGTAAATAAAGGCAACAGTAGTATACCGCTGTTCGAAACTCATAAATCATAACATATATAATACTTACAAATTCGTATGATTTTCCACCACATATAGCTAAAAAAAGGCTCTATTTGCCAAGGTATAATAATACAATTGAGAATTGAATTAGGGAATGTGTTAAAGAGACAACAACCCGACCAAAGAGCAGAAACAGCCCAAGGCCACCAATGGGTCTTCAACAAAGCGAGAAAATCCCGCACCCGGAGTCGGGCTTCAGCTGGCCCCTAAACAAAAATGTGTACTAGTTCAGTGAAAATGGACGTCACACTAAACCGAAACATATAAATGAACTAAAATTGAAAAAAACATTCAAGACTTACTAAGGCCAGAGGCTCCTGACTTGGGACAGGCGCAAAAATGTGACGGTTTAAACATGATTTGTGAGATCTCAACCCTCCCCTATACCTCTAGCCAATGTAGAATAAACAAACTAACAGCAATACGCACAGTAAAACTCAGTTAAAAAGAAGTCCGATGTCAGAATAGGTAACAGGAGAAACTAAGCAAAATGACAATGATACATAAATTAACAAATGACTACTAGCAGTTACTGACATGCCAGCTCCAGACCTCAATTAAACTGATTGAAAGATTATGTCTTCATCATATGAAAATCAAGTACAATCCCTCCCGTTAGGTGTTTAGTATCACACCATCATAACATATATGAGAAGAACATAACCCGTATCATGCCAACAACTGGTTTTAGAATAAATGTGTTTGTTTCCGATGCAAAGACCCTAGGAGTGAATCAATATTAATTCCAAATATGCCATCTTTAATGACCTGACAACCGTATCGTAACTATATCCCTTCTGAATAAGTCTGTTTAAAGGTTTGGTTAGTTTTTGAGGTGAATGACGACATTTTTGTGCTTTGTATAGAATATTCCCATAAAAGATTGGATGTGAAATACCTGAACGTATAAGATGTCTGCATATTGAATTATAATTACGAATGATGTCCTTGTACCGATGATAAAACTTAGTAAATGTTTTGACTAGATTTGACTAGATATCGAAAACACTGGTGTAATATTTTTTCAGTAATACAGATATTTCTTTCGTTAAAATCAAAAACGTTGTTACATACACGAGCGAATCAAACAAGTTGAGATATATAAACACCATAAGATAGTGACAAGGGAACGTCACCATCTAAAAATGGATAATTAACAATAGGAAATGAAAAATCATCTCTTTTATCGTACATTTTGGTATTAAGCTTCCCGTTAAAGATATAGATATCAAGATCAAGGAAAGGGCAGTGTTCATTGTTAGTATTAGCTTTATTAGCAGTAAGTACGAAGTGAGTCGTGGATGATGTTACGACACTCATTCCAATTAATAATTGACGGGGGACGATATTCACGTCCTTTACTAAGGAAAGATTTCAACTGTCGGTCCTGGACGATGTTAAGGTCTCCTGTTATTACATGGGGTCTTTGGTCATAAATGTATTTGGAATTACTGCAATTTCATGACGTAGGTGTATTGTCACTGATATTAACATCTTTACACACCTCGCTATAATTAAACACATATTTCTGGGTAGATGTTTTATAAACATTACAGATTAGAGGGCGCTCAGTATTATCAAAATAACCAGGAATTTTATTTGTTCTTTTACGAAATGATCATTAAAAATACCGGCAATATTTACAAAATCGTAACCTTCATTGACATATTTGATTTTAATGAAATATTTTTTGTGGTCTTCAGGGCGATCAATTTTGGAAACAGTTTAGAATAACAATATGCAATTATAATTTTGACGATTTCATACTTGGGACTTCAATATGGATACTCTTACCGAATGGGTTAAGGCTGTGAGGTCATTGATACAAATTAGAATTAAGAAATTGAACAGGCCTATGAATACACATGCTGCATCTATCTTCAAAGACCCACAGGTTCCTAAGCACCTACCTTTCTTCCATGACAATTATGTTGTTGTCACCTCAGATAAAACCCAAAACAATATCGTTTTTGGGTTAAACACATTACAAAAACTGCTTGATCAAAAGATCTCTTAGAAAACATACAATCCAAATATCTTTCCTCTTGCAATTGTATTAAAACATTTGGCTTTTCTACCCTTTAAGCAAGTAACCCCCTTACCAAACTTAAAGACAAATTAGAAAGATTGGTTATGCTTTGTTTTAAATACAAGAATAGCCAACGTAGATACAAATATCTTGTTTTAGGGAGAATACGTCGTACTTTGTGCAAAAAACACTCTGATGGAAATAAAAAAATCTCAGAAACTGATATTATCAAAATTGATTTCTTTATTGGCAATACATGGATATTGTTTTACGATTAGAGGACGTTCTTTACAACTAACAGTCGACAATCCCATGGAAAGAAACTGTGGTCTTCTTCTTGACGACTTGTTCCTATATTCATTTTTGACAGACTGCTTACAAAAGCTTCTTATGAATATTGAAAAGAAGCTTGCATTATCCTTAATATGACAGTTATTTTCCATTCGTTTGATGAGGTTTAGTAGATATAAGAAGATGTGGTATGAGTGCCAATGAGACAACTCTCCATCCAAGTAAAAATTTATAAAAGTAAACCATTATAGGTCACAGTACGGTCTTCAACACGGAGTCTTGGCTCACATCGAACAGTAAGCTATAAAGGGCCCCAAAAAATTACTAGTGTAAAACCATTCAAACGGGAAAACCAACGGTCTAATCTATATAAAAAACGAGAAACGAGAAACACTTATGAACCCCATCAACAAACGACAACTACTGAACATCAGATTCCTGACTTAGGACAGGTGCAAACAAATGCAGCGGGTTTAAACGTTTTAATGGTACCAAACCTTCACCCTTTTTTTGAAACAATAGTGTAACATCACAACATAGAAAGAGTGTTTAATTTTGCCATTTGATAAGGGACTTTCCGTTTTGAATTTTTCTTGGAGTTGTATATTTTTGTTATTTCACTTTTTAAATACACGTTCCGCTATAATGATGATATCTTCTAACAAAGTATTTCAAAGTTTGGTGATAATATTGAACGCATATATCCCTTTGAGCCTTGAAAAGAGAATACAACAGATACAGTAAAGTCTGCCTCATTTCTTGACTGACATTTAGAAATTGACAACGAGGATCGTTGAAAACAAATTTTACAACAAAGAAAATGATTTACCGTTTCCAATTGTGAACCCTCCATTTCTATGTAAAGGCATTTCAGAAGCTGGTGCATATGACGTATTTATCTCCCAGTTCAAAACGATATGCCAGAGCATGCATTTCCTATAATGATTTGATCGAAAGAGGAAAGCTGCTTACAAGGAAACCAAGAGTTCAAAGTGGGGAAGTTGAAGTCATCTAATGAAAAATGTTCGGACGTCCTGACGATTTAGTTGACCCTTATGGCATATCTGTTTCACATATGACGACGGAAATTGTCATAACCATAATCCTCTCCTCTTTTCCTCGAGTGTGACCTATCGGATTAAAATAATCAATGGGTTTTTACTTACAAGAGCAACACCACAGCTGGCACGTGTGAAGAAGGATCTGCTAACCTTTTCAGAGCACATTGGATAACAGCGATTTTTAGTTCTCTATGGTTTTTTTTGTTGTTGTCATTTTTCGTTTTTTGCCATGACTTTTAGAGTTCATTTTCGACTTGTGAGTTTGAATGTCCCATTGGTATCTTCTGCCTCCCTTGACCGATCAACTTACATGACAAAAATCAGTACATATCCAGGTCTTTGATAGTTTCATCCCTGAAACATTATCCTTGAGATTTACACATTTTTTACAGGAGTTATGTCGCTTTGAAATGTAATTTACATTAAACAGTATGCCCCTTTGATAATAGGAACATTGAAAATAACATTTTTAGCGTTCTCATGGCGACATTTCTTGTAAGATACTTATTAGTTAGTTATTATTTCTTTCTTTTTTTAATTGCCCATTGGCCGATAAAGTATGAAACGTGTTGGACATTGGAACGATTTTATTCTTATTTTAGACGGTATTATTAGGTAAGTAATGTTAATTGTGATAGTGTTTTTCTTGTCTATAGTTTTAGGTATAGAACCACTAATTCAGGCCCGGTCGGAAAGAACATACAAGAAAATAGTACATATTTTTAACAAAATACTTCCTACGCATAGCTGTATCTTTGTCAATAGTGGGAATATTTTGGTAGTTTTAGTATCAAATGAAAGCTTGGGGACTTGGGGTCACTGTTGAACCCTTGTTGAAAGTTTTATTTGAATAATAAAGAAGTATAGGAAATTTTAATAGGAGGGCTCATTTGGCCTGTTGTTCAGATCAGAAGTTCCTGTTTTTGTACTATCAAACTTCCGGGAACCAGTACGCTCTAATATGTTGATTTTTTCAGCACAAGTCAGCATAAGGTACAGTTTTGACATGAAAAATAACTGCCACTTTATTTGAACTTAAGATAAAGTAGCCATTTATGCTTGAAATTGCAGAATTTAACATAGAAAGCAATGGGGCTATAAATTAGTGGTTTTATACCTTTTAAAGTTAATAGCCCTCTCTGGCGATATTTAAACAGTATATTCTTCTTAAAACATTTTGTTATATTGTTGATTTAGATTCAAATGGCGAAGGTATGCATACTCATGTTAATGTGCCTGTATCCAGTCAGGAACAAGGTAAGTGGTCCTCTTTTTTTAGTTATATCTTGATATTTTGACCTTTTGGGAAACTTTTATCGCTGATAAAAGTTATTTGATAGTCTCTTTTAATTTTTTTCAGATGTTTTTTAAAGATCGGACTAAACATTACTATACATATGTCAAAAAACGGGTGTTAACTTTTTGGAAACAAGGATTCAAACATCTTTAAGCAATATTTAATTTCACTCGTTGTTTCATTGTCTACAGATAATATATTTACAAATGAATCAGATTAGACGGAATTAATTATAGCCGTTTCATATTTTCCTTTCTGAAGTCAAACAAAGATGAACCTTTCTTATGTCTTTCAGAAAAGGCTTCATGGGAGTACAAGGACAAGGATTCGGAATGGAAGAAATATCCATTAGATATAAGTTATAAAATAGAAAACGCTTTCAAAAAGAAACCAACGGACAAAACTATTATTAAGATGGATACGAAAACGTAAGTTTACTAAAAGTTTAAAAAAGGATACGCATGTTCTGGCAATAAAAAGGATAAAATAACAAAAATACCGAACTCCAAGGAAAATTCAAAACGAAAAGTCCCGTATCAAATGACAGAATCAAAAGCTGAAACACATCAAACGAATGGAAAACAACTGTCATATTCATGACTTGGTACAGGCATTTCCTTGTGTAGAAAATGGTGGATTAAATCTGCATTTTTAGCTAGCTAAACTTCTTTATTGTATGATAGTCGCATGAATTCCATTATATTGACAACAATGTGTGACCAATTTTAATTGGTGTCCTTGTCCTGTGCTGTTTTTATGTGCTGATCTAGGTTGTTTTACGTATAAATAAAGGCAACAGTAGTTTACAGCTATTCGAAATTCATAAATCGATTGAGAAAAATACAAATCCGGGTTACAAACTAAAACTGAGGGAAACACATCAAATAAAAGAGGAGAACAACGACACAACAGAAACTCAACACTAAAATGCAACACACACAGAAACGAACTATAATATAACAATGGCCATTTTCCTGACTTGATACAGGACATTTTAAGAAAAAATGGTGGATTGAACCTGGTTTTGTGCTAGCCAAACCTCTCGCTTTTATGGCAATGTTAAATATAACATTAAAATGACAAGATTACATGATAGGACTACAATACAAATAAATGGGAGAACATACAGGACAGAGACAAACACAAATAATAGCTATCAAAAGGTACCAGGCTTATAATTTAATACGCCAGACGCGCGTTTCGTCTACATAAGACACATCAGTGACGCTCAGATCAAAAAAGTTCGAAAGCCAAATCAAGTACAAAGTGGAAGAGCATTGAGGACCAAAAGTTCCAAAAAGTTGTGCCAATTACGGCTAAGGTTATATGCCTGGGATAAGAAAATCCAGTATTTAGAATAATTCATACTTTTGCAAACAGTATATTTATAAAAATGACTATATAATAGATATACATGTTAACACCGATGTGGTGACTAACTACAGAATAAAAACGAATACATAAAACAACCTAAATCAGCACATAAAAAAGGCACAGCCGAACAACATATTATATGTTAGCCGAAGAAATCGACTCTTTTATATTCTGTAGTTAGTCACCACTTCGGTGTTAACATGTTTATCAATTATATGGTCATTTTTATATTTTTTAAATTTACTGTTTGCAAAAATATGAATCATTCTAAATACTAAATATTTTCTTATCCCAGGCAGATAACCAAGCCGTATTTGGCACAACTTTTTGGAATTTTGGGTCATCAATGCTCTTCATCTTTAGGCTTTGCACCTTTGATAAATATTAGCTTGTCGTAATGTTCTATTGTATTGTTTATTTGTGTGTTTCTCTGTCCTGAATGTTCTTCCATTTATTTGTATTGTAATCTTGTCATGTAATCTTGTCATTTTAGTGTTATATTTAACATTGCCATTAAAGCGGGAGGATTGGCTAGCCACAAAACCAGGTTCAACCCACCATTTTTTTCTTAAAATGTCCTGTACCAAGTCAGGAAAATGGCTATTATTATCTTATAGTTCGTTTCTGTGTGTGTTGCATTTTAGTGTTTCTGTTGTGTCTTTGTTCTCCTCTTATATTTGATGTGTTTCCCTCAGTTTTAGTTTGTAACCCGGATTTTTTTTTTCTCAATCGATTTATGAATTTCGAACAGCGATATACTACTGTTGCCTTTACTTGTATATGAAAAAACTCTCCAGCGATCAATTTGTCGAGCATCATAATTTTAAGTTATTAAGAAGTATGTTCGAACCTTTTATGATACATAAAATGTTGCCACATTGCTAAATATACATAATACATTGATTGCTCAAAACAATTTACGATATATAAAAAGTTGACACATTACTGAATTCTGCTAATATCAAATGTTTTGATTTTAGGTACATTATAAATTTTGCACAAAAAATTCAGGTCAACCCTCAAGACGACACGAAGATTAAAGTTCGCAGATCAGGTATGATAAATATAGAGTACGCGTTAAGTTGTAATCATAAACAGAAGTTAAGAGATCTTTCAATTCCTGTTCGGGGACACAGTTATTGCCCTATGATTTTCGTTCTCTACGAATTTAGTTCCTAGTGTGGACATTGTCTTATTTGGAAATATTTTCGATACATCTTCCTAAATTTCTTTCTTTATTTTTTATGCATAAAACAGTATGGGAGGCGAAGACATATATAAAAAAAAATTAGGTCATAAATTTTAAGGTAAAGTAATAATTTTGAAAAGATAAACAATTTGTATGTTTTAAACTTTCAAACTGAATTATACTACCCCCATAACATATAATTGTCCATATTTTGAGTTAGAGCAGGTAGATTTTTCTATAACTTTGATAAAATTTGTACATAAGTAGTAAACCGCACTGAAAAATGATAGTGTGAAAGAGGAGGTGCGATTTTTTTCATTTCCATTTGATGTGTTTTTAAATGCTCTACACCATATTTGAGTTCTCGGGCCTAAGAAATAAATTCAGTAATGGTAGAATTTGTACTTTTGCAAAATCCCTGGATGGTTTTTACGGTGTTAATTTGTCAAACTGAATGAAAGTTAAGGGTTAAATGCGAACGTATTATCCCACTAACAAGAATTTAGTAAAGACACATATTTCGTCACCAGCTTTTTATGTTAATATTATTGATAAATTAAACATTCATCTATTATACGGTTGTGAGGTTTTTGCGTTAAATTATATATTTGTATAGATAAGTTTTCGATTATTTACAGTTTTGAAACACGGTATTTCATTTAATTTGTTCGCAGTATTGAAATTATGTACAATATTAAATACTGAATACAGCATAGAATATAAATAATAAGATGTGGTATGAGTGCCAATGAGACAACTATCCATCCAAGTCACAATGTGTAAAAAGTAAGCTATTATAGGTCAAAGTACGGCCTTCAAGATGGAGCCTTTTCCCACACCAAACAGCAAGCTATAAAGGGTCCCAAAATAACTTGTGTAAAACAATTCAAACAGGAAAACCAACGGTCTAAATTATATAAAAAACTAGAAACGAGAAACACTTATGAACCACACCAACAAACGACAACCACTTAACAACAGGCTCCTGACTTAGGACAGGTGCATAAAAATGCAGCGGGTTTAAACGTTTTAACAGGCGCCAACCTTTACCCTAACCTGAAACAGTGGTGTAACATTACAACATAAAAAGACACACAATAAAATATCAATTGAAATGGCTTAAATCGATCAAAAAGACATACACAAAACAAGTAAATATAAACTGAACGAATAAGTTTTTTGATCTATGACACAATATAAATAAAAAAGATGTATCAATGTCAAAAAGACAACTTTAACCTAGGAAAAAATGGCGTTAAATAAAGTAACGTACACAGGTAAATTTAAATATTATAATTTTGTTGTTAGAAGTACAGAAACATTTTTTCAAAATAAATTTGTTGTTCATAGTACGAGTACAGGAGTGAAAATTTATCGTCATACTAAATAATTATCAAAGGTGGTACATATTAGAAATAGAAAGACGAGATATAAATAAACAAATATTGAATAACAGAAATGCATTACCAATTGTGTCAACAGGTCAAAGTACGATTTGAGAGTACTCGCAGTTACTGAAAGCTAGTTAAAAGCCAAAAACGATTAATTATAAAAAAATCATGCATCAGAGACTAAAATCAATTAAAGGACATCCCAGGCAGGGATTTAGTGTTTTAACGCCATAGACAGCATGATTCGCTGCACTCACCATGACTTTTCAGTATGTAGTAATGTTTTGGATTTATGATTATTCGTTTGATATAACTTTTTCAAATCCACTAAATCAAGTTTCCACGAAAATACGATTTATTTTAATCCACGGAAATTGATACCGACGAAAAGAAATGAACAGTACATGGGTATCAGTTGTTTTAGTAATAAGAGCTATGTGTTGAAAACCAATGGCCTTGAGCTGACACCACTGACCCTGTGCGTGGTTTTTATTCGGTATTCTCGGTGCATGTTTTTGTCGTCTGTATTACCGATATTATTCCAATATGTGTTTTTTTCTCATTTTTATCCTCTTCTGTTTAACCTGTTTTCACTGATCGGAATAAAAAGAGGAGATTTTAGTATTAGAATAGAATTTATAGACATAAAACATCTCCCTGAAGACTAGTATCTGATGCCTTTTTCAGCAATGAAGATTTTTCATCGAAGCGTTAGTTTCAATAACAAGATGTTTAACACTAAAGATCAAGGACTGTTTATCCTTCCTAACCACCTGAACTTGGGTTTTAGTTGCATTCTATTTTTGTTTTAATCTTTAGCTGTTCTAATTTGAGGACAGTCGTTTTTTGTGCTTTTGTCATGACCTCATCTTCCCTTTTCGACTTATCGATTCATTTGATACTTAATATATTTTAGCTCCTTAAATTCAAAAACATTTACCTGTTCTGCTTATGACGATTTCATACACAGACATGCAATCTTAACTATAAAACTCGATAAATCACACCGACATGAATTATACATACCATGTCCATAATCGGTCATTTTCCTTACCGGTTGAAAAAGATTCCTGGTCATTACACATTACGACTTGATATGACTTTTCAATTGCAGGATGCGTTATAGATATAATACATGAAGTACTTGCTCTGTTGACTCACCTTGTCTAACTCTTTGTAAAGGCCATGCTCTTCCGATTGTTCTGCTATTATCATTTTAAACATTGAGAACGTATTCAAAACTTACAATAACTGAAAATGTCAATATCTATTTTATTTGTTTTTTTCAGAATGAATGAGGGTAGCCACCTGTAGGTGCAGAGAGGCATTGAGAAGCCAGTGATCTATTTGTTCATGACACACGATGATAGCTGATTTTCAAAACATTGACAATCAATTCATTAGCCCCTGACTTTGATGGTTTTGTTTCACTTGACATACTTTCATTTAAAACAATAGTGGTAACTTCTTTAACAAAAAACACACATTGATGAAAAAATAATTATGAGTAAAAATTAAAAATCTGAAGGAACGATTTTATATTTTGTCCAAATATTTTCGTACAAGAAATCTGACGGTAAACAGCTAAACTCGCACAAGAATTCTGATTGTGAAACACTGTAACTTCAGTGAAAAATGATGATCCCAGAAATACAAACGATATAAGGATAATGCTTGATTCACAAATATGAAGAAAACTGCATTCAGCATTCAAGAATGATCAAGTATAAATATAGGGAAAATTGAAACCAAACGTTGCGGTATGTCATGTCTTAAACAGGATTACAACAAAAACTTCTTAATCGACAAAGCTACTAACTAAAATCTAGGATTTTTTTATAAACTTCTAAAATTCGGCTTTTAATTTAGTATAAAGATAACTTTATCAACTAGCTTTCTGTGTGTTTGCGGTAGACATATATTAGTTGATACCTTTAGTAAAGCCAATTTAATATCAATACAGATGTTTACGATGAAAAAAAATCATCGATTCAGAACACTACCCTGGTACCGTTGTGAAGAAGAAAGAACTAGATAACGCTGCATTTTACAGTTGGCATCAAAATATGTCAAGATGAGTTTTGTCATATGTTGAAAATACATAATTATTTCATAAGTGTCTGATATTACTATATTCAATGAGCAATGTTTTTCGTTTGAATAAATTATCACTTTTGTCCATTATCACAATGTAATATGAACTGTATCAATATGATTATCATGTTGAGTAATACTCATTTTGTCACATTGTGTGCATCCTATGTCGTGTATGAATTGTATTAATTTTGGATTGTATGCTTTATTACAACTATATGTCAATATTCAATTAAATAAAGACAATCAATGATATGCTTTATCTCTTTTTTTACCACCTTGATACTGGACAAAATATATCAAGATCAAAGAAAAAAGCACATTAATAGTATTTAAGCTTTTTTGTCCATTCACCTCAATGTATGTTCAATTTTTAGGATTTTAGTGATTTATTTTTTGTGTGACATTTAACATGATGTTCTGTTCATTTGAAAATTAACCATTTAAATCAGTTGATCCATAAACAAAGGTGAAAAGGTAAAAACACGACAAACAGCAAGCCGTCTCTTTCATTATGTTAAGAAATATTATGATAAAAAATAGTTATAAAAATACTTATAACACGATTTTTTCCTCACATATTCCTTTAATACTATATAATCTTATTTGCGATATCAACAGATAATTCTTGTTTTAAAGGTATCTCTTCACATTTCCTAGAGAGAAAGAAAATTAATATTCAAAAGTAGGATAGGTCAAATTTGGAGAAGACAAATCAATAGACAAAACAAATCGAAAGACAAAACAAATAGAGAGAAAAACATGATATATATTAGACACGGAAAGAATAAAACTAAATATAAATAGTTATTAAAGTGTTAACAATAAACAATTCAGTATTTGGAAATCCAATAGTTACTTTTTCGTAGTCCTATGTGTAAAAACCTAACCTGTGAGACGGAGCGGAAAGAGTTATGAAGGAAATATGTCCAGAAATTACAAATGAATGATAAAAAAGTCCGGTTTGTATTTTAAAATATACGTACACATTTTAATGATTTTTTCCTGATGAAAACACAAGAAAAACAATTTAGTCGCTAAATACAGAATAAAGTAAGTTTATTTTTTACGTACACAAAAAAAAAAAAAAATTAAGAGATAAATAAAGCTTGTTCAGCAATTATAAAAAAAAAGGAACAATTATCACACTTTCTTTCAGTTTCCGATAACTTGTAACAATATTGATATTTAAAATGTAGAGTTGGATATTCACTAGATCTTGGAACTTTCATTTACGTTAAGGGTCAGTATGACGCCAGTATGTTAAATCGTGTTCGTGAAAATATATAGTCTGTGAATGATTTAAGTGAATTAATAACTGCTAATGTAAATACTGGTAAAAATCGCTTATTTTTTTCTTCGTTGACGGGTATGATTTCCTTTTCTTTATAAACACTTCTTAATAATTGTATCACATACATTTACTATTTGATAAAATGGTCTTCCGATAAATCTTGCGGTAATTATTATTATCCGTTGTGTTTTCGTTACAATCTTTTTTTGTATTCAAATTACAATAAATTCGTTAATTACACATGCAAAGACATGATAAAATTCAATAATATTTTGTTTTGTTATATTCATTGTCGTGTTGGAGGTACAGTATACGGTCAAGTAGGTCAAGTAGGGACGCACAAGTCTATAAAATTTCACTGAGTCAATATGTGCCTCTTTTATCAAATATTAATTCCTTAACTGTTATTAATTGTAATTTATGGTCAAACTAGAAAAAAAAAAATTTCAAGACATTTCAACAAAATCTGCAAGTATAAAAGAGAGGCGAAGGACACCAAAGGGACATTCAATCTAATAAGTCGAAAATAAACTGACAACACCATGGCTAAAAAAGAAAAAGACAATTAGACAAATAACAGTACACAAAACACAACATAGAAAACCAAAGACTGAGCGAGACGAAGCCACCAATAAATGGGGGTGATCTCAGGTGCTGCGGAAGGGTAAGCAGATACTGCTCCACATGTGGCACCAGTCGTGTTGCTCATTTTAGTACAAACCCTGTAATAAGTCTAATTCGGTAGGTCATATTCGGGGAAAAGGAGACGGGATTGTATTTACGACAATCGGAACATATCCGTTGTCATCTGTGAAACGGATTTTCCATAACGGTCAACCAACTCGTAATGGCGTCCGTAAAATCTACGAAGGGACGAATTTAACTTCACTACTTGGAAATCTTGGTTTTAATAGCTTCCTTGTGAGCAGCAACCCTCTATCAAGGAAGTCATGAAAGGAAATACGAATATGAATAAAGGAACAAGCCGGCAAGAACATGAGCACAGTTGGTTCCCATGGGAATGCCGATTGTTTGTTGAAAAACACGTCCTCCAAACCTCACAAATATGATGACAATCAGGAAATCAACCATCTTAATAATATCAGTTTCAGATAATTTTTTGTTTGAATCAGAGTGAGATTTTAAAAGTACGATTTATCACTCCCTAAGACAAGAAACTTGTAACTACGTAGACCAACTCTTTCAATTTGTCTCTTAGTTTGGAATGGGGAATACTTGTGTAAAGTGTAGAAAGTCAAATGTTTTAATATTATTGCAAGATGAAAGAGTCTTAGATTGTATGTACTCTAAAAGATCTTTGGAATTTTTTAGTATCCACATCTGATTCACGCCAACTCTAGAATAGGTAGTTTCACAATAACTTTGTAGCCCGGCTTTTATTGCTGATAAAAATGATGTTAATAATTTATAAAGAGGTTTAGTGGATCATTTGGAAGACCCAGTAATATGACGTTGTTTGTAAGGACAATTATGTAGCTTAGGTATCCAATACAGGGAAGGAATATCCAGTTCTTCATCTTTGGTTGAAATTCCAAAGGAAAATAAAACAGACCTATGATTATCTTGGATTACCTTTCAGAAAATAAATATTTTCTTCAATTCATCGATGAAAATCCGTTTACCTCTTACAGAAATACTGTGAAACTGTTTACTCGCGTAGTGGTATTAACCATATGTGGATTCTAAAAAACTCTAAAGAACTTCTGGATAATTTTAAATCTCGATCTTTCTCTGAAATTAATTCTATCAAAACTTTTGATTTTTCAACCCTGTTTACCACCATTCCCCATGTGAAATTAAAAAATCGTCTAAAAGAAATAATCCACAATGCTTTTCAATATAAAAATGGTAGCATACGCTATAAATTTATTACTTTGGGATACCATACAGCATATTTTGTTAATAGTTAACAAAAAGGTAAAATATGCTACACAGAGGAACAAGCGATCAGTATGCTTGAGTATCTTATTGACAACATAATTGTTGAATTTGGAGGTAGACTTTTTCAACAAATTGTCGGCATTCCTATGGGAACGAACTGTGCGCCTCTCCTTACCGAGCTCTTTTTATTTTCATACGAGTCGAAGTTCCTTCAGACACTTGTCAAAAACAAGAAGATCAAAGAAGCCAGATCATTTAATTTCACATTCAGATATATTGATGATGTTCTTTCCATTAGCAATCCAAACTTTTCTGATTGGGTTAAATTAATATATCCTCGAGAACTAGAAATTAAAGAAACAACAGACACGGCTTCCTCTGTCTCATTTTTAAACTTATACCTCGAATTTGACATTATCGGTCATCTCGGTACCAGAATCTATGACAAACGATACGATTTTTATTTTGAAATTATCTATTTCCCCCACCTTAGTAGCAATATACCAACTTCACCTGCATATGGGAATAACATTTCCCAACTCATTCGATATTCAAGAGCTTGCAGCTGCTACTCAGATTTTATAAAACGCCACCAGTGTCTGAGCAGAAAGTTGATGAATCAGGGTTATTTCAAAGAACGTCTCGTCCTTTTTCTAAAAAAGTTCATCGAAAGATACCAAGACCTTGTTGATAACGATTCCGTATCAACTTCACAAATAATACATGATGGTCTTGAAGTATAGATTCTAGATACTGACGTTGTTTATCATCTTAATTACGTGTTATAGTGTTCTTTTATTTGTCTTTGTAAATTATTAACCTTTACTGTTTACTCCATTTTTGGTAATATCCTTTTGGCGTGGCTCTGTACTTATACATCCCCCCATTGTGTTATTGTGCTATGGTCATTTTTTGTATTCTTGTCTTTCATTTTTGCTTATGCGCTTTGTCTATATGCCTTTTTGTTTTTCTTTGTTGACATATTTGTTTGTTTTTATAGTGATTAAGATTATAACACAATGTTGACTGCTGTACCCATATTTTTGACATTTTTTCCTATTATGTCTGTTTGTTTTGTTCACACATCGTTGTCAGTATAATGGGATTATATGCGATTGTCATACAAGTGAGACGTTTAGCTAGCTATAAAACCAGGTTTAATCCATCATCTTCTGCATAATTAAGAAAATATCTGTAACAAGTCATGAATATGACAGTTATTTTCCATTCGTTTGATGTGTTTCAGCTTTTGATTTTGCCATTTGATAAGGGACTGTCCGTTTTGAATTTTCCTTGGAGTTTTTGTTATTTTACTTCTTGTATGACTACATCCAACGCTACCTTTATTTAAGACCTTGATATTATAAGTTCTTATCGCGATCTTGAAGCAAATTTTTACGACAAACTGATTTTCATAAATATGTCATGCTTTGAAATAGTCAATAATCCACCGTGAAAATTCAAATCAAGGCTTAAAGAGAAAAATAAGAATTCCAAAAGGAACGAGATCGGGTGTGTCGACACGGTAGTCGCCATCTTCTAAGTATGCATCATCCACCATAGAAATTCCCATTTATTCAAACTTTCAAACATGGAATAGGCCACAATCGGTTAACCAACCATTCTAGTATCTGATGATTCTAAGGAAGCGAAATAATGTGTGTATTAGGTTGAGACAAAGACACTTGGTTAATCAACTCGTGATAGTGACCGTAAATCTTGTGAGAAATCGATATCAGTTGTTTTTCCAACTTTTTTGGTAGAAAAGTTTAGCGTACAGAAAACAAAATGTTAACTAAATCTTATTATTGCAACATTGATTTATTGTGTAAGGATTATTAGTCTTGAATGTATTAAAAAGGTACCTTTCACTATTTACATTATTATCCAAGTTAACAACTTTACAATCTGTTCTTCAAAGCCTCGTTTTTCGCAAATAAATTATTGATAAAAATTATAAATTGTTGTAAAATAAAAGTGTATTCTACATATATTGTATGGATTATTATTAATTCACGTATTTACTGTTTGAAACATGACTAACATGTTAAGACAACACGTATTAATAAGAATAGACATGACGGTTTAAATGCATAATAGAAACACATATATTTGAATAGCATGGTAATAGTTATAGCCTGCATGTAATTTTATCGTTGAAAATTAATCAACATATAATTTTTTTGGCAATGATGAATAATACATTTAATTTTCCAAACATTGAAATACATATTTGTTAACAAATCTTCGACGGTCACTATTTTTGTGTGATTAAGTAAAAATTGCATCGTCCAAATAATGCTTTAGACAAAATTTTCGGGAAATTTGTTATAATCAATAAGGAACGATTACAATTGGAACGAATTGAATTGTACAGTTCATAAGGTAAGTTTCATTTACAAAGACTACAGATTCCTCTGACATTGAGTTAACATACCTAAGTCTAATTCTCTTAAATGCTGCTGTATTATTCTCATAACCAAATGTAAACCACAGTCATTGTATCAATAACAACCACATAAAACACTTAAGTGACTTCCAATACATTTACAGGAGTTATTTTTCTTTTAAAACGAACAAATTATTTGATTTTTATTAATTTTATTATATTCTTCAAAAATAATAATCAATAAAATTATTCTTTCATAGGAAATAAAGAATATGCAAAACCAGATGAAAGAAAAGGTATGCTATTTCAAAAGACGGGAAATTATGATAGCTCAAGATATAAACGATATTAATGTTGCTATGGGATATATACCTTGCATGGTACAAAAGCTCCATGTCAGTTTAACATAAAGCTGATATGTATTTTTTTTAAAACAATGCAAAATACATAAATTAAAATTACAAAGTGCAATTTTGTCCTAAATTCTTTTTTACTTTTGATAAGTTTACGAGTATGTCACTCTAAATACCAGAACGTTAAACATACCTGTTCAAAATTAAAATTATAATTGATCCAATATCATTCAGTTCTAGTACTGTGCAAATTTGAGTTATTAATGTAGAATTTGGAGTTAAATTATAAGTTTTTATAACATTTTTATTATATTTTGATAAAATATTTAATGTCTTATATTGGTCTACTAAAGTATATTGGTCAAACACTTTTAAGACAATTTAGAATATCAAGTTTTATTTAATAGTTTTTTTTTCTGACAATCAGAGTTCTTTTATGATGGCTGGTCGTCGAATATGAATTATCATCAAATCTTTACATAACAGGCATATCAAGGACTAAGTAAGTAAGTAAGTTGATATAAAAAAACTCGACGGTAGTGAAGCAACATGTTTTCTCTGAAGGTAAAGATTTTTTCCCATTTGTAGTTGAGATTAAGGGTTCGTGATTCTTCATCTCTTATTTCATTGTCAAATCATTGTGGTTTTTGTATGAACTCCTGTTGCAAAAAAAAAAAAAGACTAATCATTGTTTTTTGTAAACGTAATCGTTGTTGATATCCTTTTATTGTTCTTCAAGGTCATTGCTATGAAGCAGAAGATCCGTGAATTAGATAAGACCCAAACAGAAATATTGAACCGAATGGCATCAAATGGGTAAATTTCATCAATTATATTTTCCCTTTTATCGATATTAATATATAAACTAAAGTATATATTGCCAATGAGACAACTATCCACCAGAGTCCCAATAACGCGGATCTTCGCAACTATATGTCACCGTTCTGCCTTTAATAATGATCAACACCCACATCGTTTAGCGAGTTAAAGAAGGCTTCGACATGAAAAATGAGAAATAATTCAATCGAGAACACCAATTTTCTGATTTCTGACAAACCAATAAATGAAAAACAAAATGAGAGACAGTAACGAACGACAAGAACTGAATTGGTAATTCCTCACTTAGGAGAGGCACATAAAGATTGTGGCGGGATTAAACATGTTTGTGAGCATTCAATCATCACTCTTACATGATACAGTGGTGTAACATCACAACATAAGCAAAGGCTGTAAAATGTAAAGTGCAAAAGTTCTGAGTTTATGATTCAGGTTCAGAATTCGTTTTGATATTTAAATTGAGAATGGAAATGGGGTATATGTCAGACAGACAACAACCCGACCAAAGAGCAGACAACAGCCTAAGGCCATCAATGGGTCTTCAACGCAGCGAGAAAATCCGCACCTGGAGGTGGTCCTCAGCTGGCCCCTAAATAAAGTTGTGTACTAGTTCAGTGAAAATGGACGTCACACTAAACTCCAAAACATATAAATGAACTAAAATTAAAAACACATACAAGACTAACAAAGGCCAGAGGCTCCTGACTTGGGACAGGCGCAAAATTGCGGCGGGGTTAAACATGTTTTGTGAGATCTCAACCCTACCCCTCTTGTCAATGTAGAATAAAGAAACACATAGTAATACGCACAGTAAAACTCAGTTCAAAAGAAGTCCGAGTCCGATGTCAGAATAGGTAACAAAAGAAACTATGCAAAATGACAATGATACATAAATGAACAATGGACTACTAGCAGTTACTGACATGCCAGCTCCAGACCTCAATTAAACTGATTGAAAGATTCCCTATTTTACTAAATCTAGTTATATGGTGTTAAGTATTTCTCAATAAAATCTTACATGAAATGCTTCAAAGACTCCCTGGCATTTTGCTTTTTTAAGAGAATGCTAGAAATCTAATGGAAATTCTTAAATTACATTGATAAAAATCTTACATTTCAAGACGGTCTTACAATATTTTTTCCTTATTATGAAAAAAATTAATATTCTTTTAGTTTGTTTACATCTAAAATCTATTGTTAATAAACTTTGTTAAAATTACATTTATTGTTTATTTAAGTTTTAGTTAATGTTTCAGCAGGAGTGGCACTTCAATACTGACTGCTGCCTCCAAAGAATTTATACGTAAGTTTGTTCGTGTGAAAATAAAATGGTTTCCAAAAATCTTCTGTATCTCCCTATGTACTCTCTTAGTCTATATTTCAAAACTATTGGTTTTTTTAAGTAACATGAAAACAATCTTTCCATTGGATTACAGATTATTACGTAAATACAGCTTTATCATTTTGTGGGTTAATTTTTCATGACAATAATATATGCTTTTAGAGTTAAAAGAACATGTGAGCCGAATGGACACTAAATCTGTTGAACATACCAACAATCTAGATAATGTTTCAAAGCAGATTTCCAACTTATTGTTGAAAACCAGAAGATTAAATGTTATTGTGGATAATCTACAGAATATGGCTAAATATGACGAGAGAAGTAGTAAATATTTTTCTAGTGATATGTCAACTAATGATGAATATTGTGAATGTTCATTTAATGTAAAAGAAAACAACGAATCATTAGGGATAGGTAAAATACCATGCAGGAAAAATGGTGAAGCATCTGATGAAGATAATACCGATTATAAATCAGACAATGAATGTTGTAGCGCTGACGCTAATATCCATAACCTTTCGAGCTATGTGAATGGCAGGACAGTACGACCACTGACACATAATGCTGTTCAATGTTATGCATCAACTATTAACCCATACAAACCTCTCGGTGAAAACAGCGATACACAATTCTTTAAAAAACTAGGAAGCTATAGTGATAACGTTAAAGTTCAAAATGATTCCACTAACACAATCAAAACTTCGATCTGTAACAGTAGTGAAGAAATTATTGTAGACGAAAACAAAATTGAAGAAGACAACCCATTACATACATTAAATGAGGAACAGGGTAATGAAAGTTCGTCTGAGATTGAAATTTGTAACATACCAAAGATAAAATCCATGATTCGTAAAAATGACTCTGGCTATAAAAGTAAAACTCTGAAAACACAAAACGACAATCGCGTTAGTTTTCATAATAGCAATGATAGTTTTGGAGAGAAAACAAAGAAAAACGTCTGCTGTATGGATTCGATTGTACCAAATATAAAACCGACAGAACACATCATACATGATGAAAGACCAATGATGAAGTCAGCGACATCGTAAATATTTTTACCAAATATCTACAAAAATTTCATTGTTAAATATCTATATTATTTTCTCTTTCTTTAGTTATTTTCGATTTTCTGTTACTATTATCTTGACAAGTACTGCTGTTATCTCATTATTACTGTCGTTAAAATGACCAAAACTGTAAGTGATATCGTAGCAATAGTTTGCATGATGCATCGAAAATTTTGATCCAATGATTTCTTCCTTAAAAAATCACTGAAATATGAATTTTGGGGATTCAATGCTCTTCATCTTCTTAATTTATTTGGCATTTGTAACGTTTTTTATTCAAGCGTCACTGATGAGTATTTTGAAGACAAAACGCGCGTCTGTTATGATGAGTTTATGACTCATTTAGTAAATATTTTTTAAAGATAACTAACTCCTTGAAACTAATACTGAACAGACGAATCTCTGTTCAATTAGTTAATTCTTACACAATTTTGGAAATGATTAGATTTGTTGGTTTTGAGATAGATAAAAGTTCTATCAGAAAATTAAATTTTATATGATATGTTCATAAACGTTTGTCTTGAATTACTTACATCAGGTACCCATGAAAAACCCAGATGCAAAAATTGGAGAGTAAAGAAAAACTCAGCTTTAATAGAACAACCAAATCAGTCTTAAGTCGGTCAAATGTGCCCTTTAAATATGAATCCTTAGCTACAGTTGCATCATGTAATAAACAATAAATTTACCGACAAAATCAATGATTTGAATTATTCTTATCATTTGCGTAACGGTAAGAAACATTTTTAAGTTCAGAATACGTTATATAAGATTGCAAATCGAAGAAACCGTTAAACTAGGTGAAAAGATACTAAGGAAACATTCCAAAGAATTTGACATAAGGCTACCGTGTTCTTGTGTTTTCTACCATAACTTTTTTTATGTTGCCCTTACATACGAATTAACCAATATGTTGCCATTACACACGAGTTGACCAATACATCGTATTAATTCGTTGAATGTGCTGATGCAATTGATTAACAGATGTCAAATAAGGACAATCGTCTTTTATAATTTATAATTATAGTCAGAAAATACAACTACCAATTTATATTTAGATACAGATCGGCCAGGCGACCAACAAGAAGAAGACACGAGGAAGAAATATATGATGAAAGTATGTAGGATAAACAATAAAATGATATGTGGTATAATTTGCCAAATAGGTCAACAATCCACCAGGGACAAAAGGACGAAGATGCGAAAAACCTTACCCAACCATTAAACGGCCTTCAAAGAAATAAACTTTACTTATTTGGCAAAGAAGTGATTATGGAATATGTATTATTGTCTATGAAATTGTAATTCAAAAGGCAAAATTTATAATTGAAATTAGGTGAACTGCTTGTCGAATCATTGTCAAACTTTATGTGTTTCTTTTCTCAATCAAATACATGTGCTAATGATATATATTTGAAGGAATATTCGATGGTGAGCAACCCAGAACTATTAGAGAATGGTATCAGTATACCAAACAAATAAAAGAATATGGTTAGTGCTTTGACATAAAAAAAAATACTTACCGGAAAAACGTTTTATAGGCATTAAAAGGTTTAAAAAGTTTAAAGGAGATGTTGCATGACAGATCAAATCTTTTTTGTGTTATGCTACTTTTTTTTTTTATTAAATTGCTTAATTTATTTTCCATTATTCTTGTCTGTTCTTGGGCTTATCCATATAATCATATAAATACTGAAGTTTCAACTAGCTGTCTCTCTACTCTTTGGGGCATCACGTATATAGTAATTGACGAGAATAGTGTTTGCTTTTTATCTAAAAGTGCGTGTAACTATTCTCTGGGAAGTTGTTTCGGAAAAATACGTTTGTCCAATGAAAAATTAAAACAGGCAAAAAGTCACATTTGATAATGCCAAGCTCGTTACTATGAATCCAAATAAGTGTGAATGTGACACTGTATAAAATTTCCTGATCAAATAAAGAAAATAAGAGTGTCGTTTAACGTCTGAAACATGTAAACTTTGAACTTGGCGAAATGATTTTAATTTGGAATTTAACGTAACGATGTATTGATGTTTAAATTAGCCAACTCCGAAAGTCTTACCTACAATTTTTTTTCTCAAAACGTCTAATTACTATCGAGCGAATGTCAGTAAGTCAAAATAAAGTGTTCTGACGTGTATGCGTTCTATAGTCCTTACTGGAATCACCTCTCTGAGGACAGCCGGATTCTTAACATGTTGAATTAAGATGCAATAGTAGTTTGTCGATGTTCAAACCTCATGAATCAAATCAGAAAATGCCAATAAAGTGAAAATCCAAAACTGAGAGAATCGTACTCAAAAGGAGTAAGACCGAGTGTTTAGCCATGTCTCCAGCTATGCGTACATCACCCGTCATGCGTATATCCGCACATTTGAACTGTTCCAACCAAATACAGTTTGTAGAAACTTTTTTTTATCTCAATAAAACTTCATTCAGAACACCAAGAGACATATGTTTGAAAATAAAAAAAAAACATTGCATTATAGCTAATAACGACATTAATTCATATACATGTATCCCGCAATGGTGGTAAGTCGTGCACTTAAGGCCATATTTTATTTTATTTTTCTGTAGACTTAGTTTTGTTTTTTTATTATTGTGTACTGTCAAGCTTGGTTACTCATAATTGTTTCTCAGTCACTGAATGTACGATGTTGTTCCATACTGGAGCAGCTGACCCGGTTTGTTTACATTCAAATTCTAATGGCTTCAAAACCACGTGACACCTTGAATCGTTATATCCAATCAAATTGCTCTACTGTCAATTAGGTGATTTTTAAGTACAAGGCAATTATATTATTTGTTTGTATGATATTGCTTTGAAATAGTTAGCAATAAATTGGGGGTTTATTCAATAGGAAACCTCATTATTAGCCATGAAATTTGACATCAATGGAATTTTATATGAATATTTACTTATGGTCAGAATATCGATCTCTTTATATTGAATCAAAATTTTTTTTTTATGACAAATATATGTAAATTGTTTTTTATTAACCTACTCTATATTCCTGAACAAAAATATGGCATGATTATCGTTTGTTTCCCAAAGATTTTCTTTCAATTTGGATGGGTTTTTTTTCGCGGGAAAATCGCGTAAGACGTAAGGTGCTTGCCATTTTTAAATTCATAAAAATACGATTTGCTTGTCCTGTTTGGTCTGCCATTAAGATTGATGACGCTCAATGGAATGTAAACAAAGCAATGGAGGCCGGAAGAGGGGTTTTCTTAAGTTCTGAAATGTTTTTAGGCATTCGGAAGTCAGGTTTGAAATGGCCATTAGAAAATCTGCATTTTTGTACAATACTTAAGAATAATAATGAAAACATATCTTTAGATATTATTTAGAAGTGTAGAAAAATGTGTTCTGCACTAATTTTTTACGCTGGTATTAGCGTAGTGACGTCAATGCGGAGTTTTCCCGTATGATAAGTACAATAACAAAATCCGAACGAACCAACGTTATGACCGATTATAGACTACGGTAGGATATGCATAAAGAAAGTATTGGTAGAAAAGGTAATTAAATGAAATTCTAGATTTACAGTTTTAACTTTGAAATTTTCATGACATTTTTTAGCCTCAGCAAGAATAAGATCAGGAGCCGTAAAACTTGCAAAATCGCATAATGTTATTTTGGTATTAGATATATCTGAACATATGGCGGGATATTTCCAGAAGTTGAAATCAGCTGCTCTACAGTATGTTTATGGTGAGTTAAAATAACAAAAACTGAAATTAGATTAAGTAAAAGATTGCACATGATAAAATCGTAGCAGAAATACCACATATTGAACGTTAAAATTCTAATTGTAAATTATTGATTGATATAAGGGATAGTAATCATGTTTATGATATTGAGTTTCTACCTTTTTTAACAAATTTTTATTAAACAACATACAAAACTACATAAAATCTCCTTTGATGTTAATGTTAATTCTTTTTTTACTGTAACTGCATGTAAAAAGTAAGTATTTCTAAAACGGGAGAATAGAACTAAATGAAGATTAAACCTTTTTGATTTCTCAACCAAAAAAAAAGTTTGTTTCTGAACAGGAATTAAGCAAAGTTCGGAATGTAGCGATTTGGAAAATGGCATTGGATTAGCAGTATTTGGCCGTGAAACACGACTTATACAAGAAGCAACAAGTGATTATGAACTAATCATAGAATTGATAGGTAATATCATTCAAATTGGTGTTTCACAATTTGACAGTGTCATGTTTATATTCTGTCGTTATAATCAACTACGTCTAAACAATACCAACATATGCATTGTGGAGTGGGTATATGAATAAGATTTTAATAACCACTTACAATACACGGTTAACCAAAGCTTGAAATGCGTAAAAAGTTGGAGATAAAACAAACAACGGCACACAGTATTACTAAAAAATTACCTTTTAATTTACTGCTTTTTAAAGTTTGTTTTCAAAGTATCAGTTTAAAATCATGAAGTTATACGATTACCACACACATATATATATAGAAGCATTTAAAATTTTGTTTGCTCACAAAATAAAGATGAAGATTGTGAAAATTTATCTAAGAAAGGTTTTTTTATAAAAATAATCGCATTTAAGGACACTTAAGACCGGATGGAGATGCACCTGTCATAGCGGGACTTTTGATGGGATATGCTGGTGTTACTACATGTGAGTACAATTTGAACTTTACTTTGGTAGCATATAATTTAATCAAGTGGACGCAAAAGCTGTAAATGAATTGGTTTTCTATATAAGAGTTAACCTTAACAATAATAGAATCTAAGAGAGTAGGTTTCCATAAACACACGAGAAATTTTCAGCGTTTGAAAGCGTTAAATGATAAATCAATTTATAATTGTTTTGCGGTTTTTCCTGTAGTTGGTTTAATGTTGAATATAATATTTTGGGGATTTTTGTTTTTTTATTGTGCGTTTTTAATGTTATTTTGATAGGGAAAAATCTGTAGTTTATTGACTGTATATGCACCTACGTTTTGATCGCCACTTGTAAATATGCCTGTCTTAAGTCAATAATCTAATGAATTAAAGGTCGCTGTCTCTTTTCATTTATAATAACTATTTACACATTGCTGTCAGTTTTACATCATAAAACTACTACATCGAGGCTACAATTGAATGCGATAATCTTTTCAGTTTTATAAATTTGATATGCTTTTTTTTTTTATAGTTTTTAGTTTTAATATGATCATATGATGCACCAAAGTGTTATAAGTCAGTCCTGAATGCATGAAACGCAGTGGCCTACGGCTACGGTCTTTTTTTTTTAACATTTTAACTCATTAATAACCCGCGCAAGTGCAGGCTAAATGATATATATTTTAGTACTTTTTTTTTCAGTAATTGTGTACATACTGTGTGATATTGTCGCTTATGTATTACTAGTATACTACCTTTTTTTCGACCAGCATGTTTATCGATATAGTTATACAAACCACCAAATTACTTGGTATATGTTCGACGGATGTGTTCAAATTGTCGTAACTGCAATCCCGTCCCCTTTTCCCCGAATGTGACTTACCGAATTAAACTTATCACCGGGTCTGTACTAATATGAGAAACACCACGAGTGCCACATTTTGAGCAGGATCTGCTTAACTTCTCGGAGCACCTGAGATCACGTCCAGTTTTTGGCGTGGTTCGTGTTGCTCAGTCTTTGGTTTTCTTTGTTGTGTTTGTTGTACTGTTGTTTGTCATTTTAGCCATGGCGTTGTCAGTTTATTTTCGATTTATGAGTTTGAATGTCCATTTGGTATCCTTCGCCTCTCTTTTGCCCATTTCATACAATATTATCTTCCAAGTAATCTAATAATTATATCTCCGTGTCCCGTGGTTTTCTTAGCGTTTATATTATTCCTTTGTTGTGTAGTGTCAAGGTCGACATTTTATGACAGTATTTGTAAGATTTTATTTCTGTATGATGTTCTAAATGAACTCATCATACCTAGCTTAAAATTTTGTAAGCCAGAATTTCTTTTCATCAACTAAAGACACTGTTTTATCGGATGAAAGTACCACGTATTAAAAACTCACTATAGAGGTTTTCCCATAGAAGATGAAAAAATAATCATACTAAGTATTTTATATTTGTGAGGCGTCAAAGAATAAAGATAACTGTAATATTTGGAGAATTTAGCATTCAGCAGAACGCACAAAAAGCAAATGCACTAAACGCAAATGAAATTTATGTCGGTAATAGGAGGTCCCAAATATGATAAAAAGCTATACAATCTAAACTTCAACTCTTTCAGTTAAAGCCATCCAAATTTCCTGAAAAATCAGCATTAATATTATCTATGTTGAAATACATTTTTTATCCTTTATAGTTATTTTTGATGATTTTAATGTGTAAAAGGCAAGGGTTTTGGAAATTATTTTTTTATCATGAAAGTGAATCGACTTGAATTGATTTGATGAACATTAATATTTACTCACAGGCTTATTAGGCTGCTTTGAAGATATTGTGTTACAGGCACACATGATTGTTTTCACCAATGGATCGTCAGAACAATGTAAACTTGCAATAGAAAATGGAGAAAATTTTATTTTTGATTTGAGTAAATCTCGAGTAAGTATTGTTGGAAGATTTATGTCAGTAAATAGTTATTCTTATTTCAAGAAAACTTACACTATCAAATTAAGTTAATTTTGATATATTAGATCGTCATACCGAAAATATTTGTTAAACTTCAATTTTCTATTTTAGCAAAAATATGATGTTCTTTTATACATTATCCATTGTTCAACCTCATTATAAAGAAGCTAGATTTTTTTTGCTGTTGTTTGTTCTTGTATTGGTGAAATAAAAACATTCTTGAATTTATCTTGGTTTATTTTTTCGAAGAAGTTGAAATGTCTGGAATATTTATTAATTTTTAGGTACCATCAGACATTAACGGTGTTATTGACAAGATAACTGCTACCACTACAAAGATTTTTTATGTACCTATTGGCGGAAGTCAACACAACAACGTAAGCTTATTCGTTTTCGTAAACATAATGAATTATTAGGTTCTCATTCAATACTTTGTCATATTTTAGAAAATGTTTCTGATTTATTCAGTATTTCTCATTGGCAGAATGCTACATAAAGTCTATCCGATGTCTTGAGGGTACTGAAAATTTATTAATGAAAATTTATATTATCACTTAACATATTTGCAATCTTATTTTTTTATTTATACGGATCAACCTTTAGGAATTTTGTAATGTTTTAATAACCCTTGTTATATAAAAAGCCTTAATTCTCCATTTCTCTCAACGAGAGTAGCTAAAGCCATTAACACTTTAATTATGTCAACCACTTTCAATATAACTGCATAATTTTAATGTAAGACAGAGGTCAAAATATTTTCTCATCTTCTTATGAAAATTTCGCTATAAATGTAGATTTTTTAAGAAAATTTCAATTTTCTTATGTTTGTGAAATTAAAAAAAAATCGTATAGGTTCAAAACTTGTATGAAATTATTCAAAGGTCAATGCACAATTGCATAAATAATCATTTAGTAGTCTTTTTTTTGTCATAAATTACTTTGATATTCTAACTGAAAAATCGTTCTGAATTAATAATTAAAACTAGAAGCTGAAACTACATAACTTGAAAAATTACATTACTTTGGCGTTTTTGTTAGATTAACTTTTGTTTGTTTGAATTTTAAGTCAGTTGTGTTGTATATCTGTGATGTATGTTTAAACAGTTTTGGCTGCTTGTCCAATTATTGTCACATTCACCAGTTATGTCTGTTTGGGTTGCTCCCTCAATTTTTTTCTCAATAAAACGAAACTATAAACAACCGGGTGCGGGATTTTCTCGCTGTGTTGAAGACCCATAGGTGGCCTTCTGCTGTTTATTGCTCTTTGGTCGGGCTGTTGTTTCTTTGACACATTCCCCATTTTTATTCTCAATTTTATGGCTGTTGTCTTTTTGACACATTCCCCATTTTTATTCTCAATTTTATGTCATACAAGTGGGAGGATTAGATAGCTATAAAATCATGGTTTAACTCACCATTTTCTTCAAAAAATACCTGTAACAAGTCAGGAATATGGCAGTTATTTTTAACTTGATCCGTTGATTGACAGCGATTGATTTTGTAATTTTTATGGACTTCTCCTTTTTTAATTTGCCTTGGAGTTCGTTATTTTTGTTATATATTTTTGCAACACTTTTTGAAAAGGAAAGAAAATCGGTAAGAAATGTTTTCCTCAACTTGGATTTTTGTCCATTGTCCCAGGTATTAGCTTCATTATTTTCGTAAGTTTTTTAAACTTAAAGAATGCAAGATTTTAATTGCACTTCACGTAAGTTTAGTTACATTGCATGGAAAAATTTTACAGCAAAAGATAAACACTTTCTTATCTAAAAATAAATGATGACAAAAAGCAACCTGGATTGCGAAAAAAGTATCATTTATTAAAAAAATTGCACGTTTGATCAGAATGACTCGAGTTATGGTATGAATAGTTTTATTTCAATGTCTTTATTGTGAATTGTTTGTATTGTTCTTTGTTGTGAAATGTAAACAACATTTTCAAATGTACCATACCTTCGTGATAAATTGAAAAAGAAGGAAAATGTCATTTTACCTCATGCATTATGTGTTTGTTTTTACTATTACTTACTTAGAATTTATTGGAACTATGTACGTAATTTGAAATTCTGAAAATAACTGTGCGAGTCCGTATGTTGAATGTAAAATAAAAATGTAATATGAAAGTATTTATTTAAGTTTGGACTGTTGATGTCGTTGTAACATACTAATAATGGAATATTCGTATTTGGTTAAAGATTATAATTTGAACTCTATAACTGGTTAAATTTAGCTGGATTTTGACTTATCAAATGATTTCTTTTACTGAAAAGTGTTATATAATGAAAATAATTGATATTTGTGTATGAATTTGGCCTTTTGCTATTGTTTTCTATCATGCAGCTTAAGTTAAACTGTCAGCTGTTATTAAGATAAGTATCGATGTTGAATAGGGTGATACAATGAAATTATGCATACTTGTTATATATATATGTCTAATATTGTTTAAAGATATTTGGACTGAACTAAATAATTATGTCAATAACTAAGTGTTATTTCAGACTTTGGAACAAGCTGTGAGGAAGACTAATGGAAAAATAATACACGCTAATGAAATGCACCGTTTGATCAGAATGACTCGAGTTATGGTATGAATAGTTTTATTTCAATGTCTTTATTGTGAATTGTTTGTATTTTTCTTTGTTCTGACATTGATACCATTCAGCTTACACAGTTTATGCTAACTGAATTTCCGACATTTGTAAAATATATATCAAAGGATATGTCTTTATGGGAAATTACAATTTATGACGAATACACATTGTCCATGCAGAATAAAGTTTATGCGATCATTAATAAAATCAAATTATTTGTTAAAAATGATAATTCAGACATCAGAATTTTTCGGTTTAAAGAATTTGATACTGGGTTCCCCATGCTACATATAAAGAACCTTTAGTATTTTTATTTTGTTTTACTAAGTTTAGTGAGTATTTGTATTTGGCAGCAGTTAGCTATTTTGTATATTCGAGTAAGAACCAATGGCTGATGACTTCAAACAACTTGCAATGCAAAATAGATTTTACATTACAGTTATTGGCAATACAGATAGCTTCTGATATACGGTATTCGGAGAATCAAAGCAGAGACGTTATAAGGAGGAAAATATTAAACCACACTAGCCTTGATGATAAACATGTAAGATATTCAAATATGTTTGTCCCGAAGAGTCTGCAAGAATTATATTTGCCAGTAATAAATTTATTACCAATACAATCAGGTGAAATTGAATTACTTGAACATTGTGTGATTTTTATTATAATCAGATAAGAATATGTTTTCTCTTTGTCGATGAGTAAATAGCTTCAGCACTTTTATACTCAAAGAACTCAAGATTTTAGCAAACTTCATTAAACATTACTCTCTGGACAGAAAGTTTTTATGGCAAAAAATGAATACTTTCTTTTACCAAATATAAATCAAGAAACGATGAAAGCAGATTAGCCTAAAAATCATATGCATGATTAATAAATTTTTATTTATTTCTTGATTTATATTATTATTGTTACATTCTTCCTTAAAACTCACATTTGGCTTTTGTTTTTATGACATTATAACTTTCATTTGCCTATTTCATTGTTTCTAGTATGTGATTTCATTGAATATTCTCGTTTTTCTTGTGCTAATTTGTCTTATCACTCATTCCGTCAAATGTTTTGGGATTTGACGAGTATATATCAATTTGAATACATTGTCTTTGTGAAAGTAGAACTGTTCTGTATCTCCTTATGACAAGAGATATATCATATTGACATAAGTAACATAATTCTGATCAATTTGATTATCAGATGACTTCATTCGAATTACGAACCACATCACGCATATCAAGATATTAACATTTTTTTCTTATTCATTATTCATAATATTCATAGTATAACAATAAGAACTGCACCACATGGCAAAGTGTTCTGCCAAGCTTTATTTGTTCAATCAAGTGATTTTTGTTCAACTGAAAACAGAATTTTCAACTTCGTCATGAATTCGAATTTAACCACTCTGCAGCTGACGAAATGTTATTTGCCGAAAAAAAATTGTTTCACATGATTTTTATTTTAGATATGATTTTCTTGATTTTAAACTTTATTAACTAGATTTGAACCAAGAATTCAAAGCTACACACATAATGTTTCTGGTTGTTTATTCTTAAATGTTCGAATTTCAAAATTCTAGACTTTGGGAATCTCCTTTAGGAAATCACTGCAAAGTATATTTTATATGTTCATTTTCAAAACTAATGATGCTGATTTTACGTTTTCAGGAATTTTTATATTTTGTTATTCTTATGATTCTTAAAAAGCACCGCCTTAGACTTTCAGAACCTCTAGTTTTTTCCCAAGAAATCACAGTATTTTTTTTGGATCTATTTTGATTTTACTTGATTTGCAACTTGAGATAAATTGACTGCAAGCCCATTTTCTAGTTTCTGCTCATGTATCTTTTATATTTTGACCCAAGATACTGACGGCATTATAATTGTATAAATGATCCAAATGCCTCTGAATGTGTACTATAGAGTTCATTGGACTACAATGAACCAATTGTCTTAAGTGCTCCAAATCCTGAAGTTTACAAGCCAACTCGTGTCGGCGAATGGGAAATTTATTGTATACAGTACCAAGAAATTGAAAAATAACACTAATATAATTTCTAGCTTCCGACGCGCTTTTCAGGATTTTCCTCCATCAGAAACAACCAAACACTTGAAAGTCAATGATGTGTAAGACCCGAAAACGTTAGAAGCTAGGTGTCAATAAATGGACCTAAAAGGAATAGCCGAATTCATCAAAGAAAAAAAATATTAATCATGTCAGTACAGTTTCAGAAAGATTATAACGAAATACTTGTTAAAATTATTTTAGGAGGACTGTCTAGATATGGTACAAGACTTTACCAATCCTTTAAAGTTTGATAATAGGCGCGGTCTATATCTAGAATTAAGTGGCACCACCCTCACATTAGGAGATAGAGTAAGACGAGGACCAGATTGGACTTACGATGATCAAGATTCAGGTCTTCCAGGAACTGTTGTTGGTCAGGATCGAGAGGGTAGACATTATTAAATAGAGATTGAATGACACATACACATTCAACGCCAATAATTTATCAAAACATATTTTTGGTCCGATTTCTAAAAGAATTTAATAGAAGTTTTACCTCAGTTAGCGTCCGTTGACCGACGTCTATTAACATTTTATAAGTTTCAAAGAAAAAATATATTGTAAGCATTTAATGAAACCACTCATATAGGTCTGTTTGGACTATAAACATGGTTGTCAGAGTAAATATTTTGATTCTGAAAGGATATATTTTAAAATGCTTAAACGAAACTTTCTACAACTGAAAAACGATTTTTTCAAGTTTAGTTTGATTGTTGGTGTTTAACGCCCCTGTCAGCACTCTTGGCTATATCATGACGACAAGTTTTTATTGGTAAAGGAAGTCGGAGTGCCCGGAGAAAACTACTGACCGTCGGAAAGAAAACTGGCAATCATAAACGATTATGTTCGGAGTTCCGCGTGCAGGATTGGAACTCATAACCCCAGTGTTGACAGGCTAGTGATTGCTGTAGACGATCTACTTAGGCCATTCAGTCTCCGAGGCCCCTGCATTGTTGGAAAACTATAGTATTTTAGCATGTTCAATCGTTATATGATATTTTACTTCGTTACGTGTGTTGTCTCAAATCGGTACATAAACAATCTTAATTGAAAGGATTGCTATATGTGAAATTACACCACTAATTCCTGCTTGCTACTGCAAAAACAAGTAAAAAAACTATCGGATCCTGAAGTTCACCCGATTATATGTCATTTTGATGTTTATTTTCACCCTCATTGTGATAAAAAAACAAAAATCGAGAAACAAAGTTACCACAGATATTTTCAAGTGCATTCAATAAAATCAAGTTCATTAAATTGTATTTTCTTGAGCGCCATAATCACATTATTTATTGTTACCAAAAATCTGTTATATAAAAATCTTGCAAGCCCTCGACGCCCTTCCAAATAAAATGTACCTCAACTAAGTTGTCATATTTGATATCAGTGAAATGATTTCAAGTTTATTGTTTATGAATTCCACTAAATGTCTAAAAAAAACTTAAGGTTAAACAAGGTCTATCATGAAAAAAGATAGACGTATATGTTTAAAACCTTCATTTGTATGACTTTTTTATTATATTGAATTGTGCTAAATTTGAAGGCTAAACTCTGACAATTCTCGAAAGTGAGCCCATAGATTTGTTTGTGAAAAAAATTAAGAACCGTTACTTTGAGATAAAATAACATATTATACAGTGAAAAGATATAACACGAAAACAATTGCATATGAAATAAACGGGGATAGAACCTAGAAGAAATGACAATGATAACTATACAAGGATAACTGTAACAATTAAAGACACAAATTCTTTTGGTTCGTATAACGGACGGATGCCGAGGGGAGGTGATCTTTCAAATATCTTTTGGCAAGCAATTAAAATTGCGATAAATCTGGCAATCTGAAGAACATATCAATTATAATATATGTATGCTGTTTATCAAAACAAATTTCGATCTGATTGGGCGAAAACATGATAACTATTGATTCTGATCTCCTCTGAAAGATAAATTATGCATCTTTTCCAACTTTACAGGAATGGTGATTTCAAGACCTTCTGCAAAGTCTAAAACTTTTAATGATGCCTACCCATAGGTTCTGATTGATATAATGGCGATTCAATAAGTCTAGAATATTCCTGAAATTGTTTTAATAGATGATTCAAACTGTATATGTTACACATATGATATTGAAATTTACCGTTCACAATGAAATAATTTTCTAACAAAAATTAAATGTAATTTTCTCAATCATAGGTTGCAACCTATTCCGGCAATGCTGACCCTAGATGGGTTTTGTAGTTCTTTACATTCCTGCGGGTTTTTATGCTCTGGACATTTTATAACTTGGGATTTTGAACATGTTCGTTTTCAGCATAATTCGTGAAGGTTATTTCAGAGAGAAAAAAATGTTTCAAACGCAAATGAATCAATATCGTACGGTTTGTTAAGCTTTTAGTAATATCATTTTGTAAAGAACAAATAATGCCATTTTGTTTATACTTTTTATGTTATCAAAATACCACTTCAGATTCTATTCAATTTTTCAACAAATAAGCAAAACATCTTACTATTCAAATAGTAATGTCATATGTTTAGTATCTCCTAAACTGCAGAAAAATTTTTAAGGCAATCACTTTTTAATATAGGGTGGATTGTAGTAGAATGGGACAATGGATTAATCTATCCCTATCCGCATAATGAACAGATGGATATACTTCAAATAAGAAAAGTCAATGAACCTAGAGTATTGGTCGATGAGCTGATAGCAGTTGGTTGTAGAGTTGTCAGAGGTATATGAAATAATTTATGGTATTAAAGTTCAAATTTCTATGGCTTTAACATTTGTTTTTTTAAGAAACCACTACTTATTGAAACAAGAATCTAAATATTTGTTCTCATTGTCATGGCTTAATTTAATGTCATCCTTTTGGGACTTTTTAAAAAATAAATTGCAAAACTGTTCGTGATAAAGAAAAAGTTGTTTATGTGAAATGAAAATGCTGTTATATAAGTACTCAATAATTGAGTTAATTTATAGGCCAGGATTGGAAATATGGAGATCATGACGGGGGTATAGGAACGGAAGGAACGATATTGGGTGAAAAACAAGGAGGAAAAGTAGTGGTGAGATTTGTCCATTGATAATAATAAGTAATGATAAAACACGTATGTATGCACATCTTTTTTCTATTTAGAAGCACATTTAAGATTACTGAACACTTGAATACATGTCTACAGTTCAAAGTAAGGAGAAGAAATGAATGAAAATATTTAACTGGTTCTATAATTTGACCATACGAAGGAGTTAGGATCAACAGCTTGTAGATAAAAAAAATGAAAATAACACTTTATAAATTTCATGCGTCCAAGGCGCTTTTTTGGATTGATCATCATCCGGAACGTTAAAAGCCGAATATTTAAAAGCCAAGGATGTACAAGACGCGAAACAGTTGAAGAGCTATATGACTAAAAAGAACCATACAATTATAGCCTTATCAATCTAAGGTGAATATCGTCTGAGGTAGATAAAACCTTAGTTTCTTAATAATATCTTAATTCATTAACAGACAATTTAAGAAAGGTATGTTATTAATCATGTCAGTATCGAAGTACTGACTACTGAACTGATGATACCCTCGGAGTCTGATATTCCACCAGCAGCGGTGACATTTTTAATAACATCAACGGTACAGATTATACTGCACCAGTTGCGCACTTTGACAATAAATGTCTCTTGAGTGATGCTTGAGGCCGAAATATTTTTAAATCCAAACCTAGAATTAGAAATAACGACAAGCTTAAGGTAACATTTAAAAAGTACAATTTAAATTATCCAAAAATTAGAATAATGACAACATTCGAAAAACATTGACCTAGCGGTAAGAAAATGTCTGTTTAACAATAAAGATTTAGAAATCACTTTCAGCGACAGCAATTATAATGATCAGATTCTTCTGTTGACGATTGAAGTAACATTAGACCAAACTTCTAAATTCTTTCTCACACTCAAAATATAAAAAAATGATACTCATTAAACAAATTGTATCAATGCAAAGATAGGGTTCATATATACTATATTTCAAATTTGTATTATATCTTAAATGGAAAATGGTACACGCTCAACATATCAAATGTTGGAACAACTGAACAAATGGCCGTTAGTTTCTCACTTTGTATGGGCAGTTCCCAAAAGAAAATGTTGAAATAAAAATCTTGTATGAGGCCTAACATACTAAGTATATGAGCACCTGAGATCACCCTTAGTTTTGTTTTAAAGGGATGATGTCTTAGAGATAGACAAGAGTCATTACCAATCCGATATTTCGTGAGGTGGAACCACTTAATATAACGTATCTACGTTTTTAATATGAGAAACACGACGGGTGTCACATATGGAGCAGACTCTGCTTACCCTTCTGGGTCACCTGATATCACTCACGGTTTTTGGTGGGGTTTGTGTTCTTCGGTCTTTATTTTTTTTTATGTTAATTTTTTGCACTGGTTTTTGTTTTTTTTTGTCGTCCAAAATTGTTTCCATGGCATTGTCAGTTTGCTTTCGATTTAAGCGTTTGAATGCACAGCAAGATAAAACCCAGTAATTATATATATTAATAAATTATCAAGATTTATTCAATAATTATTTTTCAAAGAAATATTAACACATGAATACAAGGAAGACCTTAACAATGCAATAACAAAATACACATAAGGGTTACATTGACAATTATATGGGATAATACACGAAATATTTTTTTTTCGAACCAGAAACAAAAACCAAAATGGAAAAAAAAATATGAGCGGTGAAGTAAATATTCAATTTTAAAATATCCGTGAATATCTTAATGTAATGTATCTCACTTAATATCGAATGGATGTTTTTAAAAGCTGAGAATGTTGATACAAATTGATTGGTACTGTTAGCTCACACGCTTAATAAAACATTTGATTGGTAAAAGACAGTCTTGTTAATAAGAGAAAACAAAATGATTTTCAGGTAAGATGGGACAGAAAACATATAGGTATCTATAAAATGGGACAAAATGGACATTTTGAAGTGAAGTTAAGGTAAGTATAAAGTGTGATACACACTACCTACTAACCATATAGAGCTATATTAGCTATCAGAATATTCAGAGTGTTTTATAATAATTCAATAATCAAGTCGTCTGATTATTTACAAATAGTTTTATTTACTGATTTGTCCATAATTTTCTGGCACCATTACAAATAAAGTAAATGAAATAAATAGAGAGAAAAAGAAGAAAATGCGTTTTTCTCACTATAAAAGATTGAGCACCACCGTTAGCTTGGATATCTGAATTCAATAAGTTGCTCAAGAAAAACTTCAAATTGTAACGAATAAATCAGTTACTTCGATTTGTAGTAACAGGTTTACATATTAATTATTTTGCGTAAAATATTTGAATTTGCATCTACATGCTTAGTATGCAGTTAACGGTTTTTTTGTCCATGATTATTTCATATTATTACAGTGATAATTATTCAAACAACGATCATAAAATAGGGTGCAAGGAAACAGATAGGTATGGTCATATAGGACAAAGGTTAAGAAAATCAACAATCGAAAAAAATGCTCCATATACAATGAAACCAGACGAATGCAATCCAGAAGATTATGTTATTCCTTTATATTCCGAAACATCAGGTGAGCCAATAACTAATGAGAAAAATCAAAACTAGCTTCGTTTTGAAAGTGAAAACCTACCAAAAATTGCTAATTTTGATTTAAGGTCAAGGAACTAATGGGCTATGTCACAGATTTTAGTGATATTTTGCATACAACTTTGGCTCGTTAATTTATTATTGAAAATTGAAAAAAATAATGCATCTATCTTTTTTATTCTCTAAAATATTACTGACTATAAAAATAAGAAGATGTGGTATGATTGCAAATGAGACAACTCTCCATCAGAGACCAAATGAAATAGAAGTTTACAGCTATAGGTCACCGTAAGGACCTGCAACAATGAGCAAAACTCATACCACATAGTTATAAAATGACAAATGTAAAACAATTCAAACGAGAAAAACTAACTGCCTGATATATGTACAAAACAATGAACGAAAACCAATATGATATAGAGCAACAAACTGAATTACAGGCTTCTGACTTGGGACAGGCACATACAGAATGTGGCGGGGTCAAACTAGTTTGTTGGCGCCAAATCCTTCCCCTAACCTAAAACAACGGTGGAAATTTTTGAAAATAGGTTAACATTGTATAATAATCACTTAAAATCAACGAAACACGTTCTTAAATTAGTCTTACAATCATCAAATTTCAAATTTCAAATCCATAGATTTTTCAAAAAAAAAGTTTGCTATTGATGCATGAATTTCCGATTAAATGATATAAAACAATCATTTGGTCACTGACTTCGTTTTTGGTGTATTAACCTATCTGCTATCGGGTTTGTAGTGAAAAACGTAAATATATATCGAATGTTCTTGCATTTATATGTACTTTATTCCTGTCACGTAATGTTGTCATTTTAGCGGTATTTTTAACATTGCTATATAAGCATGAGGTTTGGCTAGCCATAAAACCAGGTTCAACCCACCATTGTTTCTTAAAATGTCCTGTACCAAGTCAGGAATATGGCAATTGTTATCACATAGTCCGTTTTTTATGTATGTTGGCGTTTGTTTTTGTAGCAGTTCAGTGTTTCTGTTGTTCCGTTTTGTTTCCTCATATAGTTGATGTGTTTCCCTCAGTTTTGGTTTGTGATCCAGATATGTTTCAGTTAAATCGATTTATGACTATTGAACAGCGGTATACTATAATTGCCTTTATTTACGGCCTACAACGGGATGACGTTACGCTTACTTTGACGTTTTGTGGTATTTTTTCAACTAGAACACTACTTTGAATAAATATACAATAAAAACGAAGTCGATGACCCTGTTATTATTTAACATCATTAACACGGAAATATACAACAACATATAGTTTTTTTTAAGTGAATCTATGAATTTGAAATTTGAGATTTTGTTCAATTTTTAATAATAGTTTAACGAGTAAAAATTTTACCAAAATCTGTGACATGGCCCATTTACTGTAACTTGACCTTAAACGAAACATAGACAATCAAAGCACAAATCTAAAAAGGCTGCTTGAGATAACTAACAAAAAAAATATTACTAATATATGTACTTACAATTTGTTTAAATTTAGTGCTTCTATGATAAACTTATTTAAAAAATGAAAACAACACGTTATTAATTTCATGCGTCTGAAGCACTTTTTCTGGATTTCCCTTTATCAGAAATGCTCAAAGCCGAATATTTGAAAGCCGAGGATGTATAAGAACCGAAACAGTTGAAGAGCTTTTTAACCAAAAAAAGGACCAAAAAAATAGCCAAATCCATCTAAGGTCAACTTTGCCTGAGGGAGTTGAAACCTTTAACTAAACCAACACTTGTAAATAAACGGTTATTTGATCAAAATCCATCTCATTTGAACACAAAATTATCTTTCCCATTCTTTTTAAAATTCTCATTTTTTATTTGTTTGCGCCTTAGGGATCCTCATACCATTCATATTTAAAAACAATAGATAAAAGATTCAATATCAAGGTTACAGGGTGATAAAACTACCCTATTTTATTTACATTGCAAAAATCATTTTTAGTTTGTCAAATTTATCTTAACTCTCCTGGCAAGAAATTCTAAAAATGTTTGCATATGATACTATTTTCTGAGGTCTGGTAAGCTGTTCTCAAAGAAATTCTTTTTGTTTAATATGAACAAAAGTGCTTTTTGATAAAGATATTTGCTTCGAAATTACTCTTCTTTTTTTTTACGCCATAGGATAAAAGAAGCGTACTAAAAAAATGATAGTATTAAGATATCAATATAGATTTCATGGTCATACATGCTATGCTCTATGCTCTTCAACTTCGTATTTTATTTGGCCTCTTTCTCTATTTTGATTCGATTGCCACCGATGAGTCTTTTGTAGACGAAACACGCGTCCGGCGTATAAACTTTTAATCCTGGCATCTGTGTTGAGTTCATGACGAACATTGAATCTGTACATGGAGGTCAGGTACTGACACATGGATGATCCTAGCCTGATTCCTGGCTCACAGAGCAAGTAGAGTCAGGCGGAATACAACGACGGGTATTGGTTTATTGGATACTAGAATGATGCATCGTGGGATAGCATCATTTCATAACCTATGCAGAAAATATTTAGATTTATTGAAAATTTATTTTTAAATTGATAGAATATGCAAATTCAAGTAAAAATATAGCAATAATAATCCAAAAATTACTATTTACATCGTCAGTTACCAGTTAATTAACGTTTCGATCGATATATTCAAGGTCAGACAATAGCACACCTTCATTTTCCAATGATATTAACTTATTATTCGTGAAATGCACATTCAGTATAACAAATAAAGTATCATATGATGGGTTTTTTTTTACAGTCAGTGCCATTTGGGAGCAACAGAAGGGTTCACAATGGACGAAATATCCATCCGAAATAAATGTAAAGATTGAAAAAGCATATCAGAGGAAGAAAACAGGAAAAATTATTATCGAAATGGACCGTACAACGTAATTAATTTCTTCATTTTGTTAAACATATTATCTCGTCAAAAAAGGAGGAAAGCCTGACATGAAATAAACACTAAAAATGTTTGATCACCTTAATAAGATATTTGAATGAATTCAATTTCATACAAAACTAAAACTCATGACACGTGTTTGTTGAATACATTTTCATCAAGAACGCTAGAAACAAATAGTTGGGGAGTGGAAACATTTTCAAAAGCAAAGCACAGAAATTTGTACTTGTCAGTGCGACATTGTTAGAATAAAGATATGGGTACAAATAGCAGATTACGTTGTAAACCATTATAGATAAAGCAACTCGACCTCATATAAGCTGGTTATATTTCCTCTGAATGTAAAAGTTTGTAAATATAATAATACTTATGATTTCTAATATGACTTTGAATTATGAAAGATATTAATCACGTGTGAAATGTAGTGCAAAAAGAAAACCTGTTGTAATTCCTGCCATTGAACTGAGTTGAAGGGCAGAAACAAAGAGGTTGTCAGGAAATCTTTCCCATTGCCTTTTAATACTTTCTTTTAAAACAAAATCAAAGACCGTCACGAAAAATACGTCCGGTATCATCTATATCACGGAACGTGAATTAAAAGGCTAACTGAAGCTCTGAAGCTGATGTATATTCTTCCTATGAAGCTTCTGCTTGAAGTCTGTCTCATATGAAAAAAGGAACAAGTAGGAAAAACGAAGAGCACATATGGTTATAATTGGAATGCCAATTGTCTTTTAATAAAAATAGTTCTTCAAAACGAATCAATTATGTCGACAGTAGAAAAAGGCATCTGAATGATACAAGTTTAAGAAAACCTTTTTTGCATAAATCATAGTTTTCGTTTTACTAAATTTGATTTGTTCCTTTTTTAAACAGGTTTCTATCTATACTGGCTATTCTGTTTTATGAAACAAAGTTGCGCATTCAATCTGTGTGTAAGTCTAGAATTGCGAATAACTTGTAAAGGATAGAAAAAGTAAATGTTTTATACAATTGCATGATTATTGATTGATGATCAAATACATGTTGATATTTGGAAGGAGGTTTAGTGGAGCATTTGTCAGACTCAATAATATGACATTGTTTTTAAGAACACTTATGTAATTTGGGTATCAAGTGTACTATAATCTATGTCTATATATGCGTTTTTATTCAATTCTGCAAAAACTTTGAAGAAGATATCATATGGTCTAAGCCATTTAAGTTTTGATAATGAAGCAATAAGAGGTGTAAACATAAGCGAACATAGAGGTCAAGAAGTTAATGAATGGATTTCTGAAAAGCAAAGTTATTACAATTTTACAAATTTCGTTGAGTAGTATACCACATTCCACAATATGACGTTTATTAATCTTAGTTCGTTCGATATGTCACAGAATGATCGCATTATTGGAATACAGGTAAATAGTGTATACTCATAATTCAAATGCCGATCCAAAAAACACCGTTTTTATTGCATTCATTTGGACCTTTTGATTCAAAGTTTTATATCCTAATTTCTGTTGACTGTTTACCCTGAATAAACAACTTTTTTTGAAGATGCATCTTAATTTATGTGACCGAAAAACAGGAAACAAATCGTTAAAGACATTGTAATGATTTTATACTTAATTCCAGATATATAATACATTTTTCGAGAATGGTACAAGAGAACGCGCAGAATAAAACGGAAATGGCAGTTAGAAGGAAAGGTGGGTTGATTATTTGAATAATTAAGTCTTAGCCTCATAATGGTGACTTGTTATACAATGTCATACTTGTAAGGAGATAGATATTTGACTTTAAACGTTCACATCAAATAGTCAACAATTAATAGCATATGTTTACCATCAATAAATCGATCACCTTTTTGTGTTCAATTGACGGCAAAAGTGAACAAAAACGTGAAAGCTGATATCAACATTTAATTCCAAAGTGAATAAAAAGATGCATAAAAAACGTTAAACACTGACTGGTTTATCAAACGTTATATGTAGAGTTCACTTTAATGTCAGAGTAGTCAGTCATTGTCTGTTTTCTTGATCTGTGGAACAATGGATGTACTTGGGTCAGGTTTAGGAATTTGTGTCAGATGTTTGGACTCCTTGGTTTTTTTCCTACGATACAGGGTAAAATATTTTGCCCCATAACACCCATTTTTCTTTTCATATTAGACTTCAATAGCTCATTAAAGGCTATTTACCAAAATTTAAGCAGATTCTAAATTTCTTTTCTTTCTATTTAAAACCCTAATAATACCAATGCAAATACAAGACAAAAATCTAAGTCAGCCTTTTCCCGCCATTTAAAAGAAATTAAATATCTCAAAAAGGAGCTCCATAACCTATCGATATTTTTAGCGTTATGCTCTTCTGACTTAAAGTATCAATTTTAAATTTAGATTTTTTAATTTCACCTAAGTACATCCTTAAGATGGCAAAATCAAAATCAAATTGAGAACAAAGTAAATCTTCTAATGATATCGGTATAATCAATGACTAACGCACACAGTAATCTGCGTCTAGACAATTTTTTTCATTCTAAGGTTAAGTAATCAATAGCAACAAAAAAGCAATAAAAACAATAACTAAACAAAGATGAAGCATAAATGAAGACCGTATAGATTCAAAATTTCTTAGAACTCTTACATTTTAACGAGGTTAAGTTCTTTTCAAACCGTAACATTTGAATTCACTAATTAACAACAATTTTATAATAGACCTATATGTCACAATCGACTCACTTATTTACCAAAAAGATTTTTTTTCTTCCGCTTCTAATGTGTCGATGCAGTAGAGTGTATAGATACATATGAGTTGCATGGTCTTTTTTTTTTTATTTTAGAACTAAAAAGGGAAGCTCTTGAAAAACCAATCTTCACGTTAATTCTACTAAATCATATTTCATTTCAGATTTCAAATGAAATTGTTTATATCGGACGCACTTTTTTTATATTGTCTGGTTAAACTTTAATTTCGACGTTAAATGTATATTTGCATATTTTGATATGTTGTGTCCATTGATTATTTTATATTCATTATTGTTGTTTAAACCTACTTTTGTCAGGCAATTCCTGACTGAATTTACAGAGGACTTTTTTGTTTGATTTCTGTAAATATGAATTGCAACTCTGCATATATTTTCAAAACATGTAGCAGAAATTAGTATAAACGAGTAACGCAAAATTTTGTCGCATTGGGCGTCTCGTTTGTTTAATGCACGAGTACCTCGGTATCGCGCTTGTTCGTAGAAGACATTGCAGCAGCTGTCAAGATAAAAAACGGGAATACATGCATTTACATTGTATACCCAAATTTAGTACTATTTCATTTGATTTTCTCACGAACTCTTAAACACTTTCTCTTTTATCTATTCTATTCTATTTTTATTTTAGAAATTTACATGTGATAATATAAACGTCACAAAAAATACGTCACTTTTTGTGGCGTTGATACATTCGTGTGACGCACAGTTTATAATTCGTTTGTGGTGTCCTGGTGGGCTGTCGTAGATTCATGGGAGGTGTCCGTTGTTATTCTGTGGTTTACATGTTGTAATGTACTATTATATTATTTATTTATGTGTTTCTCTGTCCTGAGTGTTCTTGCGTTTATTTGTACTGTATTCCTGTCACGTAATGTTGATTTTTTACCGGTATTTTAACATTGTCATATAAGTGGGAGGTTTGGCTAGCCATAAAACCAGGTTCAAAAATTTTTTTTTCTTAAAATGTCTTGTACCAAGTCAGGAATATGGCAGTCCGTTTCTATGTTTGTTGGCGTTTGTTTTTATTGCAGTTCAGAATTTCTGTTGTTCCATTGTTTTCCTCTTATAAATGATGTGTTTCCCTCGGTTTTGGTTTGTGACCCGGATTTGTTTTCGCTTAATCGATTTATGACTATTGGACAGGGTATACTACTGTTGCCTTTATTTATCCCAATAGAACATAACACTCAGGAAAGGAAATTATTTATGATATGTCACGTGGTTAGCTTGAGAATACAATACTGACTTATATTCCGAGTTATTGTCTTCTTCCTCTTAGACATTGTTACATTTGGTACCTTTCCTATTGCCTTCTTCTAATTCTAGTGTTTTTACTTTCAGATTGATGCCTTTTTTCAACGGTGACAATAAATTACTTTCTATATAGAAAAGATACATTGAAGAACAGCAGTGGAATAACATAGTTTTAAACTACAATTGTATTTCAGATTAAAAAAATCCCTCTCTATTATGTTGGTATCGAAGGGAATTAAGCATTTCATCAATGAGTTTTCTATTTGAGTTTCTTATTAAATTTATGACAATAAGTCTTCTAACAACAATGTTGCTTTCCTTCTTATGACATTAATATTTAATAATTCAAATAAAAGTAGGGAAATGGGATTTCTTGGCAAACTCCAAGCCCTTCATGGTCTCATTTAATATTTCAATGAGCAACAAACCTGAGGACTTACCTTTTATATATTGGATGCATAAACTACATTAAGCTACTTACAAACAAAGATACATTGCCGGCTCATCTGCATGTTCCAACAAGAAATTGTTCGTTAGATTAGCATAAACTTTTTCCGCAGTGAAAGAGGGAGTACAGAAATACTATGACACTGTTTACTCGCGTAGTGGGATTTATGTGGATGTTTAAGAAATCAAAAGAACTTCTGGAAAATTGAAAACCTCGGTCATTCTCTAAAATAAATTCTATCAAAACCTTCGATTTTCCACCCTTTACACCACCATACCACAAAAAAAGTTAAAAACCCTTCGTAAAAAAATAATCCACAATGCTTTCCTCCATAAAAATGGTACCATACACTACAAGTACGCTTTAGTTTTGTGATATAATGCGGCATATTTGGTAAAAAATTAGCCCGAAAATAAAACATGCTACATCGAAGAACAAGTGATCAATATGCTAGAGTTTCTCATCGACGACCTACTTGTTGACCTTAGAGGAAGTATTTTCCAGCAGGTTGTCGGCATTCCTAAGGGATCCAACTGTGCACCTTTTGTTATTTTCATATGAGTCAGAGTTTCTTCAGACGCTTGTAAAAAAAAGATAAAAAAAGCTAGATCATTTAATTTTTCTTACAGATATATTGAAGATATTTTTTTCGTTGACAATCCAAACTTTTCTGATTGGGTCCCATTTATATATCCCCCTGCAGTATAGATTACAGAAACCACAGATACAGCTTCCTCTTCCTCATTTTTAGACATTTACGTCGAATATGACAATATTGTCATCTCAGTACCAGCATATATAACACATGAGACGATTTCAATTTTGAGATTATAAATTTTCCTCACCTTAGCAGCAATATTCTAACTTCACCCGCGTATGGAGTATACATTTCTCAACTAATACAGTATTCAAGAGCTTGCAGCTGCTACTCAGACTTTGTGAAACGTCATCGACGCCTGAGCAAAAAATTAATGAGACAGGGTTTTGTCAAAGAACGTCTCGTCTCGACGAGTCACTTTTCTCAAAACGTTCATTGGAAAGTACCGAGACATAATAGATAAATATTCAGCGTCTACTTCACAAATGGTCTTGAGTTAAAGATTCTATGTACTGATCTTGTGTATCTTTTTATTAACTTTACAGTACTCCCTTTATTTGTTTTTGTGCTATTATTTTTCTTTGGTCCTATGACTTTTGACGTGACAAGGTATTTATGCTTCCCGCTATCGTGTGTTTGACTTTTAAGCGTTCCTGGTGTAGGTGGGTCCTGTTGTGCTTTTCGGACGCTAAGAGGTTTTTACAGTATTGTTTCCATTTTCACCCTGATCTTAATATTTTACTTAATTTGTACTTTATAAAGAAAGTTTATATTATATATGATATGTACTATCAACTACAAAAACTTTTTATCGACATCTTTGCCAATATATTATCAACTACGACTTTTTTGTTGGAGTCTTTGTTAGATTTATTTATATGGTTTTTTTTCAATTTTTTATTCAGTTATGTTGTATGTCTGTGAAGTTTGTTTACACAATTTTGGCTGCTGGATCCCAATTATTGTCACATTAACCTACTATGTTTGTTTGGGTTGCTCACCCAATTTTGTCAATATAACGGAACTTTAAACAACTGTCATACAAGTGGGACTTTTTTGTATTCATATGAAGCAGAAGTCATGAAAAAACCTTCTGACAGAAAATGAAATGTTTTAAATTACACGTTCGAATATATTATGGTGTATTGTCACTCAACTACCCACATTATAGCAAGTGCTTGCATACAAGTGGGAGGTTTAGCAAGCTATAAAACCAGGTTTAACCCACCATTTTCTTTGGAAAATGCCTCTACCAAGTCTGGAATATGACAGTTGTTTTCCACTCGTTCCGCTGGTTGATAACGTTTGATTTTGTCAGTTTTTATGAACTTACCTTTTGAAATTACCTTGGAGTTTTTTTATTATACTTTTTTTGTCGATTTTGGTGCTGATTTATTAAGTCAATACATTCAGACTATGTGTCAGGTTTGATCACCATGGACTCAGTTATCGGATAAAAATTGTTTAATCATTGTAAATTAAATTTGAAATAAAATCATTAAAATTAGCACCAACATTTCTATTTTTTCTAAGATTTTTTAGTATACGGACATATATATATTATACTGTCCATTGCTAGTAAACATACACATTCGTTTGAATTGTTTTACATTTGTGGTTTCGATGCCCTCAATAGCTGACTATGCGGTATGGGTTTTGCTCATTGCTGAAGGCCGGGGACCTATATTTTAATTTCAATGTCATTTGGTATCTAGTGGAGAGTTGACTTATTGGCAATTATACCACGTTTTCTTATATTTATACATCTTGGTGCCAACGTTTTAATGATTTAATAGAAAAAGGCAGGAAATACGAGAAACATATTCTATTCAATATGATAAAAAAATTAATATCTTCTTACCAAGTCCATGTGGTCAAGAAGAACAAACATCAACAGTGAAGTATAAGCCCATGGCATTCATCCATCCATCATCAAATATTACAGGAAAAACATTGATAATTAACCTTCAATAATATATAGATATTTAAACAACGTTAATATAGTGTTAATGTTTTGTTACAAGTATATATAATATTAAAATTATCGTAGATTTTTATTCACATTGTAGAAATAAATATAAGTCGAGCTGATAGAAATTTGACAAATAAGTGTTTTACCATAATATATGCAAAGTTACTTCCCCTTTCTAAATTAAAAAAATGTTAAGCGTGCTACGAAATGGCAAATTATTATAATTAAAATGCATATTGTTTACTAGAATCAAGGTAAAATATGCACGAAGCTCGTTTCTAAGTGTTAAAAATATGAAATTCATCATTATATTTTTGCTAAATTAATACTTCAATATTCAAATATATGTATGTTATGTGTTCAAGGATTAGGTTCAATAAAAGCTGCTATATAAAGGGTCAATATGTGTTACTGTTGGAGATCCACCGCCACCCATGTATGTCCTATACATATGAGAGATGCTATATAAGATTGCAGCTTCAAAGTGTTATTGTTAAATGATAGTTCTTCATGTTATGAAATTTCTCTATTGTTTAAAGCTTCAGGTATGATACCATCTCTTTAAACATTTTGAGTTATCTTTCTTTTACCGTTTATAAAATGGGGAGTAAAAGATGCAGAACCAACTTTGGTAACTGGGGAATTAAAACTTAAGTCCAATGGAAATACACGCACGAGACATTTCAAAAGCAGAAAACGAGAGGATTGGAGAAACACTCTGAAGCAAAGATTTATATAACTAAAAATATGGATCATAAAAATGCAAATCAACAAAGTAGATATATGCATTGGTCACTGGGAGGAAATATCAGCACATCCTGCTTTGCGTAGAACATCGGTTGCATTGTCTTGTGGTCAAATCCTCGGTACAATCAAATTCGTGGTAAGACAACAATAAAAAAAATAATTAAAGTTTTCAGTGCAGGACGTTCCTGTGAAGTTATATATCCCAGCAGGCAAAACATCCTTTGTTAAGAATAGTTGTATGGGTGCGCAACATAATTATCATACTAGTCACCCCAACCCGGAGAATATTGAACAAGTTGTCATATTCCACATACAGGTGTGGATGGTATCAGGTTGTTTTTTTTTTAGTCATATGCCTGCAAAAAAACGTAATGTCGGGAGACGTATCTGCAGTTTACCATAAGAATAGAGTGAGTATTTTACATTTTCTTTGCTTTTGAAGATGGCTGGGTTAATGTCAAGCGTTAGTACATGGATATTAACCATTATCTAGACCTACTAGCTATAATAGATAACGTAGGTAATAATGTAAATTCTTATCTATAGTCCATGTTCTGGCATGATTTATCAAGAGACTCATCCAATATGATATTTAAATTATATAGTTCCAGTTGATATTTTGACAACATCGGTCATTGATGGATATCAAAAACTGTTTTGGACAATTGTAGCCGACTTCAATTTCGTGTAAAGTGTAACTTCATTGGAAACCTTTGATTCAATGTTAAAGTCAAGATAGAGAACAAACATGACAAAAAATTCACATTGACAATATAAAAATGTACAGGAAACCTCCTAATTTCTAATAATTAGATATGAGAAGATGTGGTATAAGTGCCAATGAGACAACTCTCCATCCAAGTCACAATTTGTAAAAGTAAACCATTATAGGTCAAAGTACGGCCTTCAACACGGAGCCTTGGCTCACACCGAACAGCAAGATATAAAGGGCCCAGGAAATGACTAATGTAAAACCATTTAAAAACTACTTAATAACTAGACTTTTATGAGTTCCACTGAATTATAAACATAAAAATTTAAATATGCAGCTTTTCTGTGATCTGTAATTAAACACACAAAAGCTGAGCATAGTGGAACTATATAGCATAATCATCGATTAACGTATTTTTTGTATTATATTTAAAGTTTATTTTTATAGATCCCTCATTAATAAGGCATCAAAGAAAAAAAAATACCCTTGAAGACGTTATAATCATTTTGACTAACGAAAACTAGTAATTCAAAAATAAGTAGCAAAAATATATACTTCCCCTTTTTATGCGAAGTTAACATCCTAATTTTTACCCAGTTATTATCTTGAAGAGTTAACAAGTACTCATTTTGTATAATGCATAACTGAATGTACCGAAGCTCATTCATTATAAATAGTGCAATACATATGCTCAAGTGTTAATTATTGAATTAATGGACATTCAATACCATTTCGGCAACGGAGACAGGCAGTGTTTTTTTAAGGATGTAGTATATTTAGAATCTGTGTTTACTTGCAGCTTATGCCAATCCTTAACCTTCACACAAGTACAATCTTCATTTTTCTTTTCTTTGATTGGATAGTGCGTTTTGTCTTTTTGCCATGTGTCAGGTTTCAGTAATTGTTGTTCATCATATGTGAATAGTGTTCTCTAAAATGCTCGTCGTTTGTTCACGACATCACAGAAATACAATTAATTTCACAAGCCAGTGTAAACATCTGAATGTACATACATTGCAAGTATCTGTTACGTTATGTAAGTGAACGTATTATTTAGATAAACTCTGACAATGCAAGGTTATAATTTCCAATGTTAAAGTCAATACTATTGTCTCAAGGATAGTTTATTTAGCATGACAATTCCCTCTTTACAAGTAACAATTGTGATCACTGATAAATCATCAAGGGCGGTAATTCGCATTCTGTAATAACTTACGAACAAGAGAAGGGCGCAAATGTGCCATTGATAAACGAAGTATTCACAATTTTACATGGTTAACTATGGGATCCTTGTAAATGTAAAACTTCGAACTGTCATTTGAGATTTCAAAACATGTTTTTAACCAACTCGGATAATTCAAACCATTTCGTTGGTTGATTATTTCCTCTTATTCATAAATTAACTGTTTACAAAATTTTGAATTATTCGAAAAACGAAGGATTTTCTACACCAGGAATAGGTTACCTTAGCTGTATTTGGCAAAACCATTCGGATTTTTGGGTCCTCAATGCTCTTCAACTTCGTACTTGATTTGGCCTTTGACTTTTTTTTTATATGAGCGTCACTGATTAGTCTTTTGTAGACTTAACGCGTGCCTGGTGTACAAATTTAAAAGCCTGGTTTCTTTGATGAGGTTTTTGTTCTGCTTGCAAAGTACTGAAGTAACCGAAGATCCGCGGAATACAATAAAAAATGATTTAAATCATTCGGGTTAGCTGTCACCAGTCGTCTTTGGATGTGGAAACTGCAGTCATAGGCGATCGAATTAAAGTCAAATAGGGTTAGTCAATTTTGATTTGCTTTAATTACCATTATGACTAATTAGATATCCACTATAGATTAACAAGGACAACTGTCGACGTTATTTCTCAAAATTTTCAGCATTACATAATGTGAGACCATTCAAACTAGAAAAACCAACGTCCTGATTTGTACTAAGTCAATCAACGAAAAACAAAAATGAAATACAGCAACCAACACCAACTGTTGAATTGAGACATGAACATCAAGAATGTGGCGGGGTTAAACCTGCTTGTGAGCGCTCAACCCTCACCTAACCAGGGACAGTGGTGTAACAACACGTCATAATATTTTTTATTGGACAAGGCATAGTATATTTATAAAAAGTGTTAATGCATTACAACCTTCACCAGGAAACGATATCAACATAGATGTTATTTGACAGAATTCATAACTTCAATAATGCTGCATTGTTTCCCGTTTAAAGCATTGAAAAATCAAAGTATCATCTTCTTTTCAACTGTTTAGACAATCTGGACATTCTCATTTGATGACAACATTGTTGCAAGAGGCAATATTCGGTTTATGATTGGACAATTTTCTTTGATAACAAGGAGAATCAGTCGCATATTAAAATATATGATGGCAATAATTACCACATAGGTTCACATG